CCTAAATGACAAAGGTATCCGGGCTTTCCACACCCACAAGATCCACAATAGCCCACAGGACAAGCAAGCCTCCAAGACCGAACCTGATGCATCCCCTGCGAATGCAGAAGGTGTACACTGGGTACACCAGCAAGAGAACTCAACACCAGACAGCACAAACACAGAGCACATGGCAGATGGGGAGAAGTACAGGAAATCAGTGAAAGTCCAGCACTCACCAAAAGGGACACCATCATCATGAGTATCAAGCAGCTACATCCATGCTCCGTCTGTCAAGCAATGAAGGTCAGCAAACAGACGATAGTTCCACAAAACTTCAGCATCAACATCAGAGACATCCGTTACCCTCTACGTGTACGTAGTAGCTCAAACATCCACAGACCTCCGATTCCCTTCCTCCTCCAATTTCTTAGACCTCCTCCTCCAATGTCTTCTAAGGATGTGACATTTTATTTCCTAAATGTTTAGCAAATATTAAGAATTATATACAATTTTTAGCCATTTCAGGCTGACGACTGCCCATTGTGCAGACCAACGTGATCGACACAATAAATAAAAATGAGTAACATAATAAAAAGAGGGCCGTCATTGAAATCATTAAAAAGATAAATTTGTAGCCTGAATGTAATCAAGTGCTGTTTTGGAAAATTTGCAGATCTATAGATTTAAAAATTTTCACCATTTTAAATGTTTAAAGGGTAAATTTGGTCACATCCATAATTTCCTCACTCCACCAATACATAATTCCCCTTTTGCCTGTGGATTTCAGTCTTAAGTTGACACTCAGCCTGCAGAGGATGAAATTACTTTTTTGATATCAGATTTTATATATTTATTGAGTATTTATTGAAATTGATGTGCAAATTTTAATTTGCTAAATTACATTTATGATAGTATGTCAGAGGATTTTTGTTTATTTTCACCCTCTGCTTCTTGTTTCAGCTTACTTTCAATAATTCAATGTACCCATTGACACCCTATAGTGAACAGAACTTCACTATTTTAAACCATCTTTAATGAGGGTAACCCATCCAGCAGAAGCTGACCATTTGGGGCCCTCACAAAAAGTAAATAAAGACAAGCCAAAAAAGAACAATGATAAGTTATTAAAAACAAGTAATCTTAAGGACAATTACTTAAGAAATACATGTAGATTAAAAAAAATCAGTAAAACTAACAAACCCCATTAAAGTTGATCATACAAAAAAGCACGATAAAAAAAAACAGAGTAAAAATTAAAAATGATAAAACTAACATGTAACAGAACAACTGGCCATTGCATCAACCTTACGCTAGAATCATTTGTGGGTTTATTTTTATCCAGAATCCTGGAAATGTTTATCCTGAATTTGTTCCTGCATGTACACTCCATTTAAGTTCTGATTAATTATATGGCCACAAGTGAAAAATACTTCAGACGGCCTAGGAAATATTCATTATTTTAAAAGACATCAGGTTCCAAGTTGGCCTGCAACTTTTCATGTTTTAGTGGAGAAGAATTCAAACCAAAGATTTTTTTTCAAGTAAACTGTATTCCCCAACAGTGGAGATTTTAAATGAAACAAAATCAGTATTTCTTTGAGCCCTATTAAAAAAAAAAAAAAACCAGCATTATTTCCTTTAGAAACTTATTTCACCCTCCCTATAGAGACTAACATTACGGACAGAAATATGTTGCAGGTATTGAATAAGGTCCCTGAAAGCCATCAGCCCTATTTTTGGTGAAATAATTGTTCAATTATTAGATTAATCTTCGAACAGGCCAATTAAATATGTTAGAGATTCAAAAAATGAATAAAATGCACTTATTGTGATGTACGTGAGTTACCACTTGCTTGTCACTTCCTCAACATGCTCAACATCCAAAATGTTTTAACACCTATAAGTCTGAAAAACTGATATCTATGGTTAATGGCAATTGCGTATCTATGGGCCCCGTTCCTATAAGGGAACACACACTAAAAATGTTTGACCTATCAAAGTAGTTGGCGACATTAGAAATATACATGCAGAGGGCAGGATTTTGAATTTTTCGAGGGAAATTTTGGGGTAAAATGACCATGACGACAAAATGCAACACAAAAATAAAGATGGCGATCACCGACTGATATACCGTGATTGTGCCAGTCACGCTGCACGGCACCAACTGGACCGTAAACTTGGTAGGAAAATCATAATTTTTACCCCAAGAAACTGTTTTAAAAATGTCAAAATGGTGTCATTGCATTGAGAGAAGTCTGCTTTAGGCTGACATAAACAGTGTCAGTTTTTAGTAATAAAAAAAATCTTGATTCAAGTTTGATAGAGAAAAACCCAAACAAACAGGGGCCCTACAGTACACGATCGCCCGGTTTACGCGACAGAATTGGTAATGCCTTGCATGCGATTGCAAACACCGGGCTTTGTGAATGCACATCGCCATGATCGCAACCTTGGTATGCGATTATTTCCCAGCTAAATACTCACGACCGGACCATGGACGTCTTGCAGTTTTTCAGGTTTTTATAACATTTGGTTGACGGCGGACAAAACCACCTCACAGGTCAGCAGAAATACAACCATAACTACAGCTCCAGTTCCATCATCAACATGGCGACAGTGCGGCGAGACAACTTTTAAAAATGGCGGGCTTCAGCATGACAGCCATTCCATTCCAATCGTAATCTGTTGGTAGCACACGTGCAGTGCAGAAGAGTACAACAGATCCCATTCATTTCGCATGCCTCTAACAAAACAGCAACACCTGTGCGCACGTGGGCATGGCAGTGGACGTGTGATGCGCATACCTTCGGATTTTTCGCAAACATGGGATTCGTTTCAATTTGGGCTTTCACTTCCAGAGATGTTATTTGTCACTTTCGTGATATACTGGTATTGGTCTTTGTTCTGCTTTGAAAACATTGAATAATTGTTGACAGTCCAAATGTTACAGTTGCTATGCTTGGATCGGACGTGTAATTAGCTGTCGAAATGATTACAGTCATGACTGTGAGTCCGAAGCTAGCCCGAAATTTTAGAAACGCCACTTTTTAGAGGGCGCTGTTAAAGTAATTAACAGGTGTAGCGTGAATTTTCGACTCCATGAAATATGGACTCATTCGTGTTATATGCTATTTTAAGGATCATAATGTGAGAGTGACCTGTCACATGCGAGGGATAACCAAAAATAGGGGAAAAAAGAGTGCGATTTTCATAGGAGTCGGATTTTCATGTGACACCGGCACAAAATTGTTACCATACACTTTAGCACCCCCAAACTTTGGCAAGATTACCATATGCGAAGTTCACTAATTTTCCTCTGTATTGACTAACAAGCCCCCAGATAGCAATTTCATGTCATCAAAGTCCATTTGAGCAGTGAGAAAACTTAAGCATTTTCTTAGAAAACACTTAGAATTGTTCAGTCCAATCACATAGGCGGTTTGTACACAGGGTGTTGAGTGAACTTCGTATATGGAAATCTTTCCCAAACTTTTGTTTAGGCCCCCCCCCCCCCAACAAAAAAATGAAATTGATTTTTGGAGGCCAAAGTGTTTGGAGAAAAAAACACGGTCTGCATTTCAGCACGCCTCCCTGCTAAAATGTCTGGATCCATCCCTGCTAGCCCCTCTAAACTATAGGCTCCAGAACCGCGCCGGCCCACCCATCCTGGAATCATGTTGCCGATTTGGGAGCGGAGCTTGATTTTTAAAAGGGGGATGCAAGGAAAAAGATACTGAGAACCATATTAAACATTTATTGTCCTGCTTTTTATGCTTTGAAATAACGTTAGACAAGAGAACAATCATTCTAGCATTTCAACACTCATTATTTTCTGTCCATTTTGTGGGCGCGGCCTTAATGTGTAAAAGGGTGGTGTATATAAGTTGAACCAAATGTGACAAATTTCATGCATTTTTGGTTATAAAAACCGTGGAAATTAGCGAGCCTGATTGAAATTCAAAACAATAACGACAAATCTGGAAAACAGGACACACACAAATGATTTATTTCTTTATATATCAGCTGTTTTATTTTCAACCAATTAAAAGTGAGCTATACAGAGTGAGATCTTACCATTGTACAATATAGTTCAATTTATAACAAGAAAAAGTGCCCGAATTACAAGATGTAACATAATGTGGCAAATCAGTGACAGAAGTATTCATAAAATGAGCAGGATGGGAAAACACACAGACTAGCAAAAGGTTTCTGGACAGGAAAACAAATTGAAATGTGCTGATTAAGTATGATCATACATCCCAGATTTTCCACCACAGTTAAAGATCATGCCCAATGCGCTAAAAAAAACAATTCAATTTTTTTCCTACTAAGAAATTTGAAATGTGTACGCTTTGTTTGAACAAAATAAAATACTTTCTTCTGGTTTTGGGCATCTGCAACTTTCTGAAAAAGGGCTTTCATTTGTAAATGTAAAGAAATAATTCAATAACTAAGGGCCTGTCTGAATTCATATCTGGGACGAGTTCCAGACAAGATGCGGATATTGTGTATCAGGTATCAATTTAAGTTGCAGGATTCTAAGCCACTTCCCCGCAATCTTCCCGCAGTTAAGTTTCCAGTATTGACAAATTCCCTGGAACACGTCCGGGACAAATGCAGAGCTTCTTCTGTACAAAGTGAACGATTCTACCCAACACTTGTCTGGAACCCCCTCCGGATATGAATTGAGACGGGCCCTAAATGCGGGTAAAATGTTTTGGTTTGGTATCTCATTCAAAAATGAATAACTTGGATATTACAAGGAGACTGCCAATAATTCAGTGTGAATCATCCAAAGTTGTAATGACTCGAGTCAATGACTCGACTCGAGTCCGACTCGAGTCACATTTTTTGGCGACTCGACTCGACTCGAGCCCCGACGGGTAAATGACTCGACTCGAGGAAGAAAGTTTCCTATCCAGGGTTTACTATTGGAAACGCGGTTGGAAATAAAGTAAGCACTGGGGACGAGGTTGTCGCGTGTTGAATTTCGTGGGTTTTTTTGGTGGTGTTTATAATACATCAGTCCTGTGATAAATGATATTGTCAATCTCTTATTAAATTTGAAATTTATTTCTGATATGTCTGTCAATTACTCAGAAGGTTTGTCGGCTTATGAACATAAGGGAAAATGTGGAATGCCGGAGGTGAGCTATGTCTTAACATTCAAACCAACTGCATCATTTTCGTGAAAATACAGAAATTCTTTGTTTACAAACGGTGACCCCTCAGAAACTGTGTTTTTAACGGAACCGATTGTCCTCAATACATTTTCATTAGGTCCCTGTAGTTATTAAGGAAAGAATTCGGAAAAAATGTTGCAACCTGACGCCACTTTTTTTTCTTCATATATCGCATTCGCAATGAATTGAGGTCAGTCATTGCAAAAATGATGAAGACATGAATCTGGGATTGAGAAACATTTCCAATTTTGTTAGGAAATACTCAGAGAATTTTCTTAAAGTGGCATCAGGTTGCAACATTTTATCCAAGAATTCAATACCTGGACATCACTTGACACCCTGTGCACAAACCCTATGAGTATGAGACTTGTCTGAAAAATTCTTAATTTTTTTATCAGTGATTTAAATACTTTAAGATTTTCCCTGCTAAATTTGACTTTTAATTTTAGGACATGTTATCGCTTTCTGTGGGTGATAGGTCATTGCAGGGAAAAATAAGTGATGACCATATATGGAATTTTTTTCCGTTATGAAAAACGAGAAACTTAAATCTGCTTATTTAATTCAGTAGTGTGACAGGGGTTTGAACCAGGGTCCCCAGCTCGTTGAGCTAACGTCCGTACGAATCTTTGGTTAGATGGCCAGTAATAAATAGTGATACATGTATACATATGTTTGCATTGTGTTTTTACAATGCTGTAAAAACGATAGTGTTTGAAAATTGCGTTATGGCTGTCGTTAAGAATGTCTTGTTCATTTCTTGTAAACCTGTTCGTTTTTAGAAATTCGATTCTCCAGAAGTAATTGAAGAGAAGTCCCTTCAACTAGCAAATCTACTCCGCAGCAGTAATTACGCCGTAGTGCATACAGGGGCAGGCATCAGCACATCAGCTGGCATACCAGACTTCAGGTACAGAATGGCAACCCATCCGTGGCATTATAGCCCTTAGGCCCCATCCCCTAAAAAAATAGTTCTGCTTCCGATTACATGGCATTTGAAAATCGGTTAGGGAGGTAGGAATTTTTTTTGGGGGGGGGGCAAATTCTTTTTGATCATATGGAGGCTTCTGCGTTTAGTCAAGGGTAAAAGGTAGAAATTGATGGTTTTGGGTGTTTTTTTCTCATTTTTTCAATAACAAAACTTAGAGTAGGGGCTGTCAGAATAGGGTTGGTAGAGAAACCTGAAGCAGAACTATTTTGTCCTTAACGCAAATACCAAGTGATTTTGCACAATTGTCAGTGTAGTATTGACCCCATGGGGGAGGGAAAACCAGAGAAATTGGCACAAACCACCCAAAAGATATTTGCGATAAGAACATTAAAATAAAATGCGATAAGATTGACATCAACTGTTGGAAAGTTCATGATTTTTTTTGTGTGTATCAGGGGTCCGAAGGGAGTGTGGACCTTAGAGAAGCAGGGGCAGAAACCAGATGTCAATGTTACCTTCGATGGCGCAGTCCCTACGCCTACTCATCGTGTCCTGATTGAGCTAGAGAGGACAGGCTTTGTCAAGTATGTCGTCAGTCAGAACGTGGACGGGCTTCACCTCAGATCTGGATTCCCAAGGTTTGTATTTTGTTAAGAAGCCAATTTCTTTGAGCTTACAAGCACACAATTATGCTAAGCACAAATGAAATTTGCTTAGCAAAAATGAGTTACCGGCTGAAATATCATGGCATGTACATTGCTGTTGACTGGTACTCTGCCATTTGTGGCTTAGCACAAAACTTTGCTAAGTAGTACTAGTCTCTGCTCAGCAGCCCCATGAAATTGCATGCTGTGCCCAATTTCACGATGCTGCTTAATGGTTAGCAGAAAAGTTGTGCTATTTATAGCAGAAAATCATGCTGCTGTTTAAGCACTATTTCATGGCATGGATGTGCTAATGGCTGCACACGCACAGAAATAACTATTGTTACGTCACTGACCTTGGCAACTTTTTCCCCTGGGGTTAAGCGTGCTTTTGCTGAGCTTACTGCTTATGCTCTCTATGAAATAGACGGAGGCTCTGTTGGCAGAAAATGGGCTGTTAAGCAACACTATGAAATTGTGTCGTGGTTATAAATAACAATCGATAACATTTGGCTTGGTTTGTCTTGAAATGCTACTCATCAGCGGTTATAATACACTTAGTTAGTACTAAATTTCTCAGCCAAAGAAAGCAGGCATCACATTCTTTCCCTCTGGGAAAAAATGCTGGACGTGTACTCTTGCCCCAAGTTCCATTTCAGTGGATTTGGGTCTAAACAGTTTCAATTAGGTGGTAGTTGCATTGAAAATCTTTCTGATTCAGAAATCCTAGTGTTTAAACCCCCCTCTCTGGCTGGCAAATTCAGCGACGCCATCACAGCAGTCAAAATCAATGAGGTCACTGTTTTTATCAGTTTAAGAATTCCCTTGTTAATTTAATATAGCCATGCTTTGACTGGAGGTGATTGTTAAGCCAGCTGTGCCTACCAGTGAAATCTTTTGTCTGTTGATGGAATTTAAATATTCAAAATGTGATCTGACTGTTGTTCTTTTTTACTAGTCTTGTGACTGTCTGTGACTCAAAACAAGAGGAGGCTTTCAAAGAGGTTTAATAGGACACAACTGTTTGGTGAAAATGTTATTTTCCTTGTATTATTGGTTCATTGCCATTTCCTGACAATGAGAAATAAACCACAGACTTTCGTTGAGCCTTCTTTCTTTGTTTTACATCTTTTCATGGTTTTCCCAGATTTTAATAATAAATTTGTCTAACATTTCTTTCACAGGGATAGACTGTCGGAACTTCACGGGAACATGTTTGTGGAACAGTGCGACAAATGCAACAAGTAAGATACAACACCTATCACCTCTTTGTCAAAATCCTTGCCTAAATTCACTATTGAAAATGCTGTATACATGAGCATCACATGAGCATCAACATTAGATAAAAACCAGTTTGAAAAGATAGGTCATAACTTAACACTTAAAAATTCACCTAAAACAGTAATTCTGGGGCTGGTAGATGAGCAGTAAAATTAGTTAAAAGCTTTAAAAAGATAGGCCTATTGTGTAGACCAGATGCATAAAAAGACGTCCAGTGAATAGCCATTTAATCAATTAAATATAATTTTTAGGAATTCTCTGGGACCAGTTTGCCTAATCTTGTTAATGAATATGAATCTTTGAAAGTTGGTATGATTTTTATGATTTTTTTTGGGTTACGATTATGTTTTTGCAGGCAGTATATCCGGGATACAGCTGTTCCAACATTGGGCCTCAAACCCACTGGAGGGCAATGCACGCAGACAAAACCTAGAGGGAAATGCAGGTAACGTTACAAGCTAATTTTCTATGTTTGAAAGGGATGGTTGTTTGAGTTCTGAAACAGTTGTCTACTTAGTAATAATAATAATCGGCATTTAAGAACGCTCTTTTTAGTACACTAAATCACAGCGCTTACAGTATTATTATTACCCCTGATCATTGGGCCAATTTAACATTCCAAATACCATCTCAGCTCCCTGGGGAGTATACAGCTCGATGCAGCCTGTTAGGCGCAAGGAAGCTAATTCAATCCCATAACCATCTCTGCCATCACAGGTACCCATTTACCCCTGGGTGGAGAGAAGCAATGAGTGACAAAGTGCCTTGCTCAAGGGCACACGCACCATGACCCGGGCTGGACTCGAACCCACAACCCTCAGCTTTACCCACAGACCATGAATCCAGTGCCCTTAACCACAAGGCCACAGCACTCCAGCGAGTTTCAATTTTAAGGCTGCATTCAAATCACTGGCTACGGCTGAGAGTCATTGGGATGTGGCTTCAGCCGCTTCCATAGGCATGTGTGCTATCGCTAGCCACAGCCAAGTAATTTGGACACAGCCTTGGTTCACAAAACCCGCTCCAAACACCACCTCACCACTTTGCATAACTGGAAAGATTACTTCTGTTTCAACATGAATCTTTGGCTTTTATTTTTTTTTCTTCCTCTATTTTCTGTTGAAGAGGAAAGTTGAGAGACACAATCTTAGACTGGGAAGATGCGCTGCCAGATGATGACTTGGAGCGCGCCGAGAAACACTCGAGGTTTGTCGAAAATATGTTTATTTTGTTGGGAATATGTATAAAGAAATATTTTTTACTTGTTTTTGAGAAAACTTTTAGTGGGATTATTAACTATTTTGCCTGACAGTTACCTTGTTTGATAGGATTTTAATATAAGTAAAATGGATTGAGAACAAATCAAAATGGACGTTGAAGTAAATAATGTCAAACAATTGGTAATAATGTTTAATAGACAAATACTCAATATTGTTGTGAAATTACACAGACTTTATCGTTTCGGTTTGCGGTAACACCATGTGGTAATAACTACTGCTTAGAAGATATTAGTTCTGAGAAGAACTTGTCCTGCTTATTATCAACTTTGCTAAGTAGTTTTTTGTTCTGTTTAGAACAGTCCTGCTGTAAGTTCTAAAAGAACTTGTCTTTGGTCTCAAAGATATTAGTTCTTCTCAGAACTAATATCTTCTAAGCAGTAGTTATTACCACATGGTGTTACCGCAAACCGAAACGATACCGATACCCCACCATGCAAAGCCTCAAATCTTATACACAGACTTTATTACTCATCGATTATTGATTAATTGCTTATTGATTATTGGTAAAATATCCTCTGAATTACTTACGCAGCGATGACTTGTGCGTGTGCACTTTGAGCGCAGAGCACCTGCACAGACGATGCATTCCTGCTGCGTGTAATAAATTAGAGACGCATGTAAGCAGCGCGAACTTGTTTTGGTCGCGCTAGCGCCCTCTTTTGACGGAGCGCGTAAAGTTGTTTTGCCACGCTACATGCTACACGCTACCTTAAGTTCTAGAATTATATCGTAAATATTATTATTAGAATGTTTGGTTCTTTATTCCATTGTAAACACTTTGTTGGATGGGTGCAGTTTACAAGACAGGAATTAGGAGTTGTTGTTCTGATTCTGAGCCGGTCGGACCTGTGTCCCAGCGACAGTAATAAAATAGTTGAAACGTACATGATTGTTTCTCTAAGTCTCCGCGTTTCTCACAGTAGAACTCACCACAATATTATGCCACAATAAAAATGCCCTAATTTTGTCTATCTGGTCATATTAATTTCAAAAAGTTTTCCTTGCACAGTTTCAACTTCCCTGATTTGTAATACCTCCAGATCCTTCAAAAGTCTCCTGTGGGTTCAAAGGATTTCGTAGGAAACTACTGTTTCTATAAAAGGAACTTGTACAAAAACCATGCTTTCAATTTCACGCACAGTGTTGATTTTGGAGGCTTCAGGAAGTTTCTTAACATAACCACTCACGGAGTTGGGGTAAACGTCTATACTTATTGATTCCCCCATGACATCCAGGCAAGCTGACCTAGCCCTGTGCCTAGGGACGAGTCTTCAGATTGTACCCAGCGGCAATCTCCCTCTGATCACCAAGAAAGCTGGAGGAAAGCTGGTCATTGTCAATCTCCAACCCACAAAACACGTAAGAATGTTTATCCTGTTTGATATTTACTCTGGGTTGAGAAAATAAGACACATTTAGTGTTCAAAGTATGATTTTTTTTCTGTTCCTACTACATTGTACCTTGGTACTACATTGTACTTTGGTACTTTGTAATTTGTCTTTCAAGTATCATTGAGAATGACTTCAAACAATTTTTAGTTGTTGGGTAGGTAGTTTGTTTTTCATAATCACTCTTGGAGGACGACTGCATCATGGAATGCATCAGAATTCTAAAATCATAGATGTCAGATGTAACAGGGACAGGGAAAAAAAATTCCCAGAATTATCCACGAAGCTCTTGCACCTGAAATCACATCCAAATTTATCTTTTTCTTTCCGCTGTGAAAGCCTAGAGTAGACACTTTGCACATTGACAAAAATGTTAAAAAAGTCTGCAGTCTACTTCTCACAAACTCAACATACAATAAACATGATGGATATCTGTGCAGTTTCTGTGCAGCAAGGAAAAGTTGTGAAGTGTCTTACAGCCATAGCAGACTTGCACTGAAAGAAAAATGTTTTGTTGTGACTCAGGCAGGCCCGTAGCCAAAGGGGGGCCTGGCAAGCACTTGGTCCTCCAACGGCAAAAGCCATACATATGTATTTTTTTTTTTTATGGTAGTGGTCCCCATCTAGTTGTTACTGTTACTATGCTTTTTTTCCCTCCTCTTTTTCATTCAGGACAAACATGCAAATCTCCGGGTCCATGGCTATGTAGATGAGGTCATGTCAAAGGTCATGACCCACCTTGGACTGACTATCCCCGAATACACAGGACCACGTATCGTCATGACATCAGGACACAGTTCAAAGAAAATGGACGGTGCGTTAAAGGTGACCAAAGAACGAAAACAGAACGTGAAAAGGACTCACCAAAATGTTGAGGATAAAAAGGGGACATTTTCCGAACAACTTTCAGTAAAGGAAGAAAGTGAGCCGAGACCGAAGAATTCATGCCACAAACTCCCAACCAGAAGTGGAATTCTTTCTCAAGGAAATGATCAAACAAGTTGCAGTGAATTGTCTCAGAATGGTGTCACTGATGTGGTAAAAGTGGAACAATCTGAGAACAGTACGTGCATTAAAAAGGAAGATTGCCAGAAATCACCAACAGAAAAACTTGAGAATGGGATAAGTTCGACGAACTCCAGAGAACTGGACGATGGTTTCTGCCAGAACTCGCTCATCCTTTTGGAGCATTCTGTGCAAGGATCAGAAAGACTCGAGGATCAGGTTTCAATCAATTGTTCATCAGTGTCTCCCAAAGACTTGAACAAAAACCCTGAACTTTGTAGTGAAGATGAGTTAAGGTGAATTAGAATGACCAATTTTATACTGTGAACTTCTTTTGGAAAGTTTTCATGAATGTGTACGTGACTCTCTAGCAAAAAAAAAAAAAGACTGGGACCTTGACTGCTGAAAAACATGCAAAACGAAATCAGGCCAACTTAACTCACTCTTTAGCCAGCAAAATTTTCCAAAATTGTCAGTGGGCAAAGAAAAGGTCCTCAGTATTTCACCAACCAAGTTTGAAGACTCAATTCAATTTTTAAAGGAGACTTTTCTTCAATATTTTGCACATGAGAGGGAAGTCAAGAGGTTTCAAAACGAGGCTAAAGACTAGACTTGTACATGTCCAACCATGGCCCTACTGTTTGAAAAGACTGACCTCTTCCTTCAGTGTCAGTAGTCTGGTGGCTGACTATGGAGAAAAGTGTAGAAATAGGGACTAGGACCAGACATACCCGATGTTTCTTTTGACACAGTTGATTGATGCAGTACTGAAGGGTTGTTGGACTGGTTGTTTTAGGTGCCGGTCTATTTTCTTGTATTGCATGTTTTTAATACCTTAAGTTTTAGGACTCTCATACACAGTATTGAGAGTGCCAAATTTTCGGACAAGAAAAAAAAAACAGTCACTTGGACGCATTTTTTTTTAAACTGGGATTTTGGGCTCATAATTGGAAAAGGACATTGAATAAGCTTTCCAATGATGTACAGAATATGGAAATTGGATAAAATCTGATAGAATTATTTTCAGTTCCCAAGTTTCAGGCCTGAGAATTTTTTTTTTAAATCGGGATTTTGTTCGCGTCCCAAATGATTGCTCCTTAGGAAATTTGCAAATTAACATAATTGAAAGTGAATTATTTTCATTATTCTAGCTTTTAACGCCTAAATCTGAATTTCAATCATTTTTGCCTGATGAATGTATCATAGGATTTAAATACCTTTATGAGACTTCGGACTGGTGTTGTGCTGGGTCATATAATTATATGCATTCCTTTGTTTCAATAAACAAAAGATAGTTTGGTCTGGCGCCAAACGAAAATGGTTTTCGTGTTCGTTTGTTTCTTCTCCCAAGACCAAGAAATATAAATTACTGAAAAACATTGTAATGATTGTGCACTGTTTGTTGGAAGGTACAATAGTTCAATAATTAAAATTCCTTTTTTTTTTTTTTTTATATATATACAATGTATATGTGAAGTATGTATAACTCATACAACTGAAAATCGTAACTTTTCATGAATTATTTGACTAAATTAAATTTTGTCGTTCATTGTGAAGGGGGGGGGGGGTTCAGAAAAGACACTCTGAATCACCTCAATGGCAAGTATGGATATTATAAATAGCGCCCTCTTCCGATAGAGGGCGTTAAATACAGGTAGTGGTGCACATGGCAAATTGGCAGAAAGTTGTTGCGTCACACTGTGCAGTTTACGTTTGGTCGAGATTTTAGTAACGAAAAATCGTGTGTTTACAAGAAAATGAGTTCGCAGAAGAGCAAACCCCCAAAGAAGTCGCAAAAATATCAGAATACCACAGCCTTTAAAAATGACTTGCACGACACGAGTCGGAAAACGAAAGCCCTGAATCAAATGGTCGTCGGCGGAGTGTGCTCTCGTTGCAAAGAACAGATTGAATGGAAGATCAAGTACAAGAAATACAAACCGCTAACGCAGCCAAAGAAATGGTGAGTTAGCTCCACTTTTTTTCCAGACATAACATTGCTAATAGTGCATGCGTAAAGTCTATGGATAGTTGAATATTTAGAACTTTTAGAAGAATTTTCCCGAATTTTCTTCCTAAATCTGAAATGAAATCTTTGAAATTAAAGACAAAGTACTAAGTAGGCATACAAAAATAAATATGTGCCTTCTAAAGTTCCAGTTCTATTCTAAAGTTCTAGCATTATCTGTATCTGTATCACTCTCCGTACAAACACCTGGTAAGGTTGTCGTCGTACGTCAGGTAAGGGTCTAGATCAGCAACAGAGGTGACACTGACAGATCGGGGTGGGTGGGGCCGGGAAAGGGGGTGGGGCCGGAAGGGGGCCCGGGTGGGCCGAGGAGGCATACATGTGTAAAAAGTTAGGCTTGGAAGAATTAACTTGCTAACAGTACAAAAAAAATAACATGTATCAATAATCAATCATCTTTCAACAGCGTGAAGTGCGAACAAAAGACAGTCACCCAGGCATACCACATTATGTGCAAACCGTGTGCTGCGTCTGCTGATGTCTGTGCGAAGTGTGGAAAGAATGAAATGGTTACAGGGTAAGTACATTTAACATGAAGTAAAACTTCAGCAGGGGCTGTTGTATACAAATACAACATGGTTTCACTTTTTCTTTTTTTGAACGTCTTGGGACCAAATACTGAGTTACATCATACATGTATCTAGTCATAAGACTCCTGTGTTTTAATTTTCCCAATTTTTATCCATTGAACGGAAGATGAGGTCAACCTTTTGAATTTCACAATGGTCATCAATTCGCAATTTTTCAATATGTTGTAAATTGTAATGCTTTTATTTCGTTCAAAATACACATTTATTGCCCTTGATTGGATGGGCCTAGTCAGGACACAAAATAATGCAAAAAATAGAACATTACATACGTACACACAGTGTAGATCATACCTTGGGTGCCTTGCTGTGCGATATTCTTGAAAAACCCGGAGTTGTTTTTTTAGGTCAACCTACACGCTCGATTGAGCATGGGTACATGTTAGAAATGGCATGAAAATGCTCTTTAAACTGTCCTCTTCTCCACTGAGGGGGTACTCACCCACAGATTCAATAAAACAAGCTTTTTATTCTCATCCATCCTTACTCCAGACAGGGGCTTTCACCAGCTGAGGAGGCATCCCAGGCTAGCCAGCTCCAGGCCGAGCTCAGGCACCTCACAGAAAGACAGCGACGATCCTTCTTCAGATACCAGGCCAAGGGGGGACAAGATGGGGATGATCATGGGAGCACTAAGGAGGAGCGACCCACGAGCAAGGGCCAAGAATTGGACGAGGAAGACTGTGAATCTGGGAAAGATGATAATTCGGAAGACTGCGAGTTGGATGATAGGACTTGTGGAACTTGAAGTGCTCTGATCGTCTCTGCGTCGTGGTTGTTGCCCAACTTGCCCTCACGAGGGCCCACAAATCATCACAAGACATCCAGTCTCAACTGTGACAAAAGCATTCCCTCCATCAACTGTTACTTGTGAAATGACTTGTGATTTAGTTTTGACAGGACTTGTGTTTGACTTGATTAAATCACTGCAGATAACCACCTTTCCTGAAAATTGAAATCATACTTGTCAGTCCGAGTCTCCATATTAATTTAAGTCCGACAGGTGCCCTACATCGAAGACAATAAGTAAGATCAATTCCTGCAAGAAACGTGCCACATGGAAAGGCATACAACAAAGGTTTTCCCACCTTGTTGGCGGATACGTCATCCAAGATATAGCAAGAATTGCCAAAATACAAATAAATTTGATATTGGTGTTGAAGATTACAAGATTGCTCAAAATGTGTATAGCCACAACACTGGAGAAATTAATAATTTGAAAACCTTGTAATGAAAACTACCCTACAAAAACTTTGTCATCTGCTTCCAGCCAACAGTTGGTGCTTTCATCTGCTGTTACGTCCACATTTTGCATCTCCATTCATCTAGGCCTCTTACTGTAAATTAAAAATGAAATCCTTGTCTAACGACTACCATATGGCCATAGTCATAAGATATGGATGAGGAAGACTGTGAAGCTGGGACGGATGATAATTCAGATGACAATTTTGTTCAGCCAACAATTTTGAAAAGACTTGACGCCCCTTTGATGTGGCATTTCACAATTACCGTCAAGAAATCACTGAATGGCAAGATGAGAGTTGCTTTAGTTTCTTTATAGATGAAATTTATTAATCATTATAATTTATCACTGTCTAAAGCACAAGAAATGGTTCTTTGCACAATATTTGAAACTTAAGAATACCGTATTGTTTTGTGGGTCACAGATGTGCAAGAAAAAATTCAAACTTGTTAAGTGTTCTCATGTCAAGAAATCCATACAATATTTGTCTTTTTCTTTCAAATTAAATGAAAAGTTTTATTCACAATAATGGAAGGGTCAAAGTGGTATAAAAATGCCCCTCTAACCTTTTTTGAGGAGTAATAATTATATTATGTAAAAATAATTTACCAATTCAGAACTTGTAAGTTAAATGTTCATATCACTTACATTTAATGGAAATAACTATTGAAAAAAAAGGGAGAAAAACTCGGATGTCATGAATCATAAATGCAGCACGTTCCTGTTTAAATTACAAAATTTGTAAGGGGACAGCATATTGTAAGGTAGCATGAGTTTATTCTTACATAGGTTCGTACATGTATGTTTATAGCTACAGTACCATGAACTTCTTTTGCATTGTTAGTGTCTTAATTAAAAAGCGAGGCCTACTGCAATGTATTTCGTGAAAATGAAGCAGACACAAAGTTAAAATGGTTCAAAGTTCCCCAAACAACATTTGCTTAATTTGAAAAAGAGTCGCACTTTATTAAAAACTCTTTATAAAGTAGTACGTGTTGATGCAGTGACTGGCATTCCAGTCTTAGGATTAACACAGAATTCGGGCGATTCACAATGCAGTGTGCCACCAAGAGTTTGCCACAAAGAGTTCATTTTTCCCAGTGCATTGTGGGAGATGGTCGACAAATTCACAGCGCAGGACATTTGAAATTGTTTGTTTTTCCAGTCGGTAGTTTCGTAAAGGTATGCTTCGAGTATCTGTTTGCCCATTTGTTTTCTTTTTATCAATGTGGTGTTTTTTTTTGTGAGGCGGCAGAAGTTCAAGTTTTTGTGAGGCGGCAGAAGTTCAAGTTTTCTACTGACACTTATTCAAATGGGCCATGTTTTGTCGACCGTAAACTAGAAAATGGACTCTTGGTGGCGCACTGCATCGTAAATCGCCCGAATTTCTTCACTAGCACAGAAAGGTGATCGTAAGCGCGGGATTCTGTGGTTAGCAGGGCCATGAAATTGGCCCATGAAATTGAGCCCTGATTTTGTGGGGGACAATGAGACAAGGATCATTCAGGAGTTGACCCGGGAGGGGGGGGGGGGGGCTGGTTGATGCCCCTTTAATAAACAGACAGTGCACTTATGGGCCCTTTGCATTGTTGGGTTCAAAGGGACGCTGGAGCGGCACACTTCGGCTGTTTGCACAGGTTCTTAACTCTGCCAGACACAAGACAGTGAACAGCTGTAAAAGTGTTGGAACTTGCTGCACTGAACCATCAAGAACACTGCATTAACTGAGGCAATGGGAGCTAGTCCCATTAAAACAATGCCACAGTTGTATCCTGCTGAGGCGCCTTGGCCTTGACATTTTTGAGATTGTTTACCCATTGGATCTTGTTGACACTGGGCAAGCCTCTCATTTTGACAAATGTTGCGTGTTGCGACAAGATCAGAGCTCGGCAACGCATACATGGATGCAAGTCCTGCAATTACAGAATTCCTGATTTTATTCGAATATACTTTTCTCACGCCTCAAATTCTCGAAGAAAATGCCGGAGACCACAGACGTCATTGAGTAACATCGCAAACATCTTTTGTCTCGCATGTGCAGCCTCGATTTTGTTCCAACGTGACAATTCATTAAAAAGAGCAAATTACAAAACACATCTTGTATGTTTCAGATTTTGTAAGGTCTCCTGCCCCCTTTTGTGCATGCTTTATCTCACTGGCCCTGGATCTGATCATTGGTGACTTCTTAGACGTATGTCCCTGCCTCAGACCCACTGCTGGGCCGTGTTTGCAGACAGGTCCAGCAACCTCCAAGCTGCGCTGGGGTCTAATATCTCCTGGTCTCTGCACAGTACCCAGACATAGGTTACCCTCATTACTTTGTCCTGCAAAAAAAAGGAGAAAAAAAGTGTTCTGATTGAGTTCTTCACAATCATGACATCACAATTCCAGTCACAAATACATCAAATAAAAGTCACTTTATCACAGTTAGTTCATGCAAAGTATTAACTTATCTTTAATTGCCAGTAATGATTCTAAGCCCTGAATATCTGAACCCGAGAACTGAATGTGTGAAACAGAGACCACAACCGAGACTTGGAGGTCTAAGAAAGACCTGCATCATGAAATAATTAAAGCAAAAGGAATAAGATGCGACAGATGTGCTTACCGGATCTCCCTCGACAACTTCCCCTTTCCCGTTGCGGACCACCAAGAGCTGCTGTGCAGTGAAGCTGATGACAAGTACTGGACCCTGCTCCATCATCTTACCCATAGAAAGCTGGAGAAAAACATCACATAAAAGTGGCTTTACAGACAAATTTCAAATTGGAACTTAGATCCTCCACTTAAATGGTAAGACCGTGTGATAAGTTTTAATGTGCAAGCTGGGGGGGGGGGCGGCTTGTACCATACTTTCAATGGGGCACTGTTCAAATCTGACCATTATTAACACCATAATTATTACAGAATAGTGTACAAATACCCCCGTAACCCAGTTGGCTCTGTCCGAATTTCGCACAGGCGGACATTATTATCAGAGGAAATTTTGTTGGGGTGTCAGAGCAGGGGGAGGTTTTCGCATTATTTTTTATGTATTTCTATGAAAAAAAAAATGGAGTCAGGCTGATTTTTTTAGGGGGACCTTAACCCCCCCTCTGGGACCATGCCTGCTAAATTCAAGAAATCTGCAAAAAAAGCCTTTTTCCTGACCAATCATGGTTCCTTAAAAACAAACAGGGCCCAATTTCAGGGAACTGATTGGGCTTTAAGGAGCATAAAGGAACAATTTCAGCCAATCACTCGAGAGTACTCACATCTAAGTTATCAATGTCCAGAACTTTGTTGTCAAATATATACCCCAGGGCTTTGGCTTGTTTGATTGGTGTGGCAAGCTGGCTGTATGGCTGTCAACAGAAAGTAAAGAAGAATTTGTGTCTTACATCAGAACAATTAGAAAAAAGAGAAGAAAGCATATTTCCAATGTCAGTTGTTTCTAAGTAACTTTACCATAAACCAATGCTCATAACTTGAAGCATCTTGAATGAAGAGTATTTTTCCAAGTTTATTAACAAAATTAAAATCTTATTTTTTTTTTTACAACCTAAATGCACAGCTTTTATATACGAGGCAAATAAAAATACTTACAGCTTCATAACACCAATCTTTGAGTACTTCTAATTCGCCTCTAATCATGGCCTACAAAGAAAATAAAAATAAAAAATAATAAAAACAATCAGAAATGTCATAATTGTTTTCATTAACAATGTACTTATAAGGAACATGTGCCACAAGGAAGACTATTTCTTGGAACAAAATTGATACAGTCGAACAATTTCTTTTCCTCTTCACGAACGTTTAAAAAAATTACCTTTTATTAATGAACATTGCCAAAAGTTCAGTAACTGCATAATTACTTTCCCTAAATTGTTAAACAAAAATTTGGACAAATATATGAATTGTCTCATTTATGCCATTTGTGATTTCATATTTTACAAATATTTTTTGAGATCACATCAAGCCTCACCTCAAGAACATTTGGTATAATCTCATACTCGCATAAATGAAGAAATTCCTGCTTAGAAAAATTGGGATCTGCCTTGAGGATTTCCGTTAAGACTTCGGACATTTCTGTCTGTGAGAACACACCACCTGTTGGACAAATAAAAAAATACCCAAAACTTCAAATATAAATAGATGGCAACTTACAAGTACAGAAAAAGTGACAAATATTTTGAATTTTATTTTAAATAGACTAAATTAATCCCCTAAATTTATCCCCTTCAACACTCCATCCATAATATCCCCTCTGGTCTTCGAAAACCTGTTTTAGACTAAAAAAAAATCTAAAACACCTGAAGTCCTTAAAAATTGATTAAAGCGTGCAAAAAACATTATGTGCTTATACAGCAAAAATGCAGAAAAAACATGACAACCAAGTTAGTGCAGAATCCTCAGTTACAGGATCTAAACATGTGCGCAAGCCAAAATTTCTTGCTAATCTGTGAAACACGCTAACTCAAATGGTTAGTGCGGATTATTCTGGTATGGTTAGCAGAGATCTTTCGCAAAGCAGACCAATGAAAATGGGCCCTGTAACGCTGAAGTTCCCTTGTCTTTACGGTAACATTCTATTGTTTTTTTACAAACAAGACAAAAAATGGACACGCGACAAGCAATCAAACGCCTTTTTGATAGAGCTGTAAAATGCACTTAACAGAAGGAGAATGAAGACAGACAACTAACCTAGAAGGTGACTGACTCTGTCCGTGACTGCTCTGGAAGCCCGCACCATGACGTTGTCGCTCTCATCGTACCTCATTTTTAAGTCAAACATTTCTGTGGCAGGAGAGAAAAAAAATGGAGTAGAAACTTTCACTCGCTTAGAAGGAAACACGGTTGGTCAATACTTTGATCACAGTGATTTTATCACAATACAGGCGGCTCAGTTTGTAGCTAAAGAAAATGTATTTTTGCCTATAAAAAATTTAATCGCCAGACGATGAAATACGCAAGTTGAATACTTTTCTTCCATGACTCAATATACAGCGAAATGTGATTACATAAAATATTTTATAAATTACCTTGTGATTCTTTTCTTTTTTAAGTTTGAACACATTGGTCAGTTGATAATTGCTGTGCTACAATTTTGGTTTGAAAAGGAAAGAAAACATCTGAAAAGCAGTTTGGCATGGTAGTAATTTCTCTGCCCTCAATGTCTTTAACTCATGTTCAAATCCTACAAAGCCTGACCCAATTCTGTGGGCTCCTCACCATTTTTAAAACAGAAGGTTTCTCTTATTTGTTGTCTCTTTACAAGTTTCTCTGTGCTTGTGAACCCCAGAGTAATAAACCCTTTTTTTAGGATTTTTTTTTATCACCACACATCAGGGATGTAGTTGAGTCCACCACAAGAAGCAGTGGAGGAACAATAACAAAGGCACTGGAGGACTTGCAAGGACTTGTGACAGACTTGACTACATCCCCACCACACATAAATAACACATATTATAGTAACAATTACAACCCTTAACAGTTACAGTGTGATAAACTTCCGAACAAAAATCTGGTCTTTGGATATTATTAACAACAAAAACAAACTGGCCTTTGATTGTCCTTTCCAAAATTCATACTTACTATTGAAAACCTGATTGTTCTCCTTGAATTCATTCCATTGTTTGTACCATCTGGAATCTTTGTGAAGAACCATACCCATAGCATCCCTGCAAAAAGAATTAAAAAAAAAATCTATTTAAGCATTCTTCAAATAAAAGTCTGCATTGTCAGCGTCAAAATTCCTTAGCCCTAACTCCCCAGCCTAATTGACTAGGAACCATACCCATTCAGGCAAATTCCAACACCCACATGGGAAATTGTACACACACCCTGTTGGACTTAGTTTCTGGAGGTATGCCAACCCCCGTGTAAAAGACCATCTGTTTAGGGGGACTGTATCTATCCCAACAGATTTAAACACAAACCTGCTGTTGAACTTTGATGGGTTGTGTTCGGTTAGGGTAAAAGGGGCATTACGGCCTGAAATCCCCAAAAATGTTATGTTTTGGATTGGTGAACTATCCTATTTCAAAGGTCCGGTTGAAAGGAAAATAATCTAATGTCCCGCTGTTCCTGAGAAAAGATGAAAAATCCCGGTTGTTTACTTCTGACGCGACAAACATTTTGTGGTATACGTATTTCCAGTCATGTCCATTCAATGTACGCTACACGTTGTGTGTGTGTGTCGCAAAATACACACAGCACCAATAGACAAATGTTATTTCTCGCACGTCTGCAGAATGCAATATACTGGTGGAACATGTGCGGCAGGATTCACCCAACAGCTCGATTTTGAGAGTCAAACTTTTGACCCCCGAACTTTGTTCTCGCAAGAATACCAGAAAAAACACCCAGTTTGTAAAGGATGGTTGTGTGGACGTTTATATCCTACTTTTAAATGCTCTTTCCAATTAACATCATTTAGTCATTTACTTGGTTCATCCTTTTTAGGGGGATTGTACATTTACTTTTTGTAGTGTCCTAGTTGAATTTTTTTGTAAATTGTAAAGATGGTTGAAAAAGAAAACAAACAAACAAAGACTCACTCATTGGCCTCAAAGCTTCTATATTCCTGCCCATCTGAAAATCCATCTGTGCGCTTGCGAAGTTTGACTGTTGAACAAAACAGCGAAAATTTGATGAACTATAATTTTGAATAAATAATCATGAGAAATAATAAAAAAGTCACACAGACTCAACTGAACTGGTTAATATTACTCCGGTCAATTTTACCGCGAAGAAGATAAAGATCGTCGAGCTACAATCATCAAACACAATCATGCAAAATATTTATTTACACAGCAGACAACGCACTCAAATGGTGTTGATTGAAGTGAAGTTATAGACCATCCAAAGTTTTGGCAACCGGTATCAAATGAGGGGAATAATCGTCATAGCGATTTTTTGCAAGGAATACACCTCCAGAGTTGGAAAATACATGTATGTGATAGCATTGCAGCGGTGGCAGCTTTTTAGGTGTTATCACCCTTTTTTCAAAATGTCCATGCTTGTTACCACTCTAGGGGCGGTATACTTTGGGCATGCGCACTATAATCATTTATGCCCTGATCTGATACTGACCAAACCCCCAAGCTGATGGCCTATTATAAACAGACCTAGAGATGTGAAACGTCATGCTTTGTTTACGTGTTTGCTTTCTAAAATGACGTCCCCTTTGCCCCGACAAAAAAAGAAACAAGCATGTAAACAAAGCATGATGTCATGGTGCTATTCTAGTGAATGTTTGCACTTTTCACATTTCTTGTCCTTGCAGTCAAAATCAATCAAGTGACTGTTTTCAACCCTTAAGAATTCCCAGCCCACATAAAGCAGGATTGACTGCCTTGGACTGCTTAAGTAACTCGATGCAGCTGTGCTTTGACTCCGGGAGAGTGATAAAACAACTGTGACCACAGCTTGCCTGCTTTGTCTGTTGACCTAGTTTAACTAGACAAAGTATTTGCTTGATATATGATCTGACTGCCAGTGACTAGCCTTTGTTAAAAGTATAGCAGGGGAAGTGGAAGTGAATTTTGACTGCCCGTGACTGCTAAAATAGCAGGAGGGTTATTGACATTTTACAGACTGTACTTACGAGGTGCCCTGTATGGTCTTGCCTTCGCTGTGGTACTCTCATCTATTTCTTGCTTGACTGCTTTGACGCCCTGTCACAAAATATGATCATACATATGAACTATTAAGTGACAGCCTACATATTTTATTCTGTAAAATTGTTGAGTTGACAAATTTTTGCTAAGCATCAGTTTCCTGTTATGGATTTTTAAAATTCCACTTACGTCTGAGATAGTCTTGTAGGCGGCGGTTTTGGTAAGCTCCTCCCCTTGTTTGCTAACCTTCTCGGCGGCTCCTTTTGCTGTCTTTGTGATGTCCTCTGTGATACTGCCTGCTTTCTTGGCCCATTCTTGTTTCTGGACATCCTCTACACCCTAAAGAGTGGAGTTCACAAATTTGAAAATGTGCCCAAAATTTTCTCTGCGTTTTTCTGAGGAAAAACTCTGTAATTTCCAACAAGAAATATATCTTTATTTCAATAAGCACCCAGCAGAGGCTCTACAAGGACCTTCTGTGGGACTACGAGGGCCTTCTGTAGGACTACCAGGACCTTCTGTAGGACTACCAGGACCCTCTGTAGGACTACAAGGACCTTCTGTAGGATTATGCTGACCTCCTGTAGGACTACTAGGATCTTATGTAGGACTTCTAGGACCTTCTGTGGGACTACGAGGACCTTCTGTAGGACTATGCTGACCTCCTGTAGGACTACTAGGATCTTATGTAGGACTACTAGGACCTTCTGTGGGACTACGAGGACCTTCTGTGGGACTACGAGGACCTTCTGTATGACTCAGAGGACCTTTTGTAGGACTATGCTGACCTCCTGTAGGACTACTAGGATCTTATGTAGGACTACTAGGACCTTCTGTGGGACTACGAGGACCTTCTGTGGGACTACGAGGACCTTCTGTATGACTCAGAGGACCTTTTGTAGGACTATGCTGACCTCCTGTAGGACTACTAGGATCTTATGTAGGACTACTAGGACCTTCTGTGGGACTATGAGGGCCTTCTGTAGGACTATGCTGACCTCCTGTAGGACTACTAGGATCTTATGTAGGACTACTAGGACATTCTGTGGGACTACGAGGACCTTCTGTAGGACTACAAGGACCTTCTGTAGGACTACAAGGACCTTCTGTAGGACTACAAGGACTTTCTGTAGGACTACTAGGACCTTCTGTAGGACTACTAGGACCTTCTGTAGGACTATGCTGACCTCCTGTAGGACTACTAGGATCTTATGTAGGACTACGAGGACCTTCTGTAGGACGACAAGAACCTTCTGTAGGACTACAAGGACCTTCTGTAGGACTACAAGGACCTTCTGTAGGACTATAAGACCTTTTTTGGACTACGAGGACCTTGCGTAGGACTACAAGGATCCCTTTTTGGACTATCAGGATATTTTCTTTTTCGTTTCAATGCCAGTTTGAAATTCATCCATACCTGAACTACATAATTGCATTCCCGATTTGGTTTACAAAAAACACAGAAGGTTGAAATACTGGCTGTCTGTGGCCACTAAATGGTTGAAGTGTAAACCAGCTATGCAACGCTGAAATTTATGTAAATTTTTTTTTTTTTTGTATTTCAGTTTGGAATTTGCTTTAATTCCATCAAGTTCTTACAGCTGAATACATTTTCCAGAATAGTTTACAGACAAATGTGTGGGATAGTTTGACAACTTTATGTCAAATTCTTGTCCAATTTTGTCATCATTACCTTCTGCACTTTATCTTTGATGTCTGTCACAGTTCTCTTGAGTACTTCAGATCCTCGAGATGTTTCTATTTCAATAGATTCCTGCCGAAAAAGAGAAAAAGGGAATTCTGGACTGTTTGCAAATTGTTATTCTCCACTAGTTGATTTGTGTATCATTCAAGACACTGAATGCAGGTTTGATCTCATTTAGCTCCCCACTATTTCAAATTCCATCAAACTAAAAAAATATTGAAGTCCCTAGCTTCTGATGCATCATTCATATTTGACTCCCTAGCTTCTGATCAATCAGCCATACGTTTTAAGAAAATGCAATGTGATTATACAAGTTTCCTGATATTAGAAGGCATTATCCGGACGGACAATGTCCCACTTACATATTTCTTCCTCGCTTGCTGTAAGGCTTCAGACTTTTCCAATTTATCAGCTTCCTCCCGGAACTTCTTGATATTTTCCTACAAAATGAAAACAACAGCAGAATCTGAATTTCCAATTGATAACGAATAGAAATCTGTGCAAATATCTCATCTGCTCTGCTCTTTGCAACTGTGCTGTTAACAATGAATTTTGTACATTGTTATTTTCTTAACGGCACATGAGATCATTTGCTGTTTGTGCTTTTTTTTTTTTTGAAGCAACAAATTGCTCAAAATGTTAAGAAGGGTGCATAACAACTAACCTCAATGTTGAAGTTTCAGCTCAGTGGACACAATACATTTTGAGAAAATTGAGAAAATGTATGCATCTCTTTTGGGGTCTCATACTGGATTATGTTTCTAACACATGTATGTAAAAAACTGTGTCCGCAGGCACACTTTTTTAAACCTCCTTTCTTGTTTGTTTTCTTAAATTTGTGCACGGCTGAGCATAAACAACACAAGGTCCTGCCTAAGACCTTGACACAGTGCATCTGCCGAAATCAGCCACACACTTTTGCCAAATAGTCTCAATCCTGCAAAATCCTCCATTTTGCAAAGAGGATTTTGGAGGATTTAGGACGGTTAGGGTTAAAATTTATACTTTTTACAGTACTAATTAAGTTTTGTTTATGCTCAGGGATTTTATTATTGTCCAACCTTCATCTCTTTGTTCTTGGCCATGTCCAGTTTGATGTTATCAATGAATTGCGATATGAAGCCTTTCCTCTGTGGCTGTTGGGAGTAACATCTTGCCTGAAAAAAAGAAAGAAAAAACTTATTCAAAAAGATCAAACTTTGCACATGCAGAATGACAAACAAGTCAAGTCACGTGAATATGAAATTTTAATTTTCCGAGGGCAAATTATGTATATTACCTGTGCTAGTCTGACGTCCAGTTGATTTTGTGCCATTTGGGTGACGCTTCCATTTGCCACTTGTCCCAATCTCACTGTATGCTGTGGTACTCTCCATAATAACTTTGCACTGGCGCACTGTTAAATAAAACATTTTGAGGTTGGGAATCATTTGTTTCATTAAACTTTGATTGACTGTTCCATTTTCTTATGTTACTGTACACCTTTATGAACCGTAGAATAAGAGAAGTAAAACATTCACTGTTTAAATATTGGTATCTCCCAACTGTAGTACATGTTGACCAAGCTATAGTTCGACAAATGTTGTGGAATATGCTGAAGTCATGACTATAGATGTAAACCATAGTCAGGGAGTAATTGGGGCATAATCAAGAATTATAAAATACGTTTATATAGCACCAAATCCATTTAAATAAAATGCTCCCAGGCACTTCACAGATATGATACAATAACTAAAAGAATAATAACACATACTATTTACGATACAACATCAACACCATTCTAGCTAGATAACAATGATACATAGTAAAAATGTAAAACAGCCTATCTGTTTTAAATTTTTTTTTCATGTTTAAAGCCCTACAAACAGGTCACCATTGGCGATAATAATAAGACCTGTAAGATAGCTGTTTACAGCCCTGTTTGTATACGGAGGGCTAGTTAAAAAAAATGCAGACTTCTTAGGTATTCAACATTAAATGTGTGAAATGTTCATTTTGTCATGTTAGTGACACATTATTTTGCTAAGCCTAAGTAATGCAAGAACACTCTAACATTTTTTAATTTACAAATAAAAAAAACAAAAAAACACAATAAATAACATTAGCCCTAATTTAGCCTAAATAAATATATAATACTTGGTCAAGGGGTAGTGCTACAAATAAGGCTGTAATTGGCTCTCTTGAGTATTAATGGTCCTGTCACCCCTGTTGCCATCATAATTCATATATCACGCCATCAGACAAAAGAGAGAATTACAGCCCTACTTAAGTTGTTGTACTTTTGTAGGGCTAGTCAATTCGGTTCGTCAATTCACGGGGAGACTAAAATCAAGTGAAAAAGGTTTTCAAAGCTCACGACTTTTTTAATATTCAGTTTGAAAACATTTTTTTTTTAAATTTTAAGTTTCAAAGTTATGAAAAATCACCCAAAATGACATTTATGGCAATACTGACAACCAGTGACAATAGTTTCTACAATGGTAGTTGGTACACGTTTGACGAATGTTACATCATCATGCCTGACTGTGTAGTGTAGTGTATAATGTAGTGAGTCATGCTGCTCTGCAGTTTTCAACAGTGCAATGCACGTCGCGCGCATTGAATGTGCATGTGTTGCGCGACGTGCGAACAGGCGAAACAGCACGTGAACTTAATTTCCTTTCCACGTTAATATTTCAACTTTATTCGTTTAAAAAAACAATGACATTAATCTGTCCGTATCATTAATCATACTTCACCATGCAATCGATCTCAATTATGAAATACTCCGTTAATAACGATAAACTTACGTGACTAGCAAGTTTCGCAACGGGGGCAGCCATCTTTGAGCTCCGATTTTTGTGAGATTCACTAATTTTCTATAACACATGGGCTTACAGAAGATAGTGGGGTTTAGATGCATGTACAGCGCATGTGGCAAACTCGCTCCGCCCCGTAAATCTTGTCGCCCATCTATTCTAAGGTACGAGTGGTTTAAATTTCTTTGTGGATGAACTACACGTTCGTAAAACACGTGGGGAACTATAATGCGGCAAACAGTGCGATCGACTGTAGCTCTGCATGGCGCATGCAAGTTAATAAATATTGTGATGTTGGGTATGAATATTCTTGTAAGGCATATAAAGTTGGAATTTTCCTGCTGGTTCACACAGTTTCACCATTACTAGAGCAATAAAACTGACAACACAAAATGTGGCCAAAATTTTAAAATGGCAAATTTTGAAATTGTGGTTTTTAAGGAATTCACTCCCAAAATTTAGTTTTGATAGAATTGAAGAATTTGGGGTAAATAAGTTAAATAACCTACATTTTATGCCAAGTATATATGTACGATCAAAATTGACTTTGCTGTGCCATGGAGGAAGTTCTTATTCGTCCATGGCTATACTTAATGGATATTTTGTTTTTTGAAGAAATTATTTCTAACGTTTGACTTATCCCACAAGATCTGACTTTGGGCGTATTATATATCATGTGTAAATGGGTTGTACTGGTAAAGATGTATGTGCTTTGTTTACAAATTACCATAACCTTGCTTTAAATAAAGTGTTTGTTTTTATTTTTCAGATTAAAATCCATTCAACAAAATGTTTGTACCGAGGGCAGTGAACCGTAAACCAGCAACAAAGCCGGTTAAACCGAAACCTCCAGTCAAGAAATCTGAACATTCAGACAACAGCAGTACACAAAACCAACCTGTCGATCCACAAGATGACAAAGTCACAACAAACAGCCAAAGTACTATTGATCTTCAAGAGCATGCCAAGTCGGCAGGCCTGAGGTCTAACAAACCAGAAAAAACTGTGCCTTCTTCTGAGAAAGGATCCAAAGGACTCAGTGGAGGTGGCACCAAGGATGAGGAAGTCACTTTGTGTCGAAATGTTCTTCCAGATGGTTCAGGATGTTCAGTCGCAGTATTGGAAGGCACATCAACAGATCCGGAGACTAGAAAACCATTAACTAGTGAAGTGTCATCTTTTTCAAAAAGAGATACCATGATCCCGCAAGCAGCTGCTGATGCAACACAGTCAGAGACACAGAAAGAGGAAGGAAATGAATGTCCAACAAGGGATCCAGAAATTGGTGTCAGAAGTGGGATTAGCTCAATACTCCCTCTTGACATTGCTGAAATAAGGCGGTCTGTGGACAAGATCAAGAGAGATGGGAAGCTACAGGCAGCTTCCAGAGACACCAAGGAAAATGTAGCCCAAGACACGAAAGAGGCAAAGGATGAAGATGAGGACTTGGAAGAAACAGAAGATCTGGGTCACGTAGGTCAAGAGGTCGAGGAGGATGAACAGGACGAGGTTGTCTCGTACAGCAAGAACCAAAGATGGCCAGTCAGTGAGGAGGAACCAGTATGTGTGGTGTGTGGGAGGTACGGAGCCTACATCTGTGATCGGACGGAAGCTGATATCTGCAGCCGTGAATGCAAGGCTAGAAATCTGGCAAGACTTGGGCTGACAGCAGGATCGGTACGATTCCAGATGAGCTCCAAGTTTTCATTTAACTGGGAATTACCCAGTAGATGGAATTATTAAAATGGGCTGCTTTCAAAATTTGGATCTTTTAATTGTGCCAAATTTTACAGAGTTTCAGGGATCATGTATCAAGTAGAGTCTGGCTGCTCGTACATCACAGATTTTTACTTGGAAGTACTGGATTAAATTTGACTCGAGCCCTGTTAGATCCTTTGAATTTATACCAAAATGGGAAATTTTTCTTTGACTTTTTTTCCCTCATTTAATTGAGAATGCTCGACACTCTGACTGCTCCATTACTGAAATGTAACTCAAGCCTCAATGGAATTTTCTTTTATTTCAGGAAGACGTCTCTGCTCAAGAAGATACCCAACCAGAAACAATCACCGTTGACATGGTGGAAGATCCAGTTGGCTATATCTACAGAGAACATGATGAGGTGTCTGAACTCACAAGAGAGCAAGTCCAAGAAATCCGGGCTCAGGTAGCGAATGGGTTCAATTTGATGCAGCACAGCTAGGGATGGGGAAAAGGGAGGGAATGTGCCTCTCTCTGCATTGTTCTTGTGGGCAAAATCTTGTTACTCTTAGCAAAAGACTCACTACGTGTACAGTGCATCTCCCACTCCCCCCCCCCCCCCCCCACTCGCTGTCAGATGATTTCTCCAGCACACCTTTTTTTGCCTCTGCAGCATTGGACAATTTTCATTAAAAAAAATCAGAATAGCGCAGCCATCTTATGCATGAGTGAACCTTTTGAGCATTCATTGTTACTGAAATAAAATAACAAAAGATGCCCTCTAAGATGCCCACTACGCATAAGGTCTATTATTCAGGGTGTAGTGATGATGTAAAAATAAGGCCCTCTGAAGTTTATTTTAAACTGAAGTTTCGGTTTCATTTTGTTTGTTTTTGTTAAACTTCAGGTGGATATCTTCGTTGAAGGTGTGGACGTACCAAGACCGATTGTTGAATTCTCACACCTTGTTGCTCCACAGAAAAGTAATTACCAGCATTCGTTCAATAAATATAGATCTTTAAATCCTTTGTGAAGTTTAGACATTCCAGTTACAAACTTCAGTCTTAAAGTAGGTTCAATGAGAACTTTTCAGAGGTTTCTCTTTAACAAACAACTGTAACGTCACTATAGGCCAGTTTAGTTTAGTATACATGTACATTATTTGTACTCGGTGATATAGTCAGTCAGTCAGAGACTTGGTAACAGGACAATAGGGCAGCCATTCAGGTCCAACAGAAATTTTTGATCATTAGTTTAATATGCAGATCTTGCTGTTCTAAACTGGAATTCTCAATTTAAAGGAACCTTGTTCATCATTTTGTTTTAGTGGAATCCAACCTGGCCAGTGTTGGGTACAACGTGCCCACTCCAGTCCAGATGCAAGTTATACCCGCTGCGCTTAGGTGGCGAGATGTGATGGTGTGTGCACAGACCAGCTCCGGCAAAAGTAAGGCTTCATTTTGATACACATGCTGTCATATTTCTGATTTCTATTTTATACAAATATTGAATGCTTCGAGTGGTGTAGTAAAACTAGCCTCCCGAGGTGATCCATGGACATTCCATTTTCCCGAGGCGAAGCCGAGGAAAATGGAATGGTCCATGGATCACCGAGGGAGGCTAGTTTTACTTCACCACGAGATAAAGCATTCAATATTTGCTTTATAACACTTCACCCACAGATTCTGCTTGATTTTAATATTTTAAATTATTTAAATCTGAACACAGTTGAAATAAACTTCAATTTCAATACAAAATTGGTGGAAAATGTATTTCTCTCTTCCAAACTACCCCTTCGTGAAATGTATGAACCCAAGTCTGCGGCGTGCTCTCTTTGGAACAATACGCGCAACGCGCACACCAGCATCCATTTGCACACAAATACCGCGCCGTGGAAATAGTACTTTGGTTGCTAAGGGTATAGTACTTTGGTTGCTATGGGTATAGTACTTTTGACCGTGCACAGAAAGATAGAAAAATTAGAAAGTAACATGTGACTCGCTCTCGGCTAATCAAGACACAGAATCTGTGGGTGAGGTGTTATAAAATGAGTTATATAACCGACATACAGATCCTTGTCATTTGATTGGTGGAACTCACATCACGTGGCATTCGTTATTGCTCCCATTCATGCCGCGGCTCAAAAAGTACTATCCGCCCATGGGGAATGGGAAATACTATTCAACAGTTAGGATCATGATGCGGTATTTGTGTGTAAATGCATGCTGGTGTGCGCGTTCAGCGTTGCGCGTAGCGCGTATTGTTCCAATGAGCCAGCGCTACAGCGTTGGGTTCAAACATTTTCGTGAAAGGGTGGTTTGGAAGAGAGAAATACATTTTCCTCCAGTTTTGTATTGAAAAAAAAGTTCAAATATATCAAATGACAAGGATCTATATGTCAGTTATATAAAACAAATATTGAGTGGCTTTAAATTGTGAAATGGGAGGAATATTATCGCTCGGTAAAATCTGGACTTTTCCAGTTCACTCGGCTTCGCCTCGTGAATTGGAAAAGTCCAGATTTTACCTTGCGATAATATTCCTCCCATTCCACGCTGAGCCACTCAATATTTGTATACTATAACACTTTTTAACGTTGAGGCCTGTGCAGTAGTTTAGCTGTTGAATCAGGCTACATATCACTGTTGTAGTCATCAAGCACAAGTCCAGCCAAGAGTAAATCCCAAGTCAGTTCACAAGTCCAGTCTCAAGTAGCAGGGGATGGGCAATGAAAAAGGAATGCATTTGTCAAAGTTCATTAGAATAGCTTGTGACATGACTTAAATACTGGATGGCCGGTGATGGACTTGCGATAGACTTGTGAGGTATATGACCACAACACTAATACATTGTTGTCGTAACTCTTGCCTTTCTGTTACCTTAACAACTCCTGTTTCAAAGAAAACAACAATGTTGAAAGAGCCAGTTTGTTTTTATGATATTCTTTATTGCAGAGGTTACCTGTTCAATAGTCATCTGTCTGCACTTGTGATTTTTGCAATGTATGACATCCTTGTGAAAGTACAAAAATATTGGCTGACGTGATGGGGGATTGACCAATTACAATTTGGCGCTCGCTCATGAATATGTATGACCTAGAGTAATATTATTTCCTCTAAAATTTTGGGCTTTTTTTGCAGCTGCTTCTTTCCTCGTTCCCACAATTCTACAAATCTACAATACCATGTGCTTCAGAGACAGTACAGATGAAGGGAACGGACCCCTGGGGTTGATCTTGTCACCCTCCAGAGAACTCGCCATGCAGATAGAGGAACAGGCTAAACAGCTGATGCAAGGTAATCTAATGACGTCAACTTAATTTACTCTAGATTTATTTATGCAATCCTAAAGATTCTAAGCCACAAACGTCTTGTATTGTGAGTGCATAGAACACAAACTTTTGCCAGAAAAAAATACTCTACTCTGACTGGCATGCAACTTTTCCTCGGATCAGCTGATTTCCTCTTTTTTCACTTCCAATGTGTGCCATTGAAAATAGAAAAACACTGTACAAAGTCTTGAAAAGATTTGAATTTCCTCTTTTTTTTGTGACTTCCCAGTTGCATAACTCAATAAATTTCACCTGCAAGGTAGTTCTACACAATGTACATTGATCTCCATTATACAGAATATATAATGGAGAAGATCAATGGCAAGATACGATAGAGTCATTCTTGCTCCTCGTTTCATCACTCTATATTTAAAAGTCTACTAGGAGTTGGCATATAATTAAATGTTGTAAATAAGCTACCCACATATAAAAAATCTTTTCAAATCTGTTTCCACAGCAGTTTCGTCCTTGAAACTATAACTCTAGATCGAAACTCTACTTTAACGGCACTTATTTCCAGACGATATATAAATGAGTGCACGCATCAATGAGATAAGATGACCCTCGGACCGATCTTAAGTTAAGACGAGTTCAGCCGCGTTGCTAAGGAAGTTAGGACATGTTGAACGCATCTTAAGTTTGGTGAAATCGATCCTAGGATGAGTTGTGAGCTTAGACGAGTTACCCTTCCTAAGACGCCTATTAGTGTTTCGTGAAATCGGCCCCCGATGTACTACTCCAGACTTGGTTCTGATGTATTCCATCCACAAGTTATGGATGTCATGCAAATGAGACCAATCTACAATTGTTTTAAATCTGCATAATATGGTGTTAGTTCTAATGCCTCATATTCCCCACAAAAGATCCTACCATTCAGGTAAAGAAAAACACTTTCTCAGTTAAAAACCTAAATCTTTTGCAGTGAAATGCTCAGCACCCCATCTTAATCATGTGAAAAATGACTTGTAAAATGTAAGCAACTTAGAAAAAAAAATACTTGGAAGCAGCATTGAGATCTTTTAAACATAAAATAACTGCTGCAAATTAGTAATTGCTACATTGTAAAAGTTAAGTGGGTTTGTATTTGAGATAAGGATTTATTGATTTGAGCAGAATCTTCTTTCTCTGACTGGCTTTACCATTTTTCGATTGTTCTACTGTCAGGTCTGCCCAACATGCGTACAGCTCTGGTCGTAGGGGGAGTGCCCCTACCTACCCAGCTACACAGACTCAAGCAAGATATCCAGCTAGTCATCGCTACTCCTGGGAGAATCTTAGATGTCATTGCCAGACAGGGTCAGTCAGAGGGGCCTTGTCATAATGGGTTTTTTTTCAGAGAAGAGGAGGATTGTGCCATCTTTCAAAGAAATCGGAGATTTTCTAGCTTTGCTTGCACCTATGATGAGTATTTGTAACAGCTAATCTGAGCTCTCACTGGCTGGATTTTAAATAATGAAAGGTTTGCGGAAACACCGTGTGCGAATAATTTCTCAACTAAGAGGATGGTTCTGAAAAGAACCAGAGGTATAAACTCGACGTTCCGGTCAGTATGCTCTGACCGTCTTCAGGAGGCTGGATTTTGTTCAAGTGGTAACCACTTTCACCACTGAACACTATCCCGGGACCATTTGCACACAATAAATATACACCCTGTCACCCGCATCATTTAGACCATATTTTCATTTTGGAAAGATGTTTTGGAATTGTCATTCAAATTGTTGTGGGAGGAGGACCTTATAACACAATTGTGCTGATTTAGGCTTGGTTGTGTGATATTAATCACTAAATATCTAATCCAAAAGTGTTCGATAACAAAAGGTGTTTTAATTTTAAAATATTAAAAACTGACTTGATATTTTGTATTTTTCATTTTATGGACAGGTATTTCATTAGCAGCTATCAAAACACTTATAATTGACGAGGTTGACACAATGCTTCACAAAGGTTTCCAGCAACAGGTAGGGTAGGCCTACATTATCACTATCTGTAAAGATCACAAAGTCTTAAACAACGTAGCCAATGTTTTGCCTTGAGGAGTAATATGTACAGAACATGTGAGTCACTGAAGAAAAATGGAAGTCTTTAGACATTGGTTAACAGTTTCTACAACATTTGAATTTCCTCTCATCAGGTGATGGAGGTCGTAGGTCATCTACCAGACTCCCACCAGACCATGCTCTTCTCGGCTACAATACCCCCCTCTATTGAGAAGTTGGCCTCTTCACTCCTTCATAACCCACTGTACATTTCAGTCGGCAAGGTAATTATGTAGCGCTGCACCTATCTGTGCAGAAATGCATAGACGCTAGTGTACAATACATTATACACATGCGGCTTCGAGCTGAAAAAGGCATGCACATCTTATACCACATATGTACAGTACATGTACATGGGTGATTATATTCGCTTGAACACTCGCTTGAGCTACATGTAGAGCGGATCGACTGTGATTTTCGCGGGCATAATTCGGCAGTAGCGGAAAACATCAGTGCTTACACGCGAGGGAAATGTGGGGAAAAATGTGGACCATCGGTAGAAAAAAGCGGAAAACAAAAACTGGCACGCTCAACAAAAATCGGAAATCTGCTAAAAATCAGAGATTTCAGAATTCAGACCCCTGCACTGAAGACCCCTTCAGCACAGTATTGTAATGGACAAACCAATTCGGAATTTTTTTTTTAAGATGAGGCGCTACCCAAATGGGCAGCATAAATAACATTTACTGAGGGTTTTGCACATCACTGATATAATTTTATAAGCTTACCAATTATAAGCAGGTTACCAAATATTAGAATTTACATTTCCCCATTGGCAAAATTTCATAACCAAACAAAGCAACGCAAAAAAGCAGGCGGATCTGCCAAGCAGTGACATTTTACACACACAAATGAATAAGTAAAATAAATATAGAGCTTGGCTCAAACAAGTTCTCAGAGAAAATTTAATTAATGAATCATTTCAATTAATTAATGAATAGATTTTAGTGTGGAGACTAGTGTCCAATTTCATGGCTCTGCTAACCACAGAATTCCACACTAATGATCACCATTCTGTGCTCGCTTAGCTAGCAAACTAATTCATGTTAACCCTGTAAGCACAAAAACCTTATCTACAGGATGTATGCGTGTGCATGAGCCATATTCCTTGGTAACTTGCAAAAAAACATCCTCGCTTACCTGTAACAAGCAAAATCCAAGTCCCTCTGATGTGCCCCTAACTGACTGAACATTGAAAATGACCACACCTTAACCCCAAGCAGCACACTTATACTTCATCTCTACCCTGCTTGAATGAACAGAAAAACAAAAGTATGCACAACCCAGACAAAACAATGCATACTGTTGACCTGGCCAGGATAGGAATTTTAAGAAGTTAAGGGGGCTTTTGTTGTATGAGGCTAGTAATAACTTAAGCTCACAGCCGCTAGGAAATAAATTTAAGTTACTCAGCATAGCACATTTTTTTTTTTTTTTTTACAGTACAGGTGTTAGTTTCTTGGTACATGTGTTCTAGTCATTATTGTTATACATGTATTTACAATCACTGGTTCCCCCTACCTTTTTAGCCCAATACTCCATGCACCTCAGTGAGGCAGATCGTGATGTGGGTCGAGGAACCAGCTAAGAAGAAGAATCTCTTTGCCATACTGCAGGATCCTAAGCATTACAAGTAAGTTCCCAAAAATATTCAAAAAAAAAAAAATCCTCAACTAGGGATTTTTTTTAAAATTATAACTAATTAGTTTTGCACTTTTAATCGCCCAATTTGATTTTTTAAAATTTCAAATCTAAGCAGGGATGGGTGAAAGTCCTATCTCAATTAACACGTTTCGGGATTTTCTGTAATTGCAAATAACATGACATTTGGGTATAATTTCCTCATGTACCTTTGAAAATTGTCCAAACCTAATTACAGCCCTGCAGACACTAGAGTGGCCATCACAGAGATTGTCCAAATGAATTAATCAATCCTATGATCAGAAAAAACAATATATCTTATATCCCGCATAATTGAATTGAGAACAGTTTCTGTCACATCTGTTCTTTTTTTTTTTTTCAGACCTCCGTTGGTAGTGTTCGTGGACTCCAAAATCGGCGCTGGGCTTCTGTCCTTAGCGATTCACAAGGTAGGTTTCAGGCCTGCGAATTGAAAAAAAAGAAACGATTTGAATTGCATAGGATATATAATTTAGTTAGTGTTTGGTAGATTGCGACCAACTATCATGTGTGAACCACATGAGTTGGAATTGTTTGAATTATAAAAAACATGTATAAGAACTCTCGCTGATTGCACATTTTCTGTTTACTTCTTGCCACAAAGTAGTTGTTAGCTACTGCAAAAGACAGATGTACAAAGTGATTAAAAACTCTTAATTATTATCATTTCATGGCTCTACTAACCACAGAATTTTGCCATACTCAAGTTTTCATTTTAAGTTTTTGCCTACCTCTCTCTTTCAGATGTGCGATATCCACGCTGCCTCTCTGCATGGTGACAGACCCCAGAGCGAACGCACTGAGACACTGAGGGCCTTCAGGGAGGGGGAGTACCCAGTACTGGTCTGCACGGCGGTCCTGGGTAGGGGAATTGACCTACCGGGGGTCAAGATGGTGGTGAACTTTGACATGCCCAACACCGTGGAGGAATACATCCATCAGGTTCGTGTCTGTAGTCTTAATCACCAGTCACAGTTAAAACCCAGCTAAAAAGAGTTGTAGTGATTATGCATATAAGTGAAAGTGATCTTTTTAATGTCAACTGGAAATGCAACCAACTAAAGATTCTGTTTCTATTAGGTGCACATTGATGTCTGCTATGGTGAAAGTTTAAAACCCAGTAACTAGGAGTCACAAAAAAATATGGTTATAATTTCAACTCATTTATTACGCAGTTTTGCCATTAAATAATTACGAAAGTTTTGTTAACGTTTTGCGAATGCATTTTTTTCTGCTCATTTTTGTAGATTGGCAGGACGGGTCGACTCGGCAGCAAAGGAACGGCTATAACCTTCATCAACAACAGCAGCAAAAATATCCTTTCAAAAATGTTGATAAAATATCCCACAAAAATCCCCAAATATTGATGCTTTATTTTTCAATTGTATTTCGATATTGTGAAATATTTCATGATCCTTAACAGATTGTGTACATGTAGCTGTGCCTCGGAGTGTCTGAATGGTGTGCAAGTGACATCACAACAGGACAAGTCCAATCAGAGTGACATATATCTTGTGTTGAAAATGTACATTTGGTTGTAATAAACTAGGAACAAATGGGATGAAATGGCATCTACATGCACAAACAATAGATGGCGCTCTTGACCACTCACGAGAGCTCTGGTTATTTATTTTTCTACTATACTCCCGAGGAAAAGTCTTTGTGTTTTCCTTTGTCCCTGTTATATAACACTCTCCCATTGACTAAGCACACAAATGTACGATCGAGGACCGTTTTCAACAAAAGATGCACGCTCGAGGACACGAAAGAATCTGTTGTTCTCCTTTGTGTTTCTGTCCTCGGGGTGCATGTAGTTCACTCCCACACTGGTGTGCGCGTGTATGACACAAAGTATGCAGTCACACAATATGGACCGTACTCAGGTCACGTAGGGCTAGCTACGTACGTAGGTGAGGCGGCGCGTTTGGAGTGACTTCCGACATGTTATCTTGAAAACTTCAGGCTGAGTCCTCAAGATAGTCGAGTCCTCGTTGTTCGAGTCCGAGTCCGAGTCCAGGTCCCCACTATCCGAGTCCGAGTCCTTGAAAATGGGGACCCGAGTCCGAGTCCAGACTCAGGTTCTCCAGCACTGGTATGCACAACTAATTTGATTCCAAATGTGCATGCCTTCATCTTCATCTTCACATGACCACGGGGTGTATTGGGGAATGCATTCAAAAGTCCAGCCTAACTTTCTCATTGTAACCACGGAGTGGTTACTTTCACATGGAGTCAAAAAGCTGTTTGGTGTCATATTTCCCTGGAAAATCTGAAAAGGTCATTTTCTTTTAGCAAACGAAATCATGTTTATGATGCAATATTGGAGTAAATAGACAAGAATCCTGCATTTTAGACACAATTCACTTTGCTGTAGTTTAAACATTACAATTTTTTTTAATATCTTTTATTTTAAGATTGAAATAAAGTTGCTGAATAGGTTCAATAAACATTGTTTCTAATGGGCTAAGGAGAGTTGGGGGGGGGGGGGGGAGACCACTGGCAGAGACATTCGAACGCATTCCCGATGATGCCTGAAGCTCATGCGGAGATGCCATGGCTGTGAGCATACGTGTATTCAGAATGAAATTAGATGTGCATACTTTGCGCTATATGTGCGCGAACCTGTATGCGCAGCCAGTGTGCCCTTCCACTGGAGCCTTTAAAAAGTGGTAAAAAAACGCCCCGTCTTGTGCGCGCAAAGAGCCTATAATGTAACGGTGCTCTCAATTGCTTAAAATAGGCCTTTCTGTGTCACCAATATATTATAGTATAAGAAAACCATTCTTTGCATAGTGTAAGGTAACATGAAATGAAACAGTTAGCAACAGTTTGTTTTTTCCTTGACTCACATCCACACATCTCTTCCTGGAGTATGTCAACACCCTGCGGCCCCTCGGCGTCCCCCTCCCACCCCAGCTGACTAACTCCGCCCACTTGAGATACCAGCAACTGGGCCACCAGAGCTGGCAGGAGGCCAGGCACAGGAGAAGAGAGAGGAGAAACGAGGAGAATCAGGATGCTGGTCGCTGTGGCAACGCAAGCTATTTCGGCTACAAGAGACGGAAACAGGAGACAAGGTGGGAGGGTAGAAGTTTAAAAAATGTTTTCACATTATTTTACAATTTTGTTCTTGTGTACAGTCGAGTCTCGTTAATGCAAACTCGTTCGGACCTAGCCAAATTGTTTGTTATATCAGAATTTTGTATTAAGAGGAACATCAGTCCCATTCCTTGTGCACATAAATGCACAGTCGGGACCAAGGGTTTATGTTTGTTATAACCAGAATTTTGTATTAACAGAGTTTGTACTAAGGAGAGTCAACTGTATTTAGAAATTGTGAATTACTGTAGCAAAAAGTGTTTATAGTGGTAAGAATCAAGTTGTGAGATTTTGGATTCTAAGGGCAGAACAAAGAAAAGTTTCTGATGTTATGGGATCCATGCGTAAACAGGAGAGGGCGCTTTTTGACCACTTTGGAGAGCCCCGTTGACAGAACACACTGCGTGCATGTAATAGTTTGCACAACTAATTTTACTGGCAATGTGCATAAACCTATAGTGTCTATGCATGAGTATCAGGCGTCACCGGCAATGCGTTCAAATATCGCCCCAGTGGTCTCCCCCAACTCTCCTTTTCTTACTGTTGAGGGGGTACTGGAGTATGGAGCCCCTACAATACTACTGGTGTACTGATACTTTTTTTGTCTCTCTTTTTGCAGTGCTGTTGGAGAACTTCTGAAGAAACGCAAGCACAAGAAGGAACCGAGATGATAACCTCCTGAACAAAAACCAGATTCCTTGGCAGAATACAAGTTCTGGACTTTGAAATTTAAAACTACCAACATGGGCCCCATTGTGGGGCCAAACTTTGGGAGTCAAACTTCCGTTGGCTGTATTCGTACCTTGTGGCACAATTTGCCGATGAGGAACTCCACGTAGTTTTGACTCACCGGTCGTGTGGTGAAGGCCTGGAAAGAAGTTTCCTTTACAGCTTAAGATGCACTCTCCGTGCTATTTTGAGTTTCATCCCAAAAAACAAGGTTTTTTTCAGTTGCTTTTTTTTCCTAGCAATGTAAAAGTTATCCATGTAATTATTTCTATAAAAGTTTAAATTGTTTGGGGCTCAACAATAATTCGGCTCCTGCTGGTTGGTTTCATTTGTACACAAAAAGAAAGCCCTTTACATGTATGGTTGTTGATGTCCTAAATTTGAAGAAAAAAAAAGAAGTATGTTAATTTAAAACAAAGCGTGCAAATTAAAAATTCATTACGAGCAAGTCTACTTTTTAATAAGAGTACGGGACACGCATCTTTAGGAAAAAGCCCATAAAAAGCTTGGATTTGAGACTTTATGCCAATCGAGGCTATTTCAGTACTGGACACGGAGGGTACAAATTTCAAGTTTATAACAAGGTTGAAAGAACCTTTCATTTTACATGGAGTTGGCATAAAGCAAATGCTCTTTCAGTACTTACAGTTCACAGCCTTGGTGTTGGTTTTCAGTTTCTGAAAGAATCATCTTACCCCAAGACTGAGAGATTAAAGTATATGATTCTTTTATAAGCAAATTTCTGTTTGTTTTGTTTCTGCATTTGATCTGATTTTTTTAAATTTATTTATTTCCATTATCACACAAAAGTGGTTTAACATCTAAATGCACATAGTAATAAATGGCAGACACCAGAAAAAAGCCGAGGCTTATACAAGGCCCGCTTCCAATTGGACATAAAAGAGTGAAGGTTTCCATCGTTTGGCACACAAATTTATTTTTTTTGTATTTGTGAAGATGTTAAAAATGGAAGGGAAAAAACTCACGTGTTAGTACATAAAGAATTGTGATACCAAAAGAAATTAATTTCAAATTGAGAAATAAATAACCTTTTGAAGGATAGATCTGTCGATGAAATCATGAGGTTTTGACTCGATAACAAACGACACACAATTAGTCATTTTAATTCTCAACAAAATATTTATTACAGCCAGCCAATGACAAACCAGATATATTCCATTTTTGTTGAAATGGATAATCACTTCAATTTTAAAATGGTCCATTTTTTTCCGAACAATTCTTTTCTCTGAAATCCATGTGTAACTTTTCTTGAACCAATTTTGTACCAGATTTTTGGAACCAGTTCCAAATACTTTTTAAGGTGACCAAATTTCAACAAATGTTTTAGTCTGAAAATTGGAAACCAAATATGTTAAAACATTTTTATGTGCTATACCAGAAACCTAGGCCGAAAAGTCATGCTTTTATAAATAACTAAAAAGGCCTCATAGCATTTTGATTTCATCTGAATTCAAACTTTGGTGAGCGGATGTAATGTGTGAATGGTCAAATTTATTTATCATTTCACAAGGTAATCACAGTTCAAAACTCTAGTCATTTCTAAGTGAATGGAGGGTGGAATGAGCTACACACTCCTGGCTGGAACATCACTGGTGTCTTCCGCAAAATCAAATTCAATCTCATTCAAAGCTAAAAAAAAAACGTCCAGACAATCTTCTTTGAAAACCTTTATATAAATTCTGAAGCACTTGCTAAGGATTTTTTTAAGTGAATGGTTAGGTCTGGGAACACTCTTCATGGCTCGAACGTCTCCAGGAACTTGAGGACCACGCCCTTGAGTTTCTCCTCCGTCTCCGGTGTGATGGCGCCCTTGGTGCGGATGTCCTTCAGGATCTCCTGCTGGCTGGTCTGGATGTGCACCAGGAAGGCCTTCTCAAACTTTGTGATGTGGGCCGGGTCCACCTTGTCCAGGTGGCCGCGGACACCGGCGAAGATGACCGCCACTTGCTCCTCGACGGCCATCGGGACTACAGAAGTAGAGATTGACAATTGGTCATTGACATAAGAGTGCTGTAATGGCACCATTTGGGGGTATAAACACATGTGAATCCAAGGTTATGGACAGAAGTTTACATACTGCCACACCCAAAAATGTACACAAAAAGAAAGTCCTTTAAATGTATGGTTGTTGATGTCCTAAATTTGAAAAAAAGAAGAAGTATGTTAATTTAAAACAAAGGGTGCAAATTGAAAATTCATTACAATCAAGTCTATTTTTTGATAAGAGTACAGGACACACATCTTTAGGAAAAAGCCCATAAAAAGCCTGGATTTGAGACTTTAAATAGATAAATAAGACAATTTTTTATTTCACTGTAAAATTCTAAAAACAAATCAAGACTATACAATTTGGTCTAAAGGGGCTATCTTGGTTGTCATCCAAGTCAAATTGTTGGGCTAAGGTGAAGCTTAAGAAGTTTAATTCACCAGTGACAGGCGGTCAGTATTTCAGTGAGATATTCACAAAGAGGACCCTAGACAGGCCCTCTTGGACAAGTAAAAGCTTTTGAGTACATACCATACTGTCCCTGCTTGAGCAGCTCCGTCAGACGCACTCCTCTGTTGAGCAGGTTCTGGGTGGCCGCATCAAGATCAGAGCCAAACTGGGCGAAAGCTGCCACCTCACGGTACTGGGCCAACTCCAGCTTCATGGTACCAGCTACCTGCTTCATGGCCTTGATCTGGGCGGCCGACCCGACGCGACTGACCGACAGACCCACGTTGATGGCCGGGCGGATGCCCTTGTAGAACAGCTCGGTCTCCAAAAAGATCTGGGGCGCAAACAATTGGGATTTATTACTACACATTACAAGGGAAATGTTAGATCAATTCCATTTTACACAGTTTTATGCCCACAATATAACACGGCTGTCCAAACTGCTAAGTACACCTAAAGAAGGTTACCATGATTAAATACAATATGCAAAAAGCTCCGAATTTTTTTTCAATCAATGGGACAAACATTAAACTTTCAATTCTCAATAAGCCATTTGCGTGTAACCCATACCCTTTGGGATTTACATTTGAAAAACGTCTGGTACAATGACTTGCTCAGAATGCTTGGCATATTTTAACTGTGAATTCACCAGACCAAAGACACTGTTGCTAATCACATGATTCGGGGCAAGCTCTTGCATAGTTACGTAAGAGACGCTCAGCACCAATACATCGTTCACAATGGGTGAGAATGGCACAAAGACACCAGACCATGCCGGAGCTGGGGGTTGCTAGCATAAGGCTTGCCCCGAATCACGTGATATAGTAACAGTCTCTTTGGTCGGGAGAATGCTAGGTTAAAACGTGCAAAGCATTGTATTAAGTCAGCGTTCCAGATTTTATTCAAATTTAACACGCAAGTGGCTTATTGGGGCTCGTTTCAATTCATATGTGGGACGAGTTCCGGACACTGTATCAGGTACAAGTTGCAGGGATTCTGAACAACTTCCCTGCAATCTTCCCTGCAATGAAGTTATCAGTATTGATGAGTCACGCAGTTGTGAATGAACATTTTCCTGGAACACGTCCAGGACAGATGCAGAGCTTCTTCTGGACAAATTGAATGATTCTACCCACTTCTTGTCTGGAACTCGTCCCGGATATGAATTGAGACGGGCCCTTACAAATGTCTAGGTCTTTGATCTTTGTTTCTATGCACCAAGCTAGAGTCCGTGTTGTAACTATGGGAAATTGCAGCCCCACAATAAAAAACACACAAAGATCTTATTGATCAAGCTGCATTTCAAAGGGAAATTTGCCCAAGCACAAGATGGCTGTAGCAGACAGCTATAAAGAACAAGAAAAGGCCAGTCTAGAAAAGCTGTCCCAGAGTGTTCAAAATTCTATTCCAATAATTCAAAATAGCTATAAACTGGAAAGTCTTTTCATGCATCTGGTCTTCACGATGGGCCACATTTAGAACATTCACTGGTGTTTCAAGTAATCCTATACAATAGCACTGCCCCGCTCGCAAGTGACAGTCAGTCAGTCAGTGAATTCATACCCAGCCTCGACTCCATGGGCGCGTGTGCGTTCCTTCACTAACTAACCCCTGGCCGTGATGTACACGTAAACGATGCTGACTGGCTATTCAGAGCGTACTGCGCGCGCATTTCGAAGATTGCATGCCTGGCGCGCCCATAATGCGCTCGCGTGCTTTGCATGTAACGTCACGTACGAAAAAAATCATGTTATTCAAAACTCGCGATGGATTATGGCAGCCTCGTTTTTTGCTTAAAAAAAAAACCCTCTATCTTCGGTTGTAAAACGTTATGTTTGAAAGGATTGATTCTTCAAAATCACAACTTTGACATTTTAAAGATGCCATCGGCACGTAAAACAGATAAACTGCAGCCTTATTATAATGTGCCATATTTGGACACATTTAAATTACACAATTCCAGGGGTTGAGATCGCGCAAGGCATGATGGGAAACAACATGGCGCAGCAAGATCTGGTACCCATGGGAACGAGGTTGATTCATACCTGTCCATCAGTGATAGAGATGACATTAGTCGGGATGTAAGCCGACACATCACCGGCCTGGGTCTCAATGACAGGCAAGGCAGTCAGGGAACCACCACCGAAGTCATCGTTCATCTTAGCTGCACGCTCTAGGAGACGGGAGTGGAGGTAGAAGACATCGCCGGGGTAGGCCTCGCGCCCTGGGGGACGCCTCAGTAGTAGAGACATCTGACGGTAGGCTACAGCCTGGGGAAGGTGAAGTGGAAAAATCCTTAAAACTCAGTGGGTTGATACGATAAGTCCATAATTCACTATGTCCTGGGTCAAACTAGCACCAGGGAAATTAAGTATGATCTACTACACTGAAAAGAAAAATAGGTTAGGTGGTGGGTAAAACATTGGTTTTTGCTTTAAATTTTTATAGTCTGAAAAATAGTGTGGGATGATTGTCGATTGATTTTTTTGAACTATTTTTTTTGCATGCATATATATGAATTTGTAACAGTTAACATGTGAATCGATTGTTCAATCTGCATTTGCGGGGCTGTTTATATAGGCTTCGCTGACCAACTAACAAAAAAATGAAATATAAATTGCAAAATATGCAGGACCAAGTCCGCAAAAAACTAGGGTGTGGGTGTACTGATGCACTGAAGACTTCTAGATCAGACATACAAACATTCCCTGACAGATTGGCTATTTAAAGCTATAGTCCATCATTTGTAATTTGTGCATTTTGTTCGTTTGAAGCAACAAAAGTGCTCAAATCTAAAGAAGGGTACTGAACAACTAACCTAATGAAGTTTCAGCTCAGCTTCAGCTGTATATTCCGAGAAAAACAGCATTCTAGGATCTCAATTTCAAATCAAAAGTTGCTGAATCATGTTTTGAATTGCGCCTGAATTCAGCGTCCGAGACACGTATAGCAGCCGCGCGCGCGTGTGCGTCGTGCCAATGATTGCGCGCACTTCGCCGAATAACAAAACGAACTACTTATTTAAATTTTCCTACGGTGCGTCTTAAAGGCCACCGCACACTATACGATCCGACTACGACCCGACTGATTTTTAGTCGGATCTTAAGGTCTGCGGAGGAGTACGACCACGATTTTCCCAGTCGTGAATCAGATCCCGACTGGTCGGCGCCTCAGTCGTAAAGATTCAACTGTCTAATCTTTGCGACCAGAGTCGGGGACTTGTCAGCTGGATGATATGGCCCGCCAGCGTGCAAAAAAGGAAGTGTTAAATTTCTTTTGTTCAATTAAAAAAACCTAATAATTTTAATCCATAATTCAGGCATAACGTAATTCAATTTGATAAACAAACCACCGGGGTAGAGTTTTAAAAATAAATCTAGTTTGAGTTCTTGGAGTTTTTACCACTCAGGTAAATGTTTTTGTGACAGCATTTTTTGTTGCAATGGCCTTCCATACAAAGGCAAAACATGCATATATTCAACAAAATGGCGGGCGCAGAAAAATCAGAGTTGTGCAGCGCTAGCGCTGTTGATGTTGCACAAGCAAGTCCTTGGTGTGATGAAAAAGAAGAGACTCTTGTGGAAATGTGGAGTCAAAGGAACTGCCTGTTCGATGTATCCTCCAGGGGATACAGTAACAGGCAGCTGAAGAGACAGTCCATTCAGGAATGTTCGTCTGTTCTTGAGATAGCAGGTACGGTCATGACTGTGTGCCTGTGGCATGGCCATGATGGCAGTGTAGGCCTAGTCGTCGTACGCGTATGCATCATTGCATGCTATATAAATTGCTATAGTAATACATGTATGTAGCTTTGTAAATTGTGTACGTGATCCCGATATGGAAAGATTCCCATATTTGGCCATCACAAATTTTTCCCTTGAATGATCTATCAGTTCAGTGGCGCACCCAGGATTTGGTTTTTTGGGGGGCATGAAAGCCATGATCATGATGGGTTAGGGGCTCAATTTTTTTTTCTCAAAAAATGCTGCCCAAAATGTTTGGCCGTAGTAAAGAATTGTATTGGGGGATGGCAAACTATTTGATACTTTAATACACCCCTAATATAGTACTGCTCGAAAATAGGCCACAGAGGGCATGGAGGACCAACATCACCATGATCACCAAGTAACATCGTGGGACTAAAAATAAAAAACTGACAACCTCTTGGGGGGGGGGGGGGGGGAGGTGACTCAAGCCCCTGAGCCCCCCCCCCCCCCCCTTTCCTAATAATGTTTGCTTTGAACCTTTATTTTAGTTTAAGAACAATTTAAGTGTAATGACATTTCATCCAAAATTTTCCAGTGCATTCGGTAAATAGTTCTTCTTTATTTCCTCTATTTACATACTTGAAAATGTTAAACTGTTTATACATATATTTTTTCTGGAACATGAAATGCACACAACACATTTTATTAATTCATTAAAGGTTACATTTATGATGTTCTGTATATTGCTTTTCTCCAAACAGCCATGAACCTACAACAAATATTCATGTAGAGTGTATAAATAAATTGATAAAATATCTTACAGTTCATTCATTTTATGTCTTCAGTTGATGACATCAGCAAAAAAATGACGTCTCTGCGGACACAGTATTCCAGATTGGTCAAGCCTCTACCTAGTGGATCTGGTGCAAAAAAAAAGACCCCCCGGCAGGAATGGATTCTGAAGAATCTAGATTTCTTGGCACCCCATGTGAAGGCGAGACCTTCTGTTTCAAACCTCAAGGTAATCAAATTAATGTTTTCATTGTAAACCTTACATATATGTCACGGCCATAGAGTAATATTAAATTACTAGAGTGCTAACTTGTCATTCTGCATGTGGAGACGCTTTGAAGCCGTCCTGGGCGTAGACATTTTTAATTCATGTGCATGTTTGTAAAACATAATGAAATTAGATGTATTTAATTTGGAAAGTGTACTCTACATGCAACGGGCAAGTAGAACATACGCAAACAACCTCAGCGTGTCATTGACGGTTCAAAAAAACGTGACTGCAAAAAGCATCAGCAGCGAATACATGCACGAGCAAACTGACAGGCTCATTTGCTGATCGTGCATTTCGATTTTGGGCGCATTGGCTTCGATAACTCACCGGTATGGAATACCAACGCAGATATGCAAATAGCCGTACAAAAGCCGTACAAAATTGCTAGGTCTCCATAGGTTTGTGCACAAACATGGATGCACCCAGCCGGCATAACTTCGTACACGAATAGCGCTTTAGTAATTTAATATAACTCCATGGTCAAGGCATTGCTAGAGAAGTTCGAAGAGAAGATTTCAAATTGTTTATACACCCCCCCCCCCTTCAATAACAAATATTACTTATCCTTTAGTTGCACTGTTGTGTTTGCAGTGTAATTTTTGCATATGTTCATACAAAGTGCAAAAGTGTAGTGCAAGATTGCTTAGGCCTACACAATGCCATTCTGCCATTCTACAGATCCCTCCTCAGAGGAAAAGTAGTCGCACAACAAATCACGGTGCTCTTTTGCAGAGTACACATGATTGGTTGTTTTTGGTAGTGCTGCTTTTGGCAGGTTCACTAGTGTTCTCCACCTTCCTGGTACTATCTCACTGGTTGAAGGGTTTTCCGAGTCAGCAAACCCTGGGGGTACATACACTGCTTTTGCTGTTTTATGCGAACGCAGGAAGTTGTGCAGTGAGCAAGCGCAGAGAACGATAATCTCAACCTTTTCTGGTGAAAGGACTATCGGGTTTAGCAGGACACGAAACCGATTGGCTAGTATGCCAAATGCATTTTCAACCACTCTCCTAGCTCTTGATAATCTGTAATTGAACACCCTTTCTTCTCTGGACAACTGCCTCTTACAATAAGGCTTCATCAGATCTTTCCTTAAAGGAAATGCATCATCTGCTACCATGACATAAGGCAGCTGCTTGGTTGGATCACCTTGCAGTGGAGCAGAGCCTGGGATGTTCAGTGCATTCCCTTTAAGTGCACGAAACAACGAGGAGTGTGAAAACACTCCTCCATCGGCAGCTCTGCCATTGCATCCAACATCAACATATAAGAACTTGTAATCTGCATTGACCAACCCTAATAGAACAATACTGAAGGTGTGCTTATAGTTATAGTACATGGATCCACTGTTACCAGGAGGTTGGATGCGAATGTGCTTCCCATCTAAAGCACCAATACAATTGGGGAAGTTCCAGCATGTCTCAAACTGGCTCGCAACTTTCTTCCATTCCTCAGGAGTATCTGGAATCTGGAGGAAAATAACATAAATTTGTGTTAAATTTGATTTTTTTTTCAGATTGATTCGATTCAACAGGATGCTGGAGAAGATGATGAAGCAGAGGATAACACCAGTGTGGCTGTGGTGCAAGATGACATCCCGAAACCATCTGCAAACACCCCGGACAACAAAAAGAAAAAGCGAAAGATTGAGGAGGATGAATTCAGTGTCATCAAGTCTCTGCAGAAAGTTCTGGAGGAGCCAGAGGAAGACGACGACACTGTTTTTGCTAAATATATCACAAGAGAAATGAAAAAAATCCAGGATGAAAGAACGAAACTTCTTTTGCGACAGAAGTTTCAAACTTTGATTGTTGAAGCAAGAATGGGCGAGCTGATGCCTTACCAAGGACCACATGCATTTTCAGAGATGTGATTTCTTGATGGTTTTTGCCTCAACAATTATATATTGAAACTTTTGCTGTAATAGGTTTTTTTCAAATACTGCTCCCAGTTTACCAAATTTAGTAAGGTCCCCCCCAAAAAAAGTACTTGGTCTCTGGTCAGCGCACGCGTCGATTTTAATCATGCGCATCAACCGGTTTTTTTTTCTTCAAATTAACACGGAAGCTACAACAGCGCCCTCTATTGCTGCACCTCCTCAAAATTTTTGTACCAAGGATGGGGAAATTGCACCAAGGCAAATGATATTAGGGGCACCAAGGCAAATTATGGAGGACACCAATAAATAATGAGGACACAAAAAAGCAAAATAGTACATACCTTTTCTGTACAATTCAAGCTTGAAAAAAAAAAAGCCACCAAAAAAAAATGCGTCGCCCCATCAATTCCGGAATTTTGGTCTGACCAGAGACCGATTTGTTTTAAAAAAAATTTGGCCTAACGCCCACAATTTTTCCATTTCTGAAAATTACAGTAAAAGCAAATGTTATTGCTATTGCAACTTAAAAGTTTTCATAATTTTTATCCCCCTTTGGATCTGTCTGTGTGTGTGTTTTGTTTTGGTTAGGTTGATTCTTGTCAGCACATACATTGTAACTTCAGAAATACTTTATTAGGAACTTGAAGTTTCGTTTTTGGGGCCGACAGGTTAAATGTTTCTTCCGTTTATGTAATCCACGTTGTGCTTTCTTTAATAAAATTGTATAAATTCTTGCCACTATTTTTTATTAACGTTTTTAAAATGCTGATTTATTTATTGAACAAATACATGTATTCGTTGATATACCTTCATGAATTCTCCTTCCAAAGCTTTATGTATTGCCAGGCAGGTTTCCAACACAATCCCTGAAATTGTCCTTTCTCCAACTCGATAGAGGAAAGACAGGCTTGCAAAGCTTTCACCTTGGATATTGGAATAAAATAAACCCATACCAATTAACATGTGACATGACCAAATAGATTAAATCTCCCAATAAATCGTTAACATCGAAGAGCCTTTATTGGCCCCTAATTTGTTTGTAAAATGTGTTTTTTAAATCCAGTCAGATTTCCCTTATGCATAAACAGAGATCAGTATTTCAGTTACATGCCTTTAATTAAATGCTTTCTGTTCAATCTCGAGGAGAATTTCTTGAATAAAAAAGATACAACAGAAAAATATAAATTAAATTTGGTGTTTAAGAAATTTGTTTAATACACAAACATACCCCTCTACCACTTAAACCCCCCTCATTTGGAATCCGACCTTGGTTTAATAAAATAAACTGTCAGAGGGCGCTGTTACCAGTTTAAAAGTTTTGTGTACATGTGTTGCCCGATCAGGATGTTTCGACGCGCTGACCCAATTTCAAACACTAGCCTGAATAAGAGAATCACACGTGACAGCGTTCAGCCAACCAGGATAAAGAACAAGCAAGAGGTGTATACTATACTAGTGCCCTTTGGATCGACACTGAAGTTGCGTTAGCTTCCGGTTTTAATGGTTCCAATGTTACTTCTGTGGGCGTGGTTTAGACTGAACCGACGTCACACTATATTTACAAACCAGATAGACGACCCAGCTGGGGAAGTTCTAATCAATGAGGGAAACGGGCAAGAAACATTAAGTATCCCAAAAGTATCCCACCCCATTTATACAAGGGATCAGCCTACGTCTTCAAAACAAACAAATTTGCTGAATAGGCCTAAATAGAGATCCGTGTTAAAATTACCAGTGGCCAAGAATCTGAGTGTTATCGCCAGTCGCTCCTCCGGGCGGATGCTGAGTCGGAAAGTTGTGTCTTGTTTCTGGATGTCCTTCCGAATTTTCGTCAAAATTTCGTCAAACGCGCCTTGGTCTAGTCGGAGAAATCTCTTGAAGTCTTCTGGACTTTCTGACAAGAACTCTTCTATTAAATTTACATACGCCCCACTTTCTTCACGAACCTTAATGAATGGTTTTACCCAAACTTTCCTGTTTCTCGAACTCCTTTTTCTTTTTCTCCTTCTTCTTGTTATCAACAGGGTGACGATAGCAGCGGCGATAATTTTTCTTTTAGTTTTAGCCATCGAAAAAGTTAAATGTGCCGCCTAAATAAAAGAAGCGCATGCGCTTTTCGTAAGCAGTCGTCAAGTACGCGCTGTGACGTCGTACGGTGTGCGGTGTACTGCGACCCGACTGCGATTCAAGTTGGCAGTCGGGGCGTTGTCGGATCGTAGTCGGATCGTAGTCAGGATCGTATAGTGTGCGGTGGCCTTAAGAAGCACCGTTGGAAAGGCCTTCTTTCGTTGATTACTTCAAAATGACAGCTTGCCAGAAAGAATAATTTCACAGGGACTTTAGTCCCCTTACTATCTTTCAACCAAGTATGTTTTTCAACAATAATTACGCCAGCCACTTTTCGGATAGCTGCAAATGATGGACTATAGCTTTAAACGGTTTCCTTTGTGGAGTAAGGTACTAATGAGTAAGATAAGAACAAATCACATGTACCTGTTTGGAGAGATCGTCGTACATGATGAGTGCGTGTCTGCCGTTGTCTCTGAAGAACTCACCCATGGCACAGCCAGAGTAGGGTGCCAGGTACTGCAGGGGAGCAGCATCGGAAGCAGTGGCGCTGACCACGATGGTGTACTTCATGGCGTCTGGCGGGAGAAAAAAGGATCAGAGGATAAGATGCAGGAAATAGTTACTAACACTCATGCATTAAACTGAAAGTAAGAAATTAGATGCATTGACAAAAAATATGTCCAGCTTACTTGGATAGTTCTTTTGAGTTTTAAATGCAATATTTGTTGGTCAACCATGGTTATGAATTGTGGGAATTTTTAATATTTGACTGCCAAAATGGTCGACTAGAGTAACTGGGACATCAGTGCAAAGAGACTGTCGCGGTGTGTGTCAAGTCAGTATTCTACCTCACACAAAACTGCAATTGCCTTGATTGCCTTGGGCAATACTCCTACAGGTTCTTTACTGTACTAATTTGCTACTGGAAGCAGGATCATACAATGTTCCTACAGATAGTCCATACTGAGCTTTTGTTGCTTTGAGCAATATGTAGGTTCCAATTGTATGACGTCAAAGTACCACGTGACCATCCGGTTTCCCTGTGATCAGCCATCCTTGCAGTAGGCAAACTTTGGTGTGCAACCACATCATGTGTTGTAAACTAGATGATAGGGCTTATTTTCACATAAAATAGCTGAATTCTTTATTAAATGGCATAATCAGACATGCAACTGGGAAGTCACAAAAAAAGAGGAAATTCAAATCTTTCCAAGACTTTGTACAGTGTTTTCTATTTTCAATGGCACACATTGGAAGTGAAAAAAGAGGAAATCAGCTGATCCGAGGAAAAGTTGCATGCCTGAATAGTCACAACCTGTGCCTTGTACGGTTGTCATAATAGTGCCGACTCAGCACTGGGTGTTGGCTCCACGTTTTCTCACAGTCTTTGCCATCAATCACAGCTTTGAAGGCTTGCATACTGCCTACTGCGCAATCTTCGCCTACTACAATGGCCTGATGTAGGCCGGATCACATGGGGTAGTGAGAGCCCTCTGTGATGTGTGACAGACAGGCCCAATGACTTGTGTCAAGTTGAACACTTTAATACCTGCGTCGGTGAGTCGTTTGACCAGCTGAGCCACAGTACTTCTCTTCTGTCCGATAGCCACATAGATGCAATACAGCTTGGCCTTCTCATCCTGGCCTTCGTTGAAGCGCTTCTGGTTGATAATGGTGTCAATGGCTACAGCGGTTTTGCTGCAAACGTCAGACGAGTCAAATTATGACATATATGAGCATGATATCTGGCAATGGCCTGAAGCTATAGAACTCTTTCTATGGAATTGTCACTTGTTGACCACATCATAATCCACGAATAATGACTAACCCTTACTTGAGTACAAACTCATTATAATGCTTTTGGCCCTTTCAGTTATATTTCGTCCACATACAATCTTCAAACTTCATTAGTTTACATTCTGCCTGAAATGTGCAATTATGTTAACAAAATTCCGTGACTATTTCCTGGCATACACTGTTCGCAAGAAAGGCTACTTTCTTATTCATTGAAATTTGCCGACATTGAAATTTGCTAAACTTTTGTGAACTGCAGTGTTAATAGTTGCCAAGATGTTAAACATTTGCCTTTACATTTGCTATCTTCCCCTGGATGAATCAGCATTAACTGGGGGCTTTTAACAACCAAAATTATTCTCAAGACTTACTGGTTCAGAGCTGACTGAGTTCTGAATAAAGTCATCCTTCAAGGAATAAAATCAAATGTTCAGAAAGCTCCAAAAACCCTTACCCTGTCTGCCTGTCCCCAATGATCAACTCTCTCTGGCCACGGCCGATGGGCACCAGACTATCCACAGCCTTGATGCCAGTCTGCATGGGCTCCCTGACAGAGATACGCGGGATGATGCCTGGCGCCTTGACTCCCACACGGGCACGGGTGTTGGTTTTGATTGGGCCCTGGACACGAGAAAACAAGGGAGATTCGTTCAGGAAAAGCATACGATAAAAGGACGCCAACAGGAACCATTTCAGATTTTGCCATAAGCCACACTCACCATTGGTTTGTGTACATTTTGACAAAGTATTAGTGACAGTGAGAAAAAGAAAAAAAATTTGCAACCTGACGCCACTTCCGCGATGGAGAGTCAAGAACATTTTCTAAGTATTTCCTAACAAAATTGGAAATGTTTCTCAGTCTCAGATTCATGTCTTATCATCATTTTTGCAATGAATGACCTTCATTGAGATGATATATGAAGAACAAAGTGGAATCAGGTTACAACATTTTTTCCAATTGTGATGTTGGACATGTCAAGGCGATCTTACAGAAAGCTGGCATTTAGAGCTTTTTACATAAATATGAACACATACTCATAAAATTTGGGGGGTGTGTGGAAGGTGATTATGGTTCGTGATACATGATCAGAGGGTCAGGGGTTTGAATCTAGCTGCTGGCCATATGTTATGACTCTGGGCAAGCCACTTCACCCCACTTGCCTCTCTCCTCCAAGGAGTACAAATGGGTACCGGTACCGGCACCAGCTGGGGAGTAACCCGCGATGGACTAGCATCCCATCCAGCGGGGAATATAAATCTTCTATGCCAAGAAAACTGGAGATAAATGCCGGCCTGATGGGCTGTATTGGCTCGTGACAGACTTTACTTTGTACTCCTCATTACAAACACTTCAAGAATATTTTTTATAAAAATGTGTCAAGCTCTCAGCACTTCATGCAACTTCTTCAACAACTAAACAAATCATGAAAATTAGTCACTAACTTTGTGCGCATGTAACGAAACCCACATGTTGCAGGATTATCTGTCCATTGACCATATTGACAAAAGCATGTCAAATTGTTCAAAATCTAGCAAATCCTACGAACCGATTTTGACATTCTAAGTTATTAACCCATAACTCCCATTACTGCCCTAAAATGCCTGGCCTGTTACACCCTGTACCGCCCCTAACCGCCCACAACGAACTCATCGTGCAATAGATACAATGTAATACAACATAATGCAAGTGCTGAAGGGTAAATTTGTCCTTCATCTCACCTTTCCATCAATGGGCATTCCCAAGGCATCCACAACTCTGCCCAGCAGTTCCATACCGATGGGCACATCCACAATGGCGCCTGTCCTCTTGACTACATCGCCTTCCTTGATCAGCTTGTCGTTACCAAAGACCACGACACCGACATTGTCGGGCTCCAAGTTCAAGGCCATACCCTGAAGAACAAAATTGTTCCTGATGATTAATTTTTCACAAATTAATATGGATTTTATCGTGATCTTTGTGATCACACTCATAAGAAAATGGGTCGAATCAACCTTGTTCTCTTTGTAATAAACAACAAAGTTTACAATTGCCCTTCACCGACGTATTTTATATACACTGTATACTTAGAGTTGCCCCTGAATGATTGTGAGCAAAAAATCACTCACGTTGGACTCGAACCCATGACCTCCGTGTTGAGAAACGCGGCACTGCAACATACAAATAGCGCCACCTTAAGGCGAAACTCACCAGCGCGTTGTTGTCAAGCACGGGCTAGCCAAATTAGGGGGAAAAACCTACAGCCAATAAAGGATGGTAAGGGCATCCGTTCCCCTTTTTATAAGTGTTTGTTATCGTTTATCGTATACTTTCAATAATTACATTATTGATTCTTGCAATGAGACATTGTTTCTCTGTTAATTCTGGCTTAAATTCCTCAATCACGAAGTGTCAGAAATAGACGCCTTACATGAACATGTATTTGAATGTGCCTGTATTGACATGTACTTTCTCGCAACTGTTTAATTGTTTCCTTTGTATTATTACCTTTCAGAACGGGCTTACCACAGGGCTTCGTGGGCTTAACAAAGGGCTTCATGGGCTTACCACAAGGCTTCGTGGGCTTACCACACTACTAGAAACTGGAAATACATGGGCTACAGCTCTCCAAATGTACATTTAATTGCAATATCTTGCAATAATCTGGTGCTGTACTAAATTCCAAGCTGCCAAGAGCTTCAATACCAGAATCAGCAATAAACCACCTTCTTCCTTTAGCCCAGTCTCTCCATCAGCCATTCTAATCTCCCTCTTCCTTGCCTTTCTACAACACTCCGGCTTACTAGTGTGTGTTATTATTTTGCCATAAAGTTGACCACTGTATGGCAATGGGTGTAGAAACGATGTAACCAACTACTACTTTGTTGTTACCTTCAGCCCACTGGAGAATTCCACCATTTCCTCTGCCTGGATGTTCTGGAGGCCGTAGACGCGAGCGATACCGTCACCAATGGACAGCACCCGCCCTGTCTCCTCCATGTTCTCCTTGGGGGAGAAGCCCATGATGCGTTCCTCCAGGATGGACGACACCTCGGCTGTGCCTGCAAAAACAAAGATTTTTTCATCAAACAATTGATTTTTTTTCTCATTAACCCTAACTCCCTAGGCCTTTTTGCTAGGAAGTAGCCTCAATCCTGCAAAATCCTCCAATTGGCCTCATGGAAAAATAGCATATAACCTCAATCCTGCAAATTCCTCCGCTATTTCTTGAATATGGTCCATGGAGGGGTGACCACTGCCTGAATCCTGCAAAATCCTCCGGCTATGACTGTCAATAGGCTGAGGCAGAGGCAGTGACATCCTGGAGCAGTGCGGAGGATGTCAAGTATAATCAAGGACTAAATTTATGCACGGCTGAGCATAAACAACACAAGGTCGGCCCAAGACCTTGACACAGTGCGTACTCCGAAATCAGCAACGCACTTTTCCCATGTAACCTCAATCCTGCAAATTCCTTCAATTTGCAAAAAGGATTTTGGAGGATTCAGGGCGGTTAGGGTTAATTACAACAATAAGTTGCTTTTTCCCCTTAACAAACGGATTATTTACTAAGCCATAAGATTCAATCATATTTTACCTCCACTTGCAGCATGTGTGGGTCTAGATGTACAGATGTTTCTATGGCATGAGAAGGCTGCCCCTAAACATCCTTTTGTGACCTGTAAAATTATAAGAATAAATTGTGACATTTTATAATTTTATAATAATGGGACAGGAAACGAACTTCCATGCTCGACATTTTATAATATATGTTGTACAGGGTTGGCCTAGGCCTAAATGTTCTTGACAGACGACAGTTGACCACCCTCTTTGCAAAATCAATTTTTTTTAAATGAATCCTTCCTTTGTCATGTTTGTCCAACTTTCCCAAATTCCACAAAGGAGAAAACCTGATATTGATGAACAAGTCAAACCTATATGAACAAGCACACAAAAAATATGCACTTATGTTGGAAAAAATCAGTTTATTGGGCAATCTTCGTCTGCTGCCGTTGTGTAGAGCGCCCTCTAGTGTCGAACATTTGCCATAGAAAGAAACAACATTTTCAAGATATTGCACTTGAAATAAAAGATAATCTCAGCGAAAAGTATCACCTAAAAACTCATAAAGCAATTTATTATTGACTGTTGAATTGCAGAAATGCAGGCTTCCCGCAAAGATATCGATAACCAGGCAACTTGCCACCTCGCCAATGACCGCGCACGGAAATCGTGCCGGTTCGCTGTGCCGGTCATATGCCGGTGAGCATTTTCATGCCGAAATGCATCAATTTCTATGACACAAATTACCACAGTGGGTGAATAAAAATAATATAGACACAATTAATTTCGAAAGTATACCTGTGGAGTCTGTCTTGTTAGTGCTCTGGCCACAGCGGCCGTTACACGAGCCGAAATCATCGACATATTTTCGGTAGATTTTCCAACGAAAATGGCAGAGACCGGCTTCTCGCCCCTCCTATCAAGCTCGTGAAACCCAGAAGAATGGCGCAAACAAAAACTATTTGTTTTAATTATTCATAATGATAAGAAAAAACAAATATTCTATCATATAAATTCAAAAAGTTGCAACATATATATAGAGAAAATAATGAAAGTCTAATAAAAGTATTAAAAATCTACTTTTTGTTATCTTGAGTTCACCGATTTATTACATTTGTGTTGCTGAGCCTGAAAAAAATCCTGTCGAAACAAAATGGCAGCGCCCATGAAAACTAACAAACCTGACATGAGCCGTAAGCAAGAGAAGAGAAGTTTTCCAGTTTTATCCGATAATACTGAAGACATCATTATAAATCTCGTTGATGATGATGACGATGAAGATGAGGAACCGGTAACAGCGACGGTAAAAGATCCAGTAGCCCAAGATCAGAAGGACTTATCGAAACTTCCAGAGGTATGTTTACGGTGTTAAATTTACCTTTCCCAGTTACGCTATTACGTGTATCTCTATGCACCGTGCCCCTGATTTTACTTTCCCGATTTTTTTTTATAAAAAAGAAAGCATTTTTACAAATTCGTTCATTTTAAAAAAGTATTTGACTTATTTGTGATTAATTTTAGGCCTTCCTAAATTTTTTTTGCAGTTAACCCCCCCCCAAAGCACCCCACCCCCCCCCAAAAGTCAAATGCTTTTGTTTTGTGCCTTTTCTTATATTAAACTTAAGATAAATAATTTACTTGTTCTTCATCCCCTTATTCTTTACTTCAAAGGCAGCACAGAAGCTCCTCAAGAGTCTTGAATTCAAAACCCCGGAAGGCGGCAATTTGACATGAGCACCTTTGACCCAGAGAACAGCGAACGAGAGATGAGGAAACTAAGGAGAACATTCCAGAGCACCAGTATTCAGTGAGTTTGTAGCAAAAGGAGCAACTTCAGAGCCGTTTCCCTCCGCACAAAACTTTTGACCATTATGTTTGAAATCACCCATGTAAAACCAGTAATATACCCTTTTCCCATACAATTGCTGTCCTGCATTGAAGAGCACCCACTTTTGGTAGCGACCAAAAGTGGGTGCTCTGCCAAATTTTAATTTCTTACAAATGTCTTTCAGCTTTCAGAGGGAAAAAAAACACACTTTGACTCTTAAATAACCAGGAACGTATATTTTTCACATTATTTTTTTTTTAATTTGTGTATGTGTTTAAATTTCAGGCAAAAACCCAGAAATCATGTGATGTACAACGAGAAAGGACTGCTCCTGGCAAACAATCGGGACCTCTGCGACTGCCTGAATGTGAAGTGCCCTGGGTGCTACTATCCCTGTGAGCAATGCTCCTCCACAAAATGTGGGGTGCAGTGCCGCTGCAATAGGAAATGGGTGTACAACCAGGTGGAGAACGAAAGTGGAGGCGGCATCATCAAATTTGACAAGTAGACTTCTACGTCACTGATGGAAAGAAAAATACGATTTTGGGAAGCAGAAACCTGTTTGATTAGAGAAATTTTCAAGTTGTAGGCAATATCTCTCAAGTCATCAGGCGTCATTCAAAAGTCATCTGGTATCAAGTCAAGTGGCAAGCTATTTGAATTGAACTGCAACAAAGACGTTCATCCCGTTACTGATTGCCTTTGTGATTTGAATTATTGACTCTTTATTGACCGGACTACAACTCTTATGTCATTGAAATAAACTTACAATAACTGTTTAGCTGTACCTTATGGAAAACTGCATTATTTATACCAGTACATGCGATTGTATATATTGTACAAACATTATTACTATTGAAAAGCCAAGTTGTAAATATGTGAATAATGGAAAAGTTGGTATCATGCCCAGTAAAAACTTTCAGGTGCTTAATGTAAACTTATTTAAAAAACAGATAAAGCTAGGTTAAACACCCTGTTATCGTTAGGTCGGGATTGGGTTTTGTTTTGTTTTGTTTTGTTTTTTTGCTTTTCTAATAAAGTTAATGACTCGGTCACTCGACAGCAGCAAAGCGTTTTTTTTGTCTTTGAAGGATTTGGTTTATTTTTTTCCACAAATTGTAATATTTCAGTATCAAACTATATTACATGGACAGATTGGTTTAAACATTTAAATCAAAATGCAAATTTACAAACACAGATTGTTTTGGATAGTACAACTGTTGCTAGAGCTACTTTTCAGAAATATATTCCTAAACAAATCCCACACAGGGGAATACATTGGAACTGTCATTTATGTTTTACTTGCATAATGTCCACAAACAGCATTGTCTGAGTTCAAATAAGGAACTGAACATCCACTTTCTAATGTTAATGATAAAGTAATAGTAACAAACTTGAAATTCATGTCTTTGGTCACAATATATAATAACTCCCTGTTTTAAGATTCTCAGTTAGATTGTCTTCAATTTGTGGATTAAATTGAATAGCATTTTAAGATATTTTAAAGTTCCACTATGAACCAATTGTTTCCTGATTTAAAATCTTTCCTGAAAATGATGAATCAAAGCATCTCAAGTATGGCACTTCTTCTAGATGATGCAGTATTTTCTTTGTAATGTGTTTACTTCATCCTGTATTTCACTTCCAGTTGCGATTTTTGCAGTAGTGCAGACTTGTCTTGCAAGTGACTGCAACATTTCACCATTCTTGCTGTTGAACTTTTAAGAGTACCTCTTCAAAGTGTACACAAATTCCAGTCCAAGAAACTCAATGTTCAATGTTTTGCACCCACACAGCCAATTTTCAAACTACATACAAACTGTTCTTATTCTTTTAAAAGTGGAAATCACTGCATTAGATTTAGAAATGTGGTTATTGAGATTTCTGCAGGAGTTTTAAAAAAAAGGTGAGTACTGAGATTTACAAATGAGAGATTAAAAAAGAAACAATTAAAAATAATTAACATCTTAAATTAATTGAAGAAAATACAGAGAAAACATGTTATGTCTTTTCTGTTTTCTTTCTTTGTCTCGCCTCTCCAGTTCCTCTGCTTTTGTTGAGATTTCCCTGAGATGGTTTTGTCGTCTTGGTTTCCTTGCTGGTTTTAGGGATGGTACTCTGGTTTTCCTCTTTCTTATCACCATCTGGTAATTATGATAAAGAAAAAAAAATCACTCAAGACATACAGGATGTGATTATATCATTTGTAGAAAATATAACTTTATCACAAATTAGTCACTGTATTGCCTCAAACTGTCCTGCCCTTACTCCCTTTACCACCCAAAACCGCCCCAGTACTATGGTTTCATCACGAAATAGAGTGTCACACAATGTAGTACAGGCGCTAATGGGTTAAGCTGGCCCTCTGCTGTTTGAATTCCAAGGCAGGCAAAACACTAAAGGGTTCGTGTACAGTCGACCCTTGTTAATACAAACACTGTGAAAGGGAATGTACATTAGCTTTAACTGTAATTTTCAGAAATAAATGGATTTGGAGCATTAGCAAATATTGTTAAACCGACTTGTTTCACGTTTTGGGCTTGTAGATGCTGGAAAAAAAACCCCAAGAAAACCACACTGTTCTTTTAGTCTGGTTCCCTTACCCACGAAACGGAGCAATTTATAGACTTTGGGGAATTGTAAGGTCAGAAATCAGTCTAGCATACTTCACAGGTGTGTAATCAATTGCAAAGAAAATGCTGAAAAGTAAGGAGTAGTTTTTGAAAAAAAGCCAGTTTTCTCCAACACTGGTCGGCCGACCAGTGTTGGAAAAATAATGTTGTTCTTGAAAATGTCAGCACCCCAGGAGCCTCGATTTTACAGGATGCTTTAGACTGTCATTCCCTAATAATCCAGTAAGCTTTTCGTGATAATTTGATCATTTCGTTTTTTGATGTTTGCAAATGTCGTATCTTCCCTTTAAGACAAATTCTGGTTATAGCAAACATAAAGCCTTGGTCCCGACTGTGCTTTATGTGCGCAATTAATGGGACCAGCACTCTACTTAATAAAAAATTCTGATATAACAAACATTTTGGCTAGGTCCGGCCGAGTTTGTATTAACGGGAGCCGACTGTTTACATCACCTGTCCAATGTTAAGATTCACTCCGATCATACATTTGACTTTCCAAAGAGTATCATTCTCAATGTTAGGTTTTGCCCTCATTTTACAATTTATTTCTTTTCTCATTCTCATTTTACAATTTATCCAAACTGAAGCACTCAGATGAAATTGAAAAAGTAAAGATTCAAATTCAATTTGGTTAAAAACAAATCACAAAGCAGTCTTTTAGTGACAGTGATACCTTTTGGTTCAGTCGGTGGCTGTAGCATGGCATCCCTGTAAGTGGTCAGTACGAAAAAGTACATCCAGGACCCAGCAAAGCCGAGCATACCAAATAGCACTAGGAAGACAAGCTTGATGTAGCCCTGAAAAACAAAATCAAAAATGGATTTCTATGTATCTATGTTTACTTATTAACACATACATGATTTTTTTCTCAAATGAATACAGTTGTAAACAGAACGAATAGGCCTCTGAAAAACGGGATGCATTTCTTACATTTTCAAATGCAAATATTGCCAGAAAAAAGTCCAAGCATCAAGTCTTTATTTGATTCAGATTTGTATTTTTTAAGTAAGAACTTAGGAACTACATGTAGTTTTTACACTGAAGTTGCCTTCAAGTCTTCTATTTGATTATGTGGGCCTCTGCCTATAGTTCGAACTCAACTAGAAGACAGGGTTCAGTGTTTATTGAAAGTGGTGATAATTACATTACCTCCATTGAAGGTTTGGATGTGAGATAATGATCGGCTAGGATGATGGGTATGCCAATGAGAAGACCGATGCATATGCTGATGAGGGGAATCCTGATTGCAGCTGAAATAAAAGCATACACAACAAAGACATTCTCCTGACTGCAATTCTCCTTCATATATAATGGACCATTCCAAATGTGGCCATAAGCCACGCCCACCATTGGTTTATGTAAATCTCTCACAGATCTACCATGGTCCCCTGACTATAAGTTGTAATCTAATTGGTCAATGCGCACCGTCTGATTGGCAGGCAGAAAGGGTCATTTGCATATTTACCATTGGCATTGCTGGAGGGCGGTGTGGGGGTGTGACACATCCCATTGGTTGTTTTCATTGGCAAATCATGTCACTTTAAAAACTATGCCACTTTGAGTAGTACCACGTGTCAGATAGTGTCCAGTCCAATCTGTACTGAAAAAAAGCCACCACATTTGACGTGATCCCAGCCCCCCTCCCTTCTGATTTTTTTTTATTCTAGCTATTGGTCAAGAGTGGCCTTTCAGTAGTTGTGTGGTCACTAACCCCATGAAATATGTTTTAATCGTACACACCAGCCTTCATTTTCTTGACCTCTTCCTCAGCTTTCTCCAATGCCTCCTTCAGTTTGGGGTCACTTTCATCTAAGCTAATTGCTTTCTGAAAAATGCCAAAGGAAACAATCCAGTACAGATAAATACTTTTCTAGTGTTTTTTTGTCTTTTAAAATTTTCACAATGTTTCTACTGTTGCAGTGGAACCGACTTTGGGCGTAAATTTATAATTAATGTTTGTTTTGTAATTTTTGCAGCTCTACCAAGATAAAAATGAAAGTCAAGTTTGTTTTGATGAGCAAATGGGTGAACTTAATTGATCCAGTGCACTATTAAGTTGAAGTCCTCATCTTAGTTGAACATCCCATCCCATCTTGAAAAACAAATTAATTAACAAGTTTTCACATCGGTAAAATTTCTCCAAACTGTCATTTTTTTGTCAGTATCAACAACATTAATGGTCCTTATTGTGGTGGTACATTTGATTCAATTATACTCACTTTATAGGAGTCCACAGCTTCTTGAAAGTGTCCAGTTTCTAACTCTACCTGGCCCTTCCTGTAGTAACCCTGTGAGATAGAGATTGCAAAATACAACCACATGCTATTGACAATTCAAGAATAAGTGAAGATTGAATACTTGGAAGGACAGTTGTGGACAGAGAAGTCAACTGTATTTCAGTTGTTGACCCTATTTCAAACCTGAAACTTCCAGCATCTTTCCTTTTAGACTCACAAGAGCAACGCAAGGACTTTACAGACGTTTTCTTTCCATCTTTTGCAATGGTAAACATGGGTGAATCTAAGTAAAATGTTTAAAGCCCGAGTCCATCATTTGCAGCTATCCAAAAAAGTAACCGGCGTAATTATTGTTGAAAAACATACTGGTTGAAAGATAGTAAGGGGACTAAACTCCCTGTGAAATTATCCTTTCTGGCAAGCTCTCATTTTGAAGAAATCAACGAAAGAAGGCATTTCCAACGGTGCTTCTTAAGAAGCACCGTTCTTAAGAAGCACCGTAGGAAAATTTAAATTAGTAGTTCGTTTTGTTATTCGGCGCAGCGCGCACAAGCATTGGAACGACGCACAGGCGCGCGCGGTTGCTATAATTCGTTGGATCAGTGCGCAACATCGCATAAAGCTGCAATTCAAAACAATTCGAAACATGATTTAGCAACTTTTGATTTTAAATTGAGATCCTAGAATGCTGTTTTTCTCGGAATATGAAGCTGAAGCTGAGCTGAAACTTCATCAAGTAAGTTGTTCAGTATACTTCATTAGATTTTGAACACTTTTGTTGCTTGAAACGAACAAAATGCACTAATTACAAATGATGGACTATAGCTTTAAGCTTTAGAATCTTAAATTTTGGAACTTGGCAGTACTAAGAGCCTGAGGTGTTTGTAACCATTTAACTCCCCACTTTATTTTTTTTTGGGGGGGGGGGTGATGGTGGTAGGGGGAGGAAAGGAGGAGGGGGGGTTGAGGGGGTGGGGTTGAGGGGGGGAGGGGCGAAGGTAAAAATGACTGGGCTCTTCTTTCTTTCTTAAATCCTGCAAAATCCTCTCGAGCCCCTGATGGATTTGGAAGGATCTAGGATTGTACCTTTGGCCATTTGGGTTTCAGTTGGATGGCCTTCTTAGCATCCTCCAGTGCATGCCAGTGCTGTTGGATCTTCAGGAAAGCCAGAGAGCGGTTGCTGTATGCGCGGTGGTCTGAGGGGTTCAGCTTGATGGCATCGGTGTAGTAGAAGAATGCCTCGGTGGCGCGACCTTTCTTCATGCAGTCGTTGCCTCGCTCCCTGGCCTCCTCGGCTTTTTCCTAGATTTTCCAAAACAAATGAAATGAGGATAACAGATGTTAGGATATGCAGGTTTGAAAAGGCAACCTTAATAAATAAGACTAGGATCTCCGTATTGTTTGACAACATCACTGACACTGATCAATATTTACCAAGACCATATTTACCACGTCCAAAATAAGCCAATTCAGTATTGCAACTGTGCATGCCTTTGATACAGCAGACCATGGGTATCAGGACAAAATTTAACCATCGATGAAGCTGTATACATATGTTATTTGTTCCTTGTGGTACTTTCTGGGATTGATTTGTCTCCAATTTTAAAGGTAAGCTGAAACCTTTGGTAAGTTGCACCTTGTTGACCGTCTTTATCCCAAATGACCTGAATTATAAATACAACATATTAATTAACTTTATAATTATATGCAAAATAACCAATGAATGTGGTCTGTCTGTGTAGAAATGAATTCTGCAGAAGAAAACAAAGCCAACATTAACAAAAATGATTAACCTTTATAACTTTTATATTAGTCTTTAAAACACTTACACAGTACTTCACTCCGAATCAGACCATGCGGGTAGAATTAGACCAATATTTAGGCACAGACGTAGCTTTTCTAGTAATAATAAGTATTTCGGTAGTCCTTATCTTTAGGACACCTCTTTTTTTACGAGTTCTGTTCAAAACTGACATTTGCAGATGACTGTCCAGTACCAAAGTGACTTTGGAAGGCTAAAGCAGTCTTTTTTCTTCAGATACACTCATGTTAGTTGTAATTTTGAAAGCACTTTCAAAGAAAATGTGAATTTCCTACCTTTTTTGGCAGTTCGCCATCTTGCTTTTTTAGTCTATTTTCTGTTTGTCATCGTCGTCTTTTACCCCTCATAAATCAAAGCCCTGCCCTCTTTCCACAAAATTAACCCTGCTGATATTCAAGAAGGTTTCATTGCCAACTGTTCAAATGTGTCAAGAAATATCAGAATGTCACTTTAGAGCGTCATTTAGTCAGCTGTTTTGGTGAGTCTTTAACCAAGTTATATAGGAACGGGGTCCTAAAAGTAAAGATTACCAGTATTTCAGACTTTCAATAGTAATGGAAAGATTCCCATATCTGGCCATCATTTTTCCCGCAAATGGCCTATCACTATCAGCCATCAGAAAGTGATAATATGTCCTAAAAAGTCAAAATTAGCAGTGACAAATTTTGAATTTTTACTGAGAAAACACTTACAAATTTTCAGACCAGTCCCATAGGGTTTGTGCACAGGCAGTGACAGGGTGAAAAGTGATGGCCAGATGGGAATCTTTCCATCATATTCTCCTAAAAGACCTAATGTTCTCCCAGTTACGTTTGTTTATATTCGCCTGTTTTAGTATTTGGCACATGTTTGGGAATGGAGCTAGCTAGGCATGCTAGGCCAACGTTGTGAAAAAAATATATTGGCCGCGCGCACCGCATCATACATGATTGTGTACCTTCCATCCACTGTCACTGTGCACTGGATATCGAACTGCAAATCATGGCCCCCGTGTGCGCGCGTGCACGTACATGATCATGATGGGGGTCAGACAAGTCGACCGTTGAGACAACTCGACTCGGGACAAGTCGCCCGTTGAGACAACTCGACCATTGAGACAACTCGACCGTATGTGCGATAAATGGAAAGACAAGTCGACCGTTGAGACAATTCGCCTCGCATGTTTTTGGGCCTAGTTTTGGAAATAGTACCGGGGATTTTGACGGCGGCTGATCGCCGTTTGGGAGTTATGACACATAACAGAGCAGAGCCGATATAGCGCAGCGTGATTGTCTGTGCACATCGTTCGTTTTTGCCGGGCCTGTGCGCGCATCTCCGGTACACGTTAGCTGTCTCAACGGTCGAGTTGTCCCGAGTCGAGTTGTCTCAACGGTCGACTTGTCTCAACGGTCGAGTTGTCTCAACGGTCGACTTGTCCCGAGTCGAGTTGTCTCAACGGTCGACTTGTCTGACATTCATCATGACGTACCGGCCGGCCCGACACGTGCACCACCGTTTGCCGGTACGGTACACAACTCATTTCCTCAGATTTGAATTATAACCTGAAAATATGCCAGTTTGACCTCATTAAACTTACCTTACTCATACTGCTTCCAGATAGCTACAATAAAAATGTAAAGAAGGGTAATTCGTGACTTTTTCTCTCACTCAGCAAATTAAATGGGGTCAGTTCATGGGCGCAGCCATCTTCAAGCTCTTTCAAAATTATCATTATTTTTTTTATAATGGAACTTAATTGATTTGTTTTCATGACTGCTTTAATTCTAAAATTTACGATATAAATATTTTTCATTATTATACTACCAAATCTGTCGAGATCTAAGTAATGACCCAACAATGAAAAGATTGTAAATATTTATAAATTATGTATAATTGAAGGGGACACACCCACGTCCCCCATGCCCACACAAAAAATAAACAGAGGTTGCCCCCCCCCCAAAAAAAACCCCCAAATGCATGTGTATACTTACTGTAAAGATAAATAAAATTCAAGTAGTGCTAAAACTATGCAATGGCTATTTCCCATAAAATCACACATTTACAATATGGGTGGTTAAATTTGGGAGAAGTTATAAAGTTCATTCGGGGGGAAAATCTCCCCACTCCAACACGAGAATGTCACGGTGAGAAAAACATTCCTTGGGCAACAGGACTCGAGTAGTTTGTATTTTTGATGACTTATTCGCCTGAAGGGACTAGCACTCCACCCCCGCCTTCCCCTCCCTACATCACCCCTGGTGGGGTAGGGTCCCCGGGGAGGGGTGGGGACAAGGCAGGCCGCAGGGGGTTGTAAAAGCATCATGAATTGAATAGGGTAGGAGTTAGAGACAGAAGGGAGATGTATCAGAAATACAACAGAATAACTGGAGGCTTCAAACGCTAATAATGAATACACCAAAAACCATTTTTTTTTATTGCCAAAAAGAATAATCAACTTAAAACTTGTTTACAAAGAGAAATGTAACACTTAAAAAAAAAAAGCAAGAGCCATGGCTATGTTTAAAAATTATTATATTTAAGAATGATCTTGGTGTTGGCTATCACTACTGATTTTATATTGCATTATTTTGTCTGGAATATGTACATCCTGATTCCACTGTCTTACGAAATTTAAGACCATTTTGAATTAAAAGGAATTCTTCAAGGACAGAAACAAGATGCCTTTACTTCAGGACATATTTCTCTTGCTAACTTGAAATGTATGGCAGTTTGAAAAACAAAACAAATATTGATGGTAAACCATAATACTTAAAATGCATATGGAATTCAATTTGCTGTAATGAAAGATAAACATTTTATTCAACTACAATTTGATTGTGAATTCATGCTTTCCTTTTTTTGTTTGTAAAACAAATATGAATGAAGAGGATAAACTAATTTTTAAAAAAAATTGAAGTAAATTTTCAACTTTTTTTTTGACAACTGCAGGAGAATTTGTACTTGATCAACTTCCATTTAGATTTGAAATGATGATTTTGAGTAGTGTGTCTACTTGAATAAAAGCTAAAAAAAATAAAGTTAAGACACTCAAGTTATTTAAAATAAGGCATAGTGTAGTTTGCATGTTTACAACATCACACTAAATCAACAGGAATTAACTCTTAACGTCCACTGATGTCAAAACATGGCTTTTCAGGTTCTGATATTTGGCTGCTTCTCAAGCAGTATTGCTCAACATAAAAAAAGAAAAGAAAATTCTTTCAATAAAGTTTCTAGAAAATCCGGTAGTCAGTGGTAAGTACATGTAGTTTTGTCACAGTTTTGTCAAAAAAATATGTCCTGATGCCCCCAAACACTCATTCATCATGGAGACTAAACAGTTTTGGAAGTTCACTTCTTCCTCTCGTGTAGCCTTTGAAGTTCGGATTTTAGTGTAGACACTTTGGAACGTTCCTGCTCTAAAGCAGCATGGAGTTCAGAAACCTGAAGTAAAAAAAAAAAAAAAAAAAAGTATAAAATGCAAGGTTCCTGAACTACGTGAGGGCTCTCCTCGAATCATTTGACTATGGCTGGTAGTAAGTCATGCATGTATTAGAAATGGCTTCAGCAGCTTCCATGGTCATGTGTGTAATTGCAAGCCTGTGTGTAATTAATTGCAAGCCTGTGTGTAATTAATTGCAAGCCTGTGTGTAATTAATTGCAAGCCTGTGTGTAATTAATTGCAAGCCTGTGTGTAATTAATTGCAAGCCTGTGTGTTATTAATTGCAAGCCTGTGTGTAATTGATTGCAAGCCTGTGTGTAATTGATTGCAAGCCTGTGTGTAATTGATTGCAAGCCTGTGTGTAATTAATTGCAAGCCCGTGTGTAATTAATTGCAAGCCCGTGTGTAATTGCAAGCCAAGTAATTTGGAAGCTGCCTCAGTCCACTCCAAGCCCTCCTAAATCTGCCAAAATCCAACTTCAGATTTTTTGTAGGATTTTGGTCCCTATGCAAGTTTGGATTGAAAGAAAGACGGCACTGGCAAGCTATGCTAATTGATTGATTCGTTTCTTTATTTAACATAACAGGGGTCAATTTCAAAGAACTGCTAAGCACATCAATCTATAAAGCACAAAACAAAATTGCTTAGCAACAACGGGTCACCAGCCATGACGTCATGTATTGCATTTTGCTTGTGACTGACACTGGTTCCCACTTGAATTTTGCTAGGCCCATTAATCTGCTAAGCAATTTCTTTTTCGGTTAGCAGCTCTATCAACTTGGGCCCAGTTTAGAACCCAAAATAGTATCATGTAAGATTCTTTATTTGTACGTGCACTGCACGTCGAAGTTCCTTACATATATTTGTAACAATATCAAAAACAGACTTTCCAAACGATTTGAAATATCAAAATTGCTTTTGAGCTTATTTTAACAACCAATTGAAACTGTGTAAATACTGCTTTACATGTTTGTTGTCATACCTCCGTAGTGAGTTCATCCTTCACTGCTGACAGTTCATCAACTTGCTTCAGTACCTCAGCTTTGTCTTTCACTAAATCAAAAAAGCAAAATCAAAAATATGATTTGTAATTGCAGGTTCTATGTTTCTCTCAAAACCAATGAAGTCAATGCTACTAAACAATATTGAAGTCGGAAGTGTTTGTTACGACTTAAAGCTATAGTCCATCATTTGTAGCCATCCAAAAAAGTAACTGGCGTATTATTGATGAAAAACATACTTGGTTGAAAGATAGTAAGTGGACTAAACTCCCTGTGAAATTAATCTTTCTGGCAAGCTATCATTTTGAAGTAATCAACGAAAGAAGGCCTTTCCAACGGTGCGTCTTAAGACGCACCGTAGGAAAATTTAAATTAGTAGTTCGTTTTGTTATTCGGCGCAGCGCGCGCAAGCATTGGCACGACGCACACGCGCGCGCGGTTGCTATAATTCGTCGGATCAGTGCGCGACATCGCGTATAGCTGCAATTCAAAACAATTCAAAACATGATTCAGCAACTTTTGATTTGAAATTGAGATCCTAGAATGCTGTTTTTCTCGGAATATACAGCTGAAGCTGAGCTGAAACTTCATCAGGTTGGTTGTTCAGTATTCTTCATTAGATTTTGAACACTTTTGTTGCTTCAAACGAACAAAATGCACAAATTACAAATGATGGACTATATCTTTAACAAAAACGTACAAAAAGAAAAAGGGAAAAAATGCAATAGGGGCCAACAGGACAGAAACATCCCTTTCAATTGTAATTAACACTCATAATGAGTTTCGTTTTGAAAAAAGAAATCAAAGGAATACTTACTTTCTCCCTGGGCCAGAATGAAGCAGAGCTGTTTGTTCCTCTTCTTGACTTGTGTAAGTTCCACCTCATTAAATTCAAAGAAAAAAGTCAGAAATGATTATGTGTATTTATAAAGCACACGTATCCACCAGTATTGGTGCTCAAGGCACTACATCTTTATTACCCTACTCGATGGGCAAGTGAAACACTCTAAAGACAATCTCAGCTCCCTGGGGAGTATACAGCTCGATGCTGCCATTTCAGCGCACAGCAGCTAGAACCAATCACAGTAACCAGCTCTGCCCTCACAGGTACACAGTTAATTTACTCCTGGGTGGGGAGAAGCAATGAATGACAAAGTGCTTGAACCCACACCCTGCAGAATTCAATACTCCAGACCACGAGAAAATGGCACTCCACGAAATAAGTTGGAGTATTTCAAACACCCCTGCTTTGAAATTTTATATCTTCCTACCTCCTAAATTAAGGAAAAAAGTCTGTCCCCTGCTATGTAAATTTTTTTTTCAAATGAACCACACATGGAAACTGACTAGGTGAATTACAACAATTTAAAAGTTGAACAAAGAAATTGACTGGAGCGGAGCTTGAACAGTTGGTAAGAGTACCAGAAAGGTTATCTGGAGGTCGCAGGTTCAAGCCCCGATCAAGTAAAAAAATTTTGTTAAACATTTCAATTATTAAAAAAATACCTTTAAAATTTGTTTTGGATCTGACTGCTCACCTTCATTTTCTCCAATTCCTTTTTCATGTCTTCTATTTCTTGGTCCCTCTTTTCCAGGTTGTCTTCTACTTGTATCCGCCTTACATTCTCTGATGCTAATTTCTGATCCAAAAGTAAACAAAACAACAATGAATATGTTTATTTTGACTAAGTAAATATATGCAAAAGCACGTGGATCGCAAGCTTGAGTTAAAATAATGATCAGTAAATTGAACAGAACAAATATCTTCACACAGAAAACTGAAATTAATTTTCAAACGAAACCAAAATGTGTCATTAAGAGAAAAAAATGTGTGTTGGCCAACTGTTAACAATAATAAGTACGTTTAAAACCAGTTAGGGGCCTGGACGCAGATAATGGCCCTAGCTTAAGGCGAGGGTCATTATCTGCATTCCCATTCATAAATACCTTTCGATCATAATGGTAAAAATAACAGCGTTGCTGTTGAAACCCCTCAGCCAGAGTCAAGTTATCATCCGGAAACCATTAACCTTTAACTCAACGTGGTGACCTTGACCTTTGGCCTTTGACCCCAGAACCAGTCCCAACATGCCTGTACCAATGGGAAACCCCCTACCAAAGTTAGACACCAACATTTCATTTCTAACTCAAGTTATCATTCGGAACCATTTACATTGAACTCACCACGGTGACCTTGACCTTTGACCTTTTGACCCCAAAACCAATCCCAACTTGCCTGTACCCAAGGGCAAACCCCTACCTCAGTCAGACACCAAAATCTCATTTCTAACTCAAGTTATCATCCGGAAACCATTTACCTTTATCTCACCATGCTGACCTTGACCTTTGACCTTTTGACCCCAAAACCAATCCCAACTTGCCTTCTCCCAAGGGGAACCCTCTTCCAAAGTTAGACACCAAAATCGCATTTCTAACTCAAGTTATCATCCGGAAACCATTTACCTTTAACTCACAATGGTGACCTTGACCTTTGACCTTTTGACCCCAAAACCAATCCCAACTTGCCTACTCCCAAGGGCAACCCTCTACCAAAGTTAGACACCAAAATCTCATTTCTAACTTAAGTTATCATCCTGAAACCATTTACATTTAACTCACCACGGTGACCTTGACCTTTGACCTTTTGACCCCAAAACCAATCCCAACTTGCCTACTCCCAAGGGCAACCCCCTATCAAAGTTAGACACCAAAATCTCATTTCTAACTCAAGTTATCATCCGGAAACCATTTACCTTTATCTCACCATGTTGACCTTGACCTTTGACCTTTTGACCCCAAAACCAATCCCAACTTGCCTTCTCCCAACGGCGACCCTCTTCCAAAGTTAGACACCAAAATCTCATTTCTAACTCAAGTTATCATCCGGAAACTAAGCTGCCCGGACGGACGGACGGACGGACGGACGGACAGACACACACACATCCGGACGGACGGACGCCCTAGGCGATGACAATACCCCTCGAGCCTCTCGGCTGAGGGGTAAAAACTAGTCAAACTTTCACAAATTTCCAAAGATTTTGCTCAACAATTTTACTTCATGTTTTGTGAAACACCCCTCTGGCCATGTTCATGGTACGTGCCTCGTGTGCGTCATGCTAAAATCTCTATGAATCTGTATAAAAGTCTTCTATGGAAATTGGCGCCAGGTACTGCACGATGTGGCACAGAACGCAGCAATGGTTTACCGGCGGTTTAAAACCACCCACGTGACGGGCTCTCGACCAATAGGAACTGGTAAACTGTCTCGGGTATTTATGAATGACCAATTTATACCCACCTGATTTTTCTTGCGCAGGGTTGCCCGTTCTTCTTTTGTAATGATCTCGGCTACGTCTTTCTCCACTCTGTTGAAGAACTCGGGATCTGGATCTGGTTTCTGGATTCAAATAAAAATGCAATGACTGGCAATAAATCTGAGCACTTGTACTTTGTTAGGCGGTAGGGCTTGCCCTCCCAATTCTTTGGGCTCCGTGCACAAGTACCCCCTCAACGATAAGGGAGGGAGAGTTGGGGGAGACCACTTGGAGTGACATTTGAACGCGATGCCAACGACGCCTGACACTCACGCGAAGACACTGTTGCGTTGTGCACATTCAGAATAATATTAGTCGTGCCAAGTAATATAAATTTCCCATTTAAACTTTCGTTGGGGTATCAAATTTTACTAAGTAATTAATGGGGTGGAATCAGGATCGCTCTCATGGCGTGAACTTTGGGCTCCTTTGACTCATAGGGTTACCAAAATGCGCGTGTGCCATGCTGCATGGACGTGGTTTCACCTCGAAAATCGCCAATACTCTGCAGAACTGTATGTACAATTTGTAAGTCAATGGGGCTGTTTAAAGGGAAATTACAGCATTTGCAAGCATTGAAAAATAAAACTACCAAGTTGTTACGAAATACCTTACTAGGATGTTGGTAAATGACATGCTTAAGCATCCTGTAAAATTATGGCACCTGGTGTGAAGCCATTTTCAAGAAAATGGTATATTTGTATACATTTCCAACGCTGGTCGGCCGACCACTGTTGGAAAAACCTAACTATTTTTCAATTACTGCTCCAAATTTACCATTTCTTTTTTTAGTCTAAACTTTGTTTTGCTAGCTATTGGTTCCATGTTCATGAACGGGTTGCATGCCAGCTAGACTGGTTCCCTTACCATACAATTTCCCAGTATTTTTTATCCATTTCATCATTAGTGGAGTCAGGGAACCAGACTACTTGAATCTTTTTGTTTCTTCTTGGTTTTTCCAGCATTTACGAACACAAAACTTCAAACATGTCAGTGTATCAATATTTGATCTATTATACTAACCCCCAAATAGTGTATTTCTGAAAATTACAGCAAAAGCCAATGATGTACATTCCCTTTAAAGCGATTGTAAGCTGCCAATACTCTTGCAGAACTGTATATACAATTTGGGAGTCAATGGGGCTGTTCAATATAACCAAATGTCAGTACAGCAGTGTTAGTTATAGCAGTGTTACTCGTTTCTACATAATCTTTGTCATACCTTGGGTACTTCAATCTCATCTATGGCTCCGTTGGTGGTGCTCTGAGGCGCGGCTTGGAAGTCATGTAGGGACATGGCGTGGGGTTTGTCCTTGCCTTGTAGGTGTTTCCGTCGCTCTTTTCGGTTCACTACGGGCGGTGCACTCTCGAGTACCTCCTTGGCTGCCTCGCCTACTTCTTTTATGAACTTTTACAAAGAAATAAATGGAAAAAAAAGCCCTCTCATTATCAGATATAAAAAAACATGCATTTGAAGGGTCAAGGGTTCGAATCCTCCAATGAATACGGACTTGAGGCTTCTCAAGCATACACTATGCAAAGAGGGCAATGACAAATACTTCAGTCCCAAAAGCTGAACCAAGCAGAAGCCCCCTAGAGTTCTAATACAGAAACAAAAGTTGCATTTGAGGGTATAAGGTTCAAATCCCCAAATTGATATGGATCTTAAGCTACTTCCTTGATCAGGTCTATGACTCCTTTCATCCTCTTTCCAAAGAGGTGAACAACAACAAAACTCTCATTTTTACTAGTGTTGTGCATTTTCGAACAATATTAGTATTCCTTTATTGGAACTTGAATATAATCGAATATTTGAATATTCAAACATTGACACTGCGATAAATTTTTATGAATGTCATGTATGTATTGATATACTTTTTTCAAGATAGTATGTATTGATATATTGTTTTCAAGATAGCTGACTAGCTGACATTTGACAGATATTAACAATGCAAATTAGGACTAATATTCCTCATGGAAGTCCTTAAATCATGCCTGTAAAGTGGCTGCCCACAGAAATGTGGCATTCGACAAACAGTAAAAACCACCCAACTTATACAAATAAAACATGAGACAGCTCACATTTTTTGAATACTCTGTTTGGTAAAATGCCCTAAATTTTACAGATAGAACTTGTATTATGAGGGGTGACGGGTTAAAATCCCCAAATGGATATGTCCGCCAATGTATGTCATAAACTGTGCAAAGAGGTCAATGAAAGGTTCTTTGATTAACTGAACCAAAACCTAAACCGGACCCTACATTTCCTATAAAGCTTGATTTTGAGTGGCCCAATAAGTCAGGTCTCAAGCAACATGGGACAATCAATGTCGAGGGATTGCCTTAGTAAAAGTTCATTTGAATAGCTGGGCCCAATTTCATGGTGCTGCTTAACAGTTAGCAGAAAAGTTGTGCTTAGCATAGCAGAAAACTTTGCTAACCTTAAGCACTATTTCACGGCGTGGACGTGCTAACGGTCGCGCGTACATGGAGATTTCTATTGTTAACATCACTATGTTAAGCAAATTTTTCCTCTGAGGTAAGCATGCCTTTTGCTGTGCTTTTGCTTACGGTCTCCATGAAATAGACGGAGGCTCTATTAGCAGAAAATCGTGTGCTTAGCAGCCCTGTGAAAATGGGCCCTGGTCACTTGACTCGGGATTGCTTGGCTTGATAGTGACTTGCACAGACTGACAATAACTCTGCTGTATATCATGCATCAGAGGCGTAGGGGGTTTGAAGCTGGAGATGGATATGTAGGCACGGCTTGGAAATTACCAAGACTGATGGTTTAAGCCACATCTGCACACAGCGTGGCACGTCCAAGAGGGCCGTGTGCGGCGAGTGTGTTTAGCGCATTGATCAGGGCCCAATTTCATGGCTCTGCTAACCACAGAATTCTGTGCTTACAATCACCATTTTGTACTTACCGCGCTAGCAGAAAAATTCTGTGCTAACCCTGTAAGCACAAACCCCTTAGTAACGGGATGTATGCATGGCAGAAGAAAACATTTCCTGTCAACCAGTGAAATACGCTTACCGTAAGCACGGAATTTTCTGCTACAGTAAGCAGGGATGTTTTGCTAATGGTAAGCAGAGCCATGAAATTGGGCCCAGATGAGCAGCTACATTTCCCTTCTTTCCCCCTCTCTTCTTGCCCCCCCCCCCCTTTTCTTTTTCTATTTTTCGTTTGGTCGGGGGAGGTATTTTTTTCCACACCCTAAAACACCCCCACCCCCATCGCCATGCTACTGTCATGCATGCTGACACTTGGGCATTGTCAGTAATATGTATCAGACTAAACAAAAGGGCAGCAATTATTCCATTTATTTGTGTTTTGCTTGTTTTGCTTTCAAATCAATGTCGGCTTTGGGACAGACAAAGTCAAAATATGGGACAGGAAAAGCCAAAATAAGCTGTGTATGCAATGCAACAACTGGCAGGAAATGACCCATTAGCCTGGAACGGAGGCCTTGTTTGGCCAAAAACTCCAAACCATTGTCACTCCTTTCACCTGCTGCTGGTGTTCGTACTCCGTCTTGCTGGCCAGGATGGCCTTCTGCAGGTCATCTTCAAACCGATCCTTCACAACCTAAAACAAAAACAACATTTTTGGACATAATTATTAAATTTGCCATGCATCAACATGTCTTAAAGGTATGTAGGATTTGTTTTCACGTGTTTTGTTCATTACCAATAATAACCATGGGCGTCGATTACTTCTCAGAAGTGTGGGGGGGTGGGGATACCTCCCCCTGGTATTTCCCTGTGGACTAATGCAAGTGCAGGGCGTGACGTTACGTTACGTAACAATTTTGCAGCAGCAGCAGGATTCCAGTCAAACCAGTGAGTTTGGCAGTTTTTAGACATCCATCTTACATTGAGAAAAAAATGTGTAATTTTGCCGACGCACAAGGAGCTTTTTTTTTGGCCTAATGGTGTGGGATTCAGGACCTGCCTAGTAAGGGCCTCAGGAAATTTTGGATTCTGGATGCTCTGTGGTGCAATCTGAGGCAATTCCTGAGCAAAAAGTTTTTTTTTGCTCTTTCAAAGTTTCTTATATTAGTTGGGAGCCACGTCTTATTATTTCCTTTTATTCCCTCTTTTCGCCCTGGGGGAGGAGTTGGGCATGTTTCAGCTCCGTGTATATTACACCTAAGTTTAAGAAAACAGTAAAAAAACAATGTACAACCTTTTGATTACGATCTTTTGATCTCGAAAACGAGTACCATTAATTGGAGTCTGAGTATTGATATTAGAGTATGAGTGCGAGTAAAAGTATTCTCAAAAAATGTCTTGAGTTTTACTCGGAGTAGGAGTACCGAGTACGAGTAACACAACACTGGTTTCAGGAGATTTGAAGACATTTTGCATGAGGAAGTAAAGCCAATCGATTTACATTTTTAGAAGGGCCCAATTTTTGGATCACTCAGCAGTCTGGTGCCACAACCCTGGAGAGAGTGTACATAGATAGGGGCTTAGGTACCAGATCCAGACCAGTGACAGTGTACCTTCGTACATGGCATGTGTTAACTATCTTGAGTTCTGGGAATATCAATACCCAATACACAATATGTAGGGTATTAATAACTTTTCGGACCCGTTCCAATACAGAACAATAAACACCTTCTAAGAAGGTACATATTTGAAGCAAACCCCCAGCCAAAAATGGGTCCTAAAAGTAACTAATGCAGTATCCTGGTTGGAAAACAACACTTACCCCCTTGTCTTTTCGTTTCCACTCCTCCCACTGCATGGGGTTTCCCACCAGGTGTTGTAACGAGCTGAGTTGGGATGTCGGGCTGGCCGGCCCGGCCTGCGTGTCTTGCAGGACCAACCCTGGGGGTAAACGGGCCGGTGGACTGGTCGGGGGACTTCCAACTACAGGCCCCTTCGTGCTTGAAGGGTTGAAGGCGATATCACGCAGCTGTGGGAGTAGTAACATTTATTATTATTATTAGACTTATCTCAATATTTCCTTAATTGATCTAGATACTAGGTAACCTTCACGAATCCATGCAACTTCAGGAAACCAATAGACACGTGTACTTGGCATTTTACTTTCACAAAACATTAAATGTAAATTAACATTTGCAAACATAAAAAAAACATAACCTTTTTATCAAACACCTTACTTGACTGTAAGTGTATAATAATCTCCAGCATCCTGTGAATTTATAGGACCCGCATGGTAAGCTGTCATTTTCAAGAAAAGTGGAATTTTTGTATCAATTTTTGTTTTTTAAACCGAAAAAAATGATAAATTTTAAGCAGTGACATCATTTTGGCCTCTTTGCCTGTTGCATCTAGCCCATATAAAGCTCAAATTAGGTTTTGCCCTTCACCGACGTTTAAACACTGTATACTCCCTCCCGAATGAAATTTGGAAAAAATCACTCAGGTGGGACTCGATCCCACAACCTCCTGCTTTCTAGTGCAGATGTCTTACCACTCGACCACCGAGCTAACGGGGTCGGTTGGCTGGTTCGAATCTGATACATGTACATAGCAGCGGGTACCACATAAACTAATTATAGTTTATGCGGTACCCGCTGCTATGTACATCAGATTCGAACCGGCCAACCGATCCCGTTAGCTCGGTGGTCGAGTGGTAAGACATCTGCACTAGAAAGCAGGAGGTCGTGGGTTCGAGTCCCACCCGAGTGATTTTTTTTTTCCAACTTTCATTCGGGAGGTAACACACTGAGTATACAGTGTTTAATTTATACGTCGGTGAAGGGCAAAACCTAATTTGATTTATATCGCCCCGGCGCAAAAATTCCATCTTATCATATAAAGCTTGTAGGCCTATGTCATTTCCTGAGTCCAATGGTGGCCATTAAAAAAACAACCTGGCGGCCATCTTGGAAAATAGCCTGGTTGGGCGACCATTTTGGAGGAAAAAAAGAAGAAGAAAAAAAGGGCCTCCCACTTCTTTTTTTTCAAAAAGGTGGGACGCTAAACATGTTTTTTTTTTTTATTTGGCCCAACAGGCCTGAAGGAATAGCCATTTGAAGTTAACACACACAAACTGATTTGTCTGATGTAATTGTTAACAAATTGTTCCTCGGCTCTGGTGACTCATTTCCATAAGGAAGGGCGGTACATTAAGTATTTTTACATGGGGATACTGATAGGAACAATGTTTATATTCAGATAAGTTGGAAACACCACAGGAAACTGGGACTGTGCTAGTGTAGTGTATGAATACCGCAATTTTTGTTTCGCTTGGTTAATCCATGGGCATTTCAATAGAAAAACGTCCCATCATGCTCAGGATACAATGCCATGATGTACATACTATAGGTGGACGTAACTTTGTGTGACCTCAGGTCAATAAGGGGGGGGGGGGAACAAATGCTTGAATGTATGGCTTTGCACCACGATAGTGCATTCACCTCGGAATGTTTTCACCATGCTTGCCGGAAGTGATGCGCAAGTTGCGTCCTTCCATTGAAATGTCCCCTGAGATTACCATGTGACTGCAATGGCTTAAGCTCAACCCCCCTACATCCCCCCCCCCCGCCTTGCTCAAACTCCTCCCCTCCCCAAAAGCCCTCAAGTCCTTTCTGGGGCCTCCCATCTGCCACCCCACCATGCCCATCCGCCCCAGTCTTGCAAACATCTCTATTTCTCCCATAACACACAACACATCAAGTGCAATCGTAAAACCCACGGCAACTGAACGAATCACAGTCACCGTACCTCGGCCGTTTGCTTGCTCTTCTTTTTCTTGGCACGCTTCTTGGCACTGGCACTCATTGATGAACCTTCCCCGCTGTTGCCAGCTGCAGTGTTCGACGTCTTGACATCTTTGTGTCCTTTCTGCTGTGATTTTTGCTTTCTCGACCCTTCGACCTCTTCGTCTGAATCCCCAAACTCAGGGGAGGCGTCCATGACATTGAGAATCCCGAACCGAGACGACAACGGTAAACCAGCCATTTTTGTTGAAGAGACAAAAATTCAACAGTGCAACTTTTTTATCCGACAGAATTTCTCACGTTCGGAAAGTACCACCACCAGTCTAGTCCTGTGTCATGTGTGTGTAACATATGCGCGTACTGTGCAGTAGCGCAATGTACTAGTACTGTGCATACATGGAAATCCCAAACTTTTGTTCGAAAGGGCGCCATCTCTTGACATGAGTCTTGTTGATCGACAGCTAATTGTGGTGGTTTTTGCTGTTGATATTCGCTTGTTTTTGCCGAGTCAGCCCTAGAGATTCATTGGCTATTAGTTGACGGCGGATTATCGTGAATTGTCTTCTCTATATTACAAAAACACCTTTTTGGGGGACGGAAGATTTATTAAAATCATAGTGTGTTTTGCTTACGACCAATGATTCTCCGAAAATGACAAAAACTGAAGTTTTTAAGTGACGTCGCAATAAAGGCAGCGCAGACAATGAGTACACCACCATCTTTTCCTCCAAAAACATTGGTTAAAGTAGTCAGAAATTGCCTCAGATCGGACCACAGAGCATCTAAAATCACCCCCAAAAATTACCCACTTTTTGGGGAACCAAATATTTTTTGGCCCCTCCCAAACTTGTGTTCTGGATCCGCCCTTGACCAAAAAGGCCGCGGGCACTTAACCAGAAAAAAGGGCACCTTCCGGGTTACGTTTGGGGCCCCGCTTAAGGGTCCCGGGGAACTTATTGATTTCAGATGCTCTGTGGTGCGATCTGATGCGATTTCTGATCACTTTAACCAATTTTGGTGAAAAGATGGTGGTGTACGCCGCTACCTTTTATTGTGACGCCACTAACAACAAAAAATTGAGTTCGTGTTTTTTTTTTGGGGGGGGGAGGCATAGCCCCGTTGCTCCACCCCCTTGGATTCGCCCTTGGGCCTTCGGCACACCGCACACCCTCCGCCCCCGGCACGGCCCCGGCAGTAACTTCTCTGGGTCCGCCCATGAATTCCACCAGTTATGTAAAGAGACCATTGGGTTTTTTTTTTATCGCGAGAGGGACACTGTTGCTTTTGATGGCCAGCTCAGTGACCATATTCGCGTGAGGAGGAGCACTATTATTTTTAAAGGCCAGTTTTCGTGATGAGATGCACTATATTGTTTTTGAAGACCAATTTTCCATCTCGAGAGGGGCACAATTTTATTATTGCGAGATGAGTATTTGTGCTTTCAAGGGGTAGTTTTCCATCTCGAGAAGGTGCACAATCTTGTTAATGCGAGAGGGGCACTTGTGTTTTTGAGAGGCCGTTTTCCATTGCAAGAGAAGAGACAATTTTATTTGTAGCGCGATCATAATCATGCTTTCATACGTGTGTGTTTGAGGGGCACTTTTGTTTTCATCTCGAGGGGGCACATTTAAAACCTCGAGAGGGGCACTTTTGTCGGCCTGGGAAAAACGGGGGGGGGAGTGCCCCTGTGACAGGTAATTCTGTCCCCCCTGGTAAATGTGGCCCCCGGACACATTTACCGGCTCGTTACCTGGTAAATGTGTCCGGGGGGACACTTTTACCTAGGTAAATTTGTCCCCCTCCAGGTAAAAATGTCCCCCTGCCCAACGCTTTACCAGTGTCCCCCTGGTAAATGTGTGCCCATGCAGTATGTACTGAGAGCAGCAGCGTGTCGCACGCGCGCCAGTACATGCTGCAAGATTTGAGGCAGTGATTATAACATGTGTACATATGCGTATCCCTCTACAATGGAAATTCGTCCAATAGGAAATTTCGTTACGCGCTATGATGGGAACACAGACCAATCCAAGGAGACGTTGTATCATACTATCAATGAGACGAGGGCCATCGCCATGCATCGCCGCTGTGTTGACCTATCGCGGTAGAATCGCGATAGACTTCACCGTACTCCGAATCGAAACATTGTGTTCACGTATCACCTAATAGACTAAATTAAATATTTTTTTATATTCAAGAAGGGCAGACTAAAAGTCCAAAATGTAAGTGTAAAATGTAGAGTGAATTCATCAAAACAATAACCTTCTGGGTTTCAAAAGAGGGGGATTAAAAAACCTGGGGGACAGAATTACCTGGAGGGGACAGAATTACCTGGAGGGGGACAGAATTAACGGGCCAGGGAGGACACTTTTACCTAGGTAATTCTGTCCCCCCGGACACTTTTACCGGGGGACAGAATTACCTTTCACACCCCCTGCCCCCCCCCCCCCCCCCAACCGCCCATGATCGTTACAGACAGACAGCTGGTTAAATAGTCGTGCACACACTACACGGCGCCACTGCAAAGTCTTATTCCCTCACCCACACTCTCTACCCCCCCCCCCCCCCACCCCTTTGAAATGGTCAGGGTCATTATTTTTTTTTGACAATTTGTCCTATTAATTAAACCCTCCCTCTCTCTTTCGTATGCTACAAACAGGGGTGTAGACTCAGATCTCAAGCTTGGTATGAAGCAGACAGTGCTGTGCGGGAACATCAACATCAGCCACACCTTGGGCTCCATTGGTTGACGGAGGTCCCTGATGATGTGGTTCGCCGTCTGTTCTTCTGATAGCGGGCCCTCAAAATGTAGCCTCTTTTTTTTTGTTCTTAAAACATTAGCAGATGGGGAGTTATCATTTTCCCCCTTAATGTAAATAGATATAGGAATAATAGTGCCCATTATGTCAAACCCCCCCCCCCGTACAGCATGCATTGCCACATCTGTTCCCCCTCTAAAATAAAGGCAAAGAAGGACAACTTAAACGCACATAAACAAATTAAAAGACGTACCTAGCATTCGTAGGCATGCATTATTGTTAATATTCCTAGCATAGCGTCTAAGTACAGGGCATATAGATTTGGCCTCAAGATAAGCAACATCAACAAAATAGTCAGGTTTTCCAAAATGGTATATTGAAAACGTAAGTTTTTTTTTTTCAATACACAAATCAAAAGTAACATGTGAAAATATTATGCGATCCTGTGCATGGATTTCAAACAAACAATCTGTAACATAACTCCAATTTTCAAACATCAAATAAAGGCTTTGAAATCGTAGCGTCGTTTTGGTTGAACTATCATGATACAAAAACGAGGAAGCATTTAATATTTTACATCATTATATCAGCAAAATTATGTTGTATACATTAACAAAATTTAATTCCGTGAAAGGGTTAGTGGTGTATAGTTTACAGTAGATCTGTGTAAAGTTTGATAATAGCTACCCCCAAAAATCATGGTTACAACTGACAAATTAAAACACTTATAAAACACTTATATCAGCGCCCTTCCTATAATATTTGGATGATCTTAGTTACAATTTTTTGTAGATTAAATAAAAAAAAAACGATTTACAGTGCTCAAAACTTGAATATTAGTTTAAATTCGGCTAAACTGATTAATAATTTATTTAATTTGACTATTGATCGTATATTATTTCTTTGTCCAAAGAGGAACTATGTTGGTAAAAAAAATCTAATCTTAAGAACGTTGATTAAAAAAACAATATTCAACTCTGCAACTAAACTACTTTCAAGCATTTTCGTCGTTTTCGTTTTGCCTTAACCAGTTCGCGCCGGAGGCTGTGATAACACACACTGGCTGTTTTTGTACACAGGCACGGCTGACGGGTTAAGACGCCGAGATTGCCTCGGGTGACGTCTACTCACACTAATCCCTCGTGCCTTATACAAAGTCCGTGTAGTCTGGGTGGTGACCGTGTGTCGACCGTCGTGCGGGCTGTTAGAATTAGGCCTGTTGTTGTACAATTTTACGCTCCAATGCACACCTCGGAGTATTGAAACATAATTGGGTTTCGGCAAAAAATATCGTACAAATACTATTAAAATGACTCTTGCGAATCAGTATTGGTGGCATCTGGCTGAAGAGTTGGCTGGGAAATTTTGCCTTTTGCGAAAATCGAAATTTTCCGCAAAAGTAAACCCGGCGCGAAGTGGTTTTAATAGCCTATCCCTCTTTAATTTCATATAGCACAGGAGACTGATATTTCTTGCCAACCACGGGTTGTTGGCAATCTATGGAAGGTCAACGTCGCAAAAATAAAGAAGAATTATACAAAATGTTTCCAAACATATCATTGGATTGTTGCAAATACAAAATAACTAACCAACGCTACCAAAGACTGAATAAAATACATCTTTCGTACAAAATGAAGTGCTAACAAGCAAATTGTTGCAAAAATCTATCTCCAACCACGGCTTCCGCTTGTGGCGGCCCATACAAAATGGCGCTCAAAAGTTTACCAACGAAAGATAAGGTCTATAGAAGACCGATTTAAGAAGCTTCTTCCTTAGGGTCATCTTGTTTTTTCTCCCCAACATCTTCAGAGTCAACGTCGTCCCTCAGAGCTATTTCACTCATCCGGATCGACGTCGTGCTTAGGCCGGCGTTGCGGTCCGTGGCTACCGTGTCCTCAACGGTCGTCGACTCGCCCATTCCCTTTGCTTTGAAGCTGAGGGAAATTGAGAAAAACAGAGTTTGGGCGTCCCAGTTAAATGGGTTCAACTCAGGCATGGTGTGCGAACTAGTTTTTGTACCAAACCCTCCAAAGGACCTTAATTGTTAATCTAAAACAAGCACACTTTGTTTTCTATAATAAAACAACTTTGTATATCAGAAAAGATTTAAGTGAAGAGACTAGAGAAGTAATGGTATTATTGGTCTTGTCTTTGAAAAAAAATGAGAGTCCGAGCAGCTTACGTCTACAACTACAGATTTGGCGATAAATTATGTAGGATACGTTTTAACCAATCAGGAAACTTCAATGCCGGCGACTGCGTTAACTGACAACTATCGACCAATCAGCAGCCTTCGTGTTGTGTCTTTTAATACGAGTTGCTGTACGATTGGCTGACGCGCGCGGTATGACATAAATTTGCATGCATGCCATTAATATCAGACGTTCGTCGGAGCAGTTCTGCCGAATCTTGCTACAGTGTTGGGAAAGGTATTAGGGGGAAAAAAGAAAGAAGCAGATGCATGGAGAAAAAAGGGGGGGGGATGAAAAAAAGAAGAGAAACAGTCAATTTCATTAACCTGATTGGTGCCGGGGTCACGGACTGTAGCAAAGACGTATTTCCGGTGTCAACTTCGCCCAGGTCAAACCCATCATTCCTGCTGCCCGCTCCTTCCGGCTTCTTCTTGCGTCTTGGTTTATTCTTCTGGAAGAGGCTCTTCCTTCCGGATTTGAAGCTGGCTTTCATCTGTTAAGAAAACCAAATGATTTTTATCCACAAAGTTTTAACTTGGAACGCATTCCAATGCCTCAAAATTTGTTTTACCAGTATAGGTCCGTATCCAGAATTATAGGAAAAATACATGCACGTAGATTGAAATCGAAAAGGGGGCTAGCCTTGAACCAAATTCAAGGAAGAGTACTGACTGTGATATATACCACAGAAGAAGCTTTGCTTAGAAAATTTGCCCCGATTGTATTCCGACAATTTCCCCTGCCTATATTATGGGCATGTGACACACAACACGAATTGACGAATCGATAGAATGGGGGAAAAGGGGCCCTGAGATATAAAGCATATTTTTTTTTACGATTTGATGAAATTTTCCATCGAATGTCTCCCGTTCAGAAGGTTTCGGGAAATAAAGAACTCCTAGGATATGTTCAGGAATCGTCCGGGTTCGAAACTAATTATTTTAAAAGCCCTTAGTTTCAAAAATCGGTCAAAAACCACGCCTGATTCATGGGACAGTCTAAGATTTATCCATATAGGCCCTACCAACTTACGTGAGCACCACTTAAAAATACTCGGCCTGTGGACAGTAACAACTAGTTTTGAAGTTCACTGTACCTGTGCGACATTGATGTACATGTTTCCTTTGTAGGCCTCCGATTCTTTATTCCCCAGGGCCTCTGCAGCCAGCGCCTCAACACGTAGGTCCTCGTTCAGCACCGAAAGCGGCCGTCCGTCCTTGCCGGTCTGCGGCCCGGTGTTCCCCTGGACGTTCTCGGCAGGAGATGAGGTGGTTACGGCGAAGGTGTCCTGGAAGTCCTGCAAAGGGTCCACGTTGAAGAACACGGCCATCTTGAAGGGGTAGATGTCGTCTAAGATGACGATGGCGATGCCGACCAAGGTCGACACGATACCTTAAGGATTTAATTGAGACAATTATGGAAAACAGTGACGCCTTCACAGAAAACTTACACTCGTTATACGCTGGCGTTCCAAAATCATGCACGCCAAACCAAAAAGGATTACAGGGGAGACTATCAACCCGAATATATTTTGGACAGGCTTTGTTTAGTAATTTACCATTGGCTAGAATGTAGAGTCGTTCATAACTTTTGTTCAATTATTTCCATGCTTTCCACGAGCAAGTCAAATTAAATTTGCAAATAAAAAGAAGGTAATTATATTTTAATAATAATAATATTATAAATGACGGGAGATATTAAAGGAGGGTGGCAAATATAGGGCTGTTCATATAAACTGAGGATTGTAGAGAACAACCTTCCACAGACAGACGAATTGTATAGGACAGTTTACATCAAATCTAATCTAAAAAGTCACATCTTTTCTAACATCAACTTTTCTCTTCACTTTTCAAGGTCTTTCCCAAAGTTTTCACAACTTGTAATTAGGATGCTGTTAAATTCTCAAGGCATATCAGTTTCGGCGCCGAGTGTCCTCAAATGTCGTCATTTCTTGAAGTCCAACCGTCAATGAAAATTGTTCCATTTTATCTCATGCATATCGTCCATAATGAAATGCTCTCCAATCCTCGTTAATCAGAGCAGATAGAAAATATTTTATTTTCTCTTGCACCTTACCTCCAACCAGACACAGGTAGAAAGACCCTCCTTTGGAGAACTCCAGCACTGAGAAAGTAAGGATAATACAAAGTGGGCAATCAACAGAGCAACATCTCTTGTGGTCATAATCATAGCTTGTCATGTTAGCCAAACATTTGGTCTTTAGATATTATGCAGTCCTACTTATTTGCAAGTAGTAGTAAAGTCTGTCACGAGCCAATGTGGCCCATCAGGCCGGTGTTTATCTCCAGTTACTTAGTAGTAGCACGAATCCCTTCGGATGGGACGTTAAGCCGTAGGTCCCGTGTGTTGTATAAATGCACGTAAAAGAACCCAGTAAACACTTATCGCTAAGAGAAGGGGTTTGCCCCGGTGTTTCTGGCCTCCTGTATAAACTCCCACGTGGAGTATTTAGGAGAAGAACCAACCAAAAACCAACCAAGAACCAAGAACGAAACGACTGAGAATATTTCTACTCCCCCTGGATGGGATGCTAGTCTATCGCAAGGTTACTCCCCATCTAATGCCGGTACCCATTTATACTCCTGGGTGGAGAGAGGCAGCAGCTGGATTCGAACCCTTGACCCTCTGATCATGAGTCGCAAACCCTAGCCACTAGACCATACTCCCCTTACTTGTCATTATAATCTGTAAATGCCTTAATTATCCTAACTGTTTCAATTAAAATATAACTTATATGTAATGAAACCAAATCTTCGGAATAATTTGACGAGCGAGGCCCGACTCTGAAATGCCAATCTGAAACGGGGTGTTTAGTTTAGTTACCGTGGTCCTTGCTAAAAGGTATGACCAACTCCGACCCGTAGCGTACGGTAGCGTAGATGATGTTGGACGATAGCAGACAGCTACCGGTAAGGACTAGGAAGATGCCACAGTACCGGATCACCATGAAGGAAAAAGCCAGCGCTAGCACCCACAGGCAGAACGCAGTCCTGTGTATGAGAAAATAAAAATATAACTTGCAGACGATTTTAAACAAAGACAGCCAGGCAAAGGCAATCAATTAATCAACAAAGTGACCACGACTCGGATAGTCGGCCGTCAGATGGAGAGCGATAATCTACATGTACAATCCCGGCCAAAATGGTTGGGACACTTCCTGAGCCTGTCACGGTCACCCACTCCCCCGCTCCCCCGGCCAATGTTGTTCTTTCCAGCTGATGGAGCACACACCGCGCAATGAGAGACTACACTGAACGGGGGCCGGGGGGTTGGGGGCCCAGCGAGATTTGGCCAGGATTGTAGCTTACTCCCCCAGCATAGAAGCTTTGAAAGACCAACACGTATGATATAACTTTGAGCATTAAGGAAGAATTTTGATAGCATGTTTGTTCAAGGTGAAGAACATATTACAGACATTGTACATATTATGTATGCTCAGTGAGTCGGTGCTTCCAAGAGCTTGTGATAAAAGCTTGTATTATTTGCAGTATATCATTACATAATACATTGCCTGTCGTTAAGAGCAAATCTCAACACATTGTACTTATGGGCAAGAAAGGAAGAGCAGATTTGAAGGCAGGTGAACACTGGGGATGACTGGTAATGGACGCACCAACATTTATACGGACAGGGAACAAGATGTTGGTACGTTGGTCAGCAGCCGCCAAAAAGACAGAAGTGTTTAGGAGATAGACGGGATCCACCAAATGCATAAAAGTAAACGGCATGACTTCTTTGCACAGTTTGATGATTGAGTCTTTGCGTGTTTGCCTCACTTTGGATCCAATATGGCGGTTCTGCGCAAAAGAGCGAATGCTATACTCACCACATGACCATGAAAGTGTAGAATCCGGCCACTCTGTAGGACCTCCCCCAGCGAATGTCTTCTCCGTCCAAGGTGAAATACTCCACGATCCATAGGATAGGATACGGTAGGCCCTTCCATTGGGCGTCACGGAACTCCCGGTTGATACGACCAGCTAAAGAAGACGAGGAGAAACAAAATTGGGAATCTGCCTCAAGAAAGCCGGCCAGGTCATACACTTTACAGGAATTTGACGCCACGAAACATTCGCAGCGAATTAGAAATGCATTCATGTGTTTACAAGGGCGGATCCGGGGGGGGGGGCAACGGGGGCTATCCCCCCCCCCCCAAAAAAAACGAACCCAATTTTTTTTAAAAGAGACGTCGCAATAAAGGCATGCACTGCGTGCACCACCATCTTTTCCTTAAAAAAAATGGTCAAAATGGTCAGAAATTGCCTCAGATCGCACCACAGAGCATCTAGAATCCAAAAATTGTCGGGGTCCTTAAGCGGGCCCCGAACCCCACGCCGTAATTGTTTGGACCCACTTTTGGGGGAGCAAAACCTTTTTGGCCTCCCCAAAAAAATTGTGTTCTGGATCCGCCCTGGTGTGTTTACTTCTTTCCTTCTAATTTGTACTCGCTGTGACGTCACAAAGTATGAACAAGACCCCAATAACATTCTTGTTTTTCATAAAATAAGAAAGGCAGGTATCAATATTTCATGGTTTTACTTAAATACCTAATATCTTCATTGCAAATCAATATTAGGTTTTGCCCTTCACCGACGATACTCAGTGTGTTGCCTCGGTAACACACTGAGTGAAGGGCAAAACCTGATATTGATTTACACCACCCTGACGCGAATTCATCTGGAATCTTCATTGCATTTTACCGAATGATAATATCTCGTATTTATTGGCGTAGCCACTTTTTTTCCGGGACGGTGCATGAAGTAAGAATGATGAGGCAAAATTCATGCATATTTCTTCATTTTTTAAGATTTGGCTCGTCACCATGAAAAAAAAATCAACAGGTGGATCTCTGGTCATTTTATATTACCGAAGGTTCCAAAGCCTCTACGGCCCTGGTTGCAGCAGAACGTGAACCGTTCGTTGAAGTTGATTCTCTCGCCTTTCAACTCGCCTGTCTCCGGGTATTCTGGTATGCCTATGAATTAGAAAAGAATAAGGTAAAGTTAAGTCACAGGAAGCATATAGGAGACAATTTTGGGTGGGGTGGAACTAGGGAACATACTGTGTTCACTTATAGTGCATGATACGGACGAACGAAAATATTGAAGACGTCTTGCCACTTGACCACTGAACTTGCCGGCGTCTGCTGGTTGTTATAGTAAGCAAGGAGTATTGGGTTCGAGTCCCACAATCTCCACAGAAGCTTGTGTTATTGCCCAACAAGCTCTAGCCAAGCACTTATCTACACCCTTGAATGAAGTCCTTATTGATTGACTAGGCCCTACATATAGGAGTGAAACCAAAACAAGGAAAACTGGGCTTGGAAGGTTTTTATTTAAATACGACAATTATCAAGTACCGGATCATCGGCTTACTTACCAAAAACGGTCTTATGAAACCGACGAAGCGACCTGTATGGTTTGGATATTTACAAAATGTAAAACACTCGCTTGCAGGCGTGCTTGATGCTCATCCGATCCACAAACAAAACTTTGATGGTGTTTAATTTACAAAGGCCTATACATTTACAAAGTAGTGTTTCTTTTTGCTCGTCAATATATTTCATGCTTATAAAATAATCAGTCCAGAAACTGACTCAAGTGTTAAACGCTTAGTAGGAGGACGCCAAAGGACCACGGCCTAATTACATAGACTTGTTTAACAGAACAAAAGGCTTAGTACGTGTATGCGTCAAGCATTAAGTATACACTTCGCATGACTTGTGGCTTACAACCCTTTGCTAATTTCATGTGTCAAAGCGACTCCACGAAAATGGCTCCGGCAAGTCATAAGGGAACAGACCTGTAAATCGACTCCCATATAGACCTCAGTGATAATTTTGCGTACTTTCAATAATTATTAAAAATACTCACAACTCTCCAAAGTGTTTTAGACACCCATCAAATTAAAGCTCATTTCATCATCTTTCATTTTCTGTTCAGTTTTTGGGTGGTAATTCCATGACTTTTGGGAGAAAATTCCATCCAAAGATGATCACCCCTATAAAAGTAGTCATGTGGCCCATCGCCATTTTGAAAAATGATGCTTCATTGCAAAAAGAGCAATTTTCGGACCCAATTTCATCCGAATTTTACAGAAATATGAACTCGCACTCCTGTGAACGGCTTCCACCCATATTTTTAATTTTTTTTGCAAACCTTCAAGTTCATGGTCCACATAATGCTCTAATAGCAAAGAATTTACGGTGCACAAATTGTGATTTGGCCCGCGTAGGAAATTCTGGGCCTTTTTACAGGTCTGCACCCATAAAGATCCTTTGCATTCAGCCATCTTTGGGGTACGTGTCTTTGTTCTACATGGATACGCTAGAGTAGACCTGCAGTCATTGTTACTGAATTATACAACCATTCAACAACTCAAAGATGGCCGCTTAATGCAAATTGTCTTTTCTCGGCCTGCCAGTCACAAGCCCACGCCATCCGACCACCACACCCCATGCACACTCACTTTTCAGAGTCACGTTGACATTGGTCAGTCCGATGTTGACTCCGATGTCTGCCACTATCTCATCCTTGGTGAACGCCTTGTAAGCCGTGGTGACGCTTTTCAAGGAAGCTACCTCCCAGTCCTGGCCGTAAGTCGACACTGAGAAAAATACAAAGTGACTCAGTGGCGTAGCCACGGGGGAGCGTGGGGGGGGGGGGGGGGGGGGGGGACATGAAACCTTGTCGCCCCCAGTCGCCCTCCCCACTGAGATTTGGAGTTTAAAAAAAATTATCATTGATCTACATGACGCCCCCCCATGAAATGTTCCAGCCCCCCCCCATTGAAAAATTCCTGGCTACGCCACTGAGAGTGACTGAACAAATTTTACTTATTCTTTCCCTTATTTATAGCATATTTGAAAAGTCGCCTCTGACAAATAATCTTTCCCGCTATCCGTAAAGTTTAAACGTCCGTGCATTTTGGGATGTGAAACCCCCCCCCCCCCCGTGGGTGCAGACCAGCAATATAGGCCCAAAATTGCCTACGCGAGCCAAATCACCATTTGTTATACGCCCTCATTTTGTGGGCCATGAACTTGAATGTTTGTGAAATAGAAAGGTGGAAGCTTTGCACAGAAGTGCGAGCTCGTATTTCCGTGAAATTCAGATGAAATTGGGCCCTAAAATTGCTCTATTTCGCAATGGAGCGCAAACATCATTTTTCAAAATGGCGATGGGCCACAGGACAACTTTTATGGGTGATCATCTTTGGATGGAATTTTCTCCCAAAAGTCATCAGATAACCACCCCAAAACTGAACAGAAAATGAAAGATGATAAAATGAGCTTTTAATTTGATGGGCAACGGTTTCAAACACCTTGGTTGGAGAGTTGTGAGTATTTCAAATAATTTTTGGAAGTGCGTGTAATTATCACTGAGGTATATGGGAGTCGATTTACTGGTCTGCACCCCGCCCCCCCCCAAAAAAAATATCTACAAATCACACTGGTATTTTGGGTAACATTACCTAGGTTATGAGCTTTCCAGATCCAACGAGCCATGGAAAGAATAAGATGCGCTCATGATAAGTCATTAACTATCAATTAAATTATTAACGTATAAATTGGGAGCGTGCCAAAAAGTTTCGGTACAGGCATTTCGCAAAAGCGTAAGGGGGTGTAGCTGGAATAATGAAAATGCTCACATAGTATGGTGAATCCTATGAACAAACCCAGGAAGAATCTGATGGCCGCGTAGATCCTCTGTTCCAAACACAGAAACCAAACATTTGTTAGGTTTAGTAAAGTCGGAGTACTGCAAACTAAATCAGGAAGACACCCCTTTTTTATAGTAGAGTGATGGGTAGTTTACCAATGCCCCCAACATATCGAAAATTGTGAGAAACATCTGCAAATATATTATGCACCCTTATTTTTCAATTACTTTAATTATTGTTAAGAGTCAATCATCACATAATTGTTATCGGAAATAGTGCTATACGTGCCAATGATTGTAGCTCCATAAAAATCTATTCATTTTCCAAAACATGCATTGAAAATGTTAAAAACGCTTAAGACAGCAGTCAATTTGGCAAGAAATGGAAATTTAAGCCAAGACGTACAAATTGGGAGCGTGCCATTGAACTTGATCCAAGAAAGTTTCGGTACAGGTATAACACATTTTAAAGATCTTTCCCCGCTCTACATCCAACAATTGCAAAGTATTGCACATGCAGTTGCGAGGTCTTCACGTGATATTGTCACCAAAAAAAGGTCGAACATATCCTCATTAGATTTTAAATTAGCAAAACAGACGATAATTACTTACATTCCTCTTTCGTATCCCAGGCAAAATGGCAAGGAACGAGACCGCCAAAATGAAGAACGCATAGACCAGGCCGGCGTAGGTAATGTCGGCGGACACCGCAGTCTTGTTCGGGCCGTATGCAGTCGGTGACCCGGGGTTGCGCAGCGCGCTGTACGGTGTGCCCATGGTCGGTCTTTACAGGTCGTGGGTAACTGTCTCTCGGAAGATGGACTGCTGCGAATGTAGGCTTATTTTCGTGATACATGTACTTAACTCATCAAATGACTCTGTGAATTACCAGAATAAATGTCTGGTTATGGACACGAAATATTGGCACAATTTGGGGCCTGGGCGAGAAATATCTGACGCTCATGACTATTACAGATATCCTCGTTGAATATTAAAATACTATGAATTTGAAGTATGGGAAATGAATATTCATTCGTAACGTGTCACCGAAATAGACCATGTACGCATTTCAGCCAAGTAAACACAGACATCAGGTGGGGCGTGTCTGGCGGAGTGATATCAAAGTTTGGAAGCCGGATAACCTATGACACGGATAGTCAAACATTAGCTGTCAGTAAATTTACTCAATGATAACATTGTATGGAAACGTGTGTACAGAGATGTCACCTTACTGATGACCCCGGCCCGATTGTAAACATTTCCGCGGAATGAGACACATTTATAAACCGGAATTCCCCGCTGTAACCCAGAAAGATATCAACCAAATGTACTATAAGTATTTGACAGAGATGTTAGGAATGCACCATTCTGAATGTCTCAGACATAAAAAAGGGCCAGGGGTGGGGAGAGGGAAGGCAGTGATACCGAAATCTTCAAAAGGGGAAGAAAAAAACTTGATTGCGACTGCAGGCCCTTCCTGACAAAAACAGTCGGACGTTAATTTCGAGGGCAAGTTCCATAATGGCCTGAAACCAAGATTTCATAGATCTAAACACTTGCACAAAAGAAGAGCGCACACAATTTTGTTCTATATTATTGTTTAAGAGTGGTTTAATACCCTACTCATTAGAAGACTTTCAAGTACCGGGCTAATTCAAGTATGGCTTAATCCTATACAATTGCACTGCCCGTCTTACAGGTAACAATCACTACGTCAGTCAATAATTCAGTCAGTCAGTGAGATAGTATAATAGGCTCTCTAGTCTGGTACCAGCCAAAAATGCATAGAACATCAGCAAGGCCGCCATAAAGATACAACAAAGCATGCGTGTAATGGGAGGGCACAGTATTGAACAAAGTCTGCATACTTCATGTGGCCAAGGTCCATTTGCAGTAAATACTTCAGTAGTTTTACAACTCACCTTGGTCAAATACGAAACGCCCTTTTGTTATTGATAATGACTGTCAAAATTGGTTGTGAAGGCATGTTATAACGTGAAAACACCGCCATTACAACTTGACAAGTGCAAAGAAACATGGTCTAAAGTTCTTGACTGCACCCCAAAAACATCACATAGCAAATATTAACACGCAAATCCATGTTTACATCAGCATGGCATGATTGCCATCCGTATATTTCCTGCTTTTAAATTTGGTTTCAAAAGCTCGTGTTATAATGTTCCAAATAGGACTAGGGTCTGGGATTAATTCAAATATTGCACAAATGCTCGCCCATTTCCCTTTTCCCACAGTTTCATCAGATAATATTTCAACTTTGCTGAGAAAGGCATCGAGGCTGTTATCAAGAATAATCGTCTTGTTCGAGTCCTGCAACAGTTGCGTATACAGGCAGTCTGCATTAATAACAAGGTCAGTCGGACCAAGCCTAAAAATGTCTGCCATGAACTCATAATATCCGAGTTTTGTAGCCAACTGTATTCGATTCTTCAAGACATTTGAGTACAGTTCACGTAATTGAGACATCAGAAAATGAAGGAAAAAGCGTGTATAATAAGGCGAGATATTGGAGTGAGACAAACTATAATGTTGGCTGCTTGCGACCGCTTCCGAGGTAATTTTTTTGGGCATAACTTCACAGACATTTTGAAAAAGCTAAAATGTTTCTGCTTGGCAAATCTTTCCTCTCAAGGCTTCGATTGTTTGCATGATCCATTCCATCAAATGCTTCAACTTTTTACTCCTCTTATATCCATGGAAACTATCCGACATCACTTTTTTGTTAATTTTGTTGAAAAGTGCTCTTCTTTAAACATTAAAAAAAATCGATGTTTTTCAGGACAACTAAGGGCGCTGTTGCTGTGACGTCATTCTAGGAAGCTCAAGTTTAAGGGATTTCTGTTCCAATTGTGTTTCCAAAATTTGCTCATTGGCTTACTCCCTTGTACTTTTACAACAATGAATACCCAAGAAAATTTGCGACAGTAAAATATCCAACATTCTAGCACTTTTGTTGTGCTGAAATAGCTGTAACATTAAAGTTTCTGCCGGGAATGACATCAAAGTTTAGCTCATGCATATGGACATTGCATTAACATAAAAACCAAAAGAAAAACCCCACCAAACCCTTTAACATGGCAAAACAAAAATTGAAAATAAGATTAAATGGGACAAAAAAGTGCATTTTCAAGGATTGCATTAAAAGAAGAAAAACAAAGGAAACTGAGAACACATTGAAATTAGTATCACCAAAATAACTGTTTCTTGTTTAATAATTTCACAGAAAAAAGACAGAACCCACAACCAAAATAAACAAAATATCTATGAAATTAAACAAAAGAAAATGCAATTTAAACAACTCATACAAATTATACAACAAAAAACCAACAGAAATATACAAAGTCAAACTGCATAAGAACGCAACTGGTTAATGACAAAAATATTTTTATCACTTCCAATAGCCTACGTCATGCAGTGACATTCATGAAATAATATTTCGAAAGATACTGAAGTATTTTTCATAAGAATGAAAGAACTAAGTTTTCTTGGTCATGAAAACCGGCCTAAAATGTTAGAACATTTACTTCTTTGAAGTCATGCACAATGCTGCAAACCGTACCAAAAAATGTTACTAAAATTGTTCGTAAGCAAAAGAGTACTGTAACCGACACTGATACATTTTTTTTTTATTATCTTATAACAAAGAGCTAATCTACTTTTTTTTTTACGGAAGCACTTCGGTTTTGTCACAATATAAACACTAACTACACTAGAATGTTCTTTAAAAAAAACCAACTAATAACTTGCTTTTCAAATTTTGTATTGCTTTGCAATGTAGATCATTCATGCAGCCCAAAGCTTTATGTAATAAAATATGATGGTTTCCTGAGTAACCTTTTTATAATGAAATTAAATTTCTAAGCTTTCTATGGTTTCAATCCAAACGGTTTCACATTAAAAAATACCAAAACTATGTGTTCCCACTTTTACCTTTTAATTTTTGTTATAACTAGCTACTTCTCAATAAATTGAAACACTGTATACACAATTCTTGATGTTTCAAAAAATAAAACAAGCATTTTTTTTTGTTTCAGCTTTATGTACACTAAATAAATGGTCACAACATTGCAAACAGGTCTTTACTAGCTTATTTTTTTTACCAAAAGTTAAAAAATTTATCTCACTATTCAACAAAGCTTAAATGTTTTCATATTGTTTTTCTTGATACTACAATGATTTCTTCTTTCAAATTTCTAAGCAAAACAAATAATTTCATGAAAGTGTTCTATTATTGTGTGCCTCGCCTTACAAAAGTTCAGCACCATAAGAAAATGCAAAAAAAAAACACAGCAGTGTCAAGTACTTTTCAATATAGCGTCCTGTTTTTAGAAAGCCCAGCACATGGCAAGACAGTCAGATCTGCTGACCTATACAACGTCGGTAGATTGATTACAGTCTACATTTCTTAATACATGTAATTATGACTGTGAATTGAGAACAGCAGATATACGCTGGATATATCATGAAATTTCAACCTATAAGGCCAAAAAAAAAATATTCGGTCTCTGGTCAGACCAAAGTTCCGGAATTGACGCGGCCACGCGTTTTTTGTTTTTTGTTTTTTGTTTTGCTTTTTTTCTTTTTTCTTCAAGCTTGGATTGTACAGACAAGGTGGGTACTATTTTGCTTTTTTGGTGTCCTCATGTACATTGGTGTCCTCCATAATTTGCCATGGTGCTTTCGATCATTTGCCTTGGTGCAATTTCCCATTCCTTGGTGCTCTTTGGTAAAAAAAAATTGAGGAGGTGCGGAAATAGAGGGCGCTGTTGGAGCTACCGCGGAACATTTTGAAAAAAAAGGAGAATCTAGCGCATGATTAAAATCAACGCGCGCGCTGACCAGCGACCAACTTATTTTTTTTTGGCCTAACCAAAATTGTTTTATTAAAGCACTTCAAAGTATACAGGGAATCTATCAAAACATCCCTGTGTAAATCAGTGTTAGGACACCAATACGGTGTACATCAATTTTGAAGTTTTACTTTTGTCAGAATCTTTCCGACAAAATCGACACTTTGTAAATCAGGTAAATGCACAAATATATGAAAACTACGAAAGCAGAAAGAATGTTGTACTGTTGCATACAAAAAAACCCAAGTCATCACTCGTGTAAATATTCTCATTTGAAAGATGAGGATGTTGTCTCATTAAGAACAGCAGATTCAAACGTCACCAGTGCACGGCCAGTTATCCCCACAAGTAGACACTGCACAACTTGCTCAAAGATTTCGCATCCTCACTTCATGCTTCACACGAGATAATTGTAGTCAAAATATGTCACTATTCACAGGATCACATCGCAATCGGTAAAAACTAATGCTGAGCTATAAAGCATGATATATAGTATATGCAAAAATGCACCATTAAATTCAACCACAACTGTTCTCCTTCCTATTCTTACCTTTACAAAAATATATATAAAACTGAGTAGTTATAACTCCTCTAATTACCACTCAAATTAGTTAGCAGTATAGGAAAAGTACTGTCTTTAAAGTTTAAGAGCTATTTATGCCGATACATTATAAAAAAGGACTCACAAAAACTAAAGTACGCACAATTTTGTGGAATTTAGTACTTAAATTAGACATTTCCGTAATGCATTTCATTAGCTGGAAAAAAACACCAAGAGCATTCTCCACTTTCACAGTTAAAATACTTAATAAGCACTCTAAATACCTTGACAATAACATTAATCTAGTCAATTCCATAAAAGCGAATGCATCAACAGATACTGGATAATTATTTTGTGCAAATCACAGGCTTGTATGCACTATTGCTCGATCCCTAATCAGGGGCGGAGTTTAGAAGTTCTCGAAGTGGTGGATGAAGGCGGCACCGTCGTACTTGTTCAGTTCGGTGCAGGCTTTCTCCACGTTGTTGGTCATGCCGGGCGGGCCGCAGCTGAACACGCCAATCTTGTTCACCTGGAGGTGGGATGGGTAAAAAAAAAACGGTGGGAAAAATTGTCATTTAATTTTTTTTTCAAGCCTTCTGTGCCAAATGCTCCTTCATCCATAAATGTGTCCACTGCATACAACCTGTCCCAGTTGCTCATATCGCCCCATAGACAACCAAATAATGACGTCAAGTTACGCCAAGCTCTCAATTGGAACTTGTTGGCAACTCACATAGCTAACATATCCAATCACTACAAAGACAATGTTTCCCATTCAAAACGGTTGCGTTGGAATCCACAATGGTTTTGGGTAATAAGACCAAAATAATGGAACTGGACATCCGCAATTTTCAGTGGAGTGTAGACCTTTCTTTGCTAAGCTGTTAAAAAGTAGTCTTCAGCAAAATCTGTTGCCAACCATGGCTTAAAGGGTTCATGTAATGAAACGTCTTTAATGCAATCCTTGACATGTACTTCATTTCAAATCTTCATATTGCCAGTTTAAGGGCATTTTGATGTTTTTTAAAAACGTTTTTATGCTAATGCAAATTTCCATCTTCGTGAGCAAAACCGTGATGTCAGTCAAGGCAAGTGACTTCAGTGTCGCATCTGCTTCAGCATAGAAAGTCAAAATATGTTTTTTTTGGGCAAACTGTCTTTACTTTTCCGCTTTCAGTGATTCATTGTTGATTCAGTTCATGGCAGTGAGACAATGAGAACACTTTAATTCTTTCAATAAGCAGGATTTAGGGTTTACAATTTGAAGATAAAAACCCTAATCCAAAGAGTGTGTTCTTAAAGTGACATCACAGAAACAGCGCCCTCGATCAGTTGGCGGGAAAAACATGACACATTTAAAATGTTTCAAAAAGTGCACTTTGCTAAAATTGTAACTAAAAAAAGGAATGTCTCACAGTTTTGATACATTTCAGAAGAATGGATGTTTGCTACAAAATATGCTCCAGTATAAAAATTCATTTCATGAACTCTTTAAATGTATGCCCTTGTGGCAGCCGAAACAAAACGACACCCAACATTAACAAACAAAAGAAAGGTCTATTGAGTACTTGTATTAGTCCTGCAGAGAAAATAATCAAAGCAGGAGTGTGCATTTCTTAAGTTTTGTTTGTACGGAAACTCTGCCTACTTCAGTACTTGAGAAAGCAAATCTTACCGAGGGATGCTCGTCCTGTAGAGACTGCAGGAAGGTCTCAAACTGCGGGCGGCCAAAGTGAGTGATGGAGCGCAGGCCGGTGAACAGGGAACGCTCCGAGATCTTCTGGAAGTGACGCTCGCAGATGTACTATGAAAAAAAAAACCATTGAGAAAAATGAGTTTGAAAACCAGATATGTATGCTATTTTTCCCATAAGGTATTATAATCATTTCCAGCAAAAACAAATCAACAACATATGTAGAAAGTATTCAGTAAAAATAGAAAAATTGATTTTGCTTGCATTCATGACTTCAGCACTGAGCTGCATTTAACAGAAACAATAATGAATTTTGACAGCAATTCAAAGTGACCTCAGAAATGTGTTGACAGAAAAATGTGATCGAAGGTATTCCCTCTGTTGGTTGTACATGATCAATATTCATGAGCAGCAAAAAGATGGGCGGACCAAGGATGGGCATGGCTTATGGGCGGGTCTTATGAGAAGTACTTACGGGTAAGGCCAAAAAAAACCAAAGGCTAAGGTGTCTGGTATGTGCGCGCGTCGCCGTAGCCATGCGTGTTGGCAAAATTAAACAGTTTTTTTTTCAATGTAAGATGATGTCTCAAAACCGCCAAACTCACTGGTTTGACTGGAATCCTGCTGCTGCACAATTTTAACATGTTTTTAGATGGGGTTACGATCGAGTATAAGCTTTATGTGGTCTTTCTGGGCTCCCATATATTTTGCACAGAATAGTCGGGCACCATTTGCAGACGGTGTTGTATTTTTGTTATTGTGTGTGTGGAAGCCAGACGTGTAAGTGGAAGCGATGGTCGTGTATATGGAATTTGTAAACACTTTTTAAATAGTGCAATATGTAAGGGAGCAGACTAATGACCAGCCTTGCAGCTCATGCACGATGTCTGATGTCGCTGTATGGTCTGACGTTACCGTTTTCTCTGATTTTTGCCTCGACTATCCAAATTTTCCAAAGAATGTCCGTGTCAGTCGAGATTGTAAGTGAGTGCAGAATTCGCAAGCCTTACGGGCTTACTGAGGTCACCTCAAGCTCCATCCTGAAAATATTTTTGAGGGCAAGCTCCATACCAGAAACCGAAAACTTTTTTTTTTAACCTAAGGCTTATGGGCACCTTGTACCTTGTAGATTAAGACCTCCTAAAAACATCCTCATGGGTCTATAACTGAAGGCTAGGTCTTGTGAGCAGAGCAAAGCTTATGGGTGTGGCCTATGGGGGGGTGTTTATGTGCGGGGCTTATTGGCAGGACTTTGGGGGTGGGGCTTAGAATAAAGGTGGGGCTTAGGGGTGCGGTTTCTTACCAGCATGGTGGTACGCAGATCAAACTTCTGGAAGAACTGAGTGATGAAAATGTGGACGCTGACGAGGTCATTGACATCCTTGTCCTCAACGTCACGGATGATGTCAGTCAGCCACTCAAACTGCTTCTGGGTACGAGTCACCCAGATGAAGTACACCTAGACACAAATACAAAGGAAATTGTGAGTCGGATGAAGTGTATATACCCACAGGTTTTGCGGTATTCGGAACGGATGACGGATAAACACCCAACGAGCGAGGCCGGAAATATCTGTCAGCGACCTGCTCGCAGCGACCGAGGACGTAAATATCAGGGTGTGCTGCCCGCAGATGACGGCCTGAACCCATCTGGCATCGAGGTTCGTGAAAAACAATCCCGCACCTGGGTTGGGTCGATGTCAAAATAATCCCGGCGCAAAAATGAGTTTTGTTCTGGTTGGGAAAATCACGTGCCAAAAACTCCAAAACCCTCACAATGAAGGAATTATTATGGTTCAAAAGCTGATATTTCAAATTTAAAGGTAATTTCTTTGAATGATGTTAGATGCCAAAAGTTGCCTTCATGGTCTATAAAGTAGACCACTACTGAGTGACCAAGGTTCAATGGCTCCTCTAAACGTTTGGAACAAAAAAGGTAGTTTTAGTGCACTTCCAAGCATTAACATTTTTGGTTAATTTTGCACCGTTTTATATTTTTGCTACGGGAATTAATGTGTGCTTGGCTGGTTTGAAATAAGTATGTTTAAAGCTGATTTGGCTCCAGCCATTATCTGCTGCAAGACCCCTAGCCGAAAACCGGCTGAGCACAAATTTATTCCAATTAAAAAATACCTTTTGGTCAAAAAGTCTAAAAGAGTAAAAAAGTCACAAATTTTTAAACGATTTATTTATGTTCTGCGAAGAACCCCTCTGGCCTCACGCTCGTGGCTTGTGCGCATGGTGCTAAAAATCTCCTGATATGGAAATTAGCGCGCAGGGTGCGTACTTCGATGTGGTGCAGAACGCAGGACTGATTTTATCCTGAAGTTGCACAAGCCCTTGGCGTTTTCGTTAAGCACCAGGTGACGGGCGGCACTGTGTTCGCGTCCCTCCTGAAGAACTGTCTGACAGTTAAACTGTTCTGACATATTTTATTACTCTTTTAATTTTCAATACTTGCCTTCTTGCAGGTGAATTTCTGACCCTGGGCTGAGCGGGCGACGAGATCCTTCAGGATGGAAGCGAAGGGAGTCACGCCGATACCGCCGCCAACCAAGACAGAGACTTCAAACTGGTACCAGTCCTGGTGCCCTTCGCCGTAGGGACCATCCAAGAACAGCTGAATTAAAACGTCAAATGTTCGTGATAAGCAGATAGACCTTAACCCCAAAACTTTCTAAATTCTCTAGTGTGCAGGAATGTCACATTCTTTACATTTTGACTTTTCAAGGATCAACAAACCTCATGCAAAGTAAAAGTGACTGGGATCTCAAGTTTTAAATCCTGAAAAAAAAATTCTCAGAAGGCTCCAGGAGGGTAACAATAATTTTATAACACAAAGAAAAACTGAACATTTATATGCGAAAATCTTCACAAAAAAAGTTAGTTTACTTGTTTACGTTGTCAAAATCTTTTCTTGTGTAAATTTCAAGTAAGTTATATCGAGCGCCAATGGTCAATTAACCCCCCTGCTGTTTAAAAGGTCACCAACAGTCAAGGTTTCCTTCCACTTCCCCTGGTGTACTTTTAAAACACCAATGGGTCACTTGACCAATTTTGACCCAAGTAACAGCATGGCTCAGAATGCATGCATAGGACGCCTATAGTTGCTGATTTGTTGCATAACTTGTGCCTGCATGCTAGAAGCAAAGTGCAAATGTCTTGAGATCCACTATACAAGTCAAATGTTTTGAAACCTTCCCATGGCAATTGTTAATTAGCAATGTGATAAACCTCAGGCTTGTCCTGACTAGTCAAATAGACTATATTCCAGCTGTGGTCGGCCGACATTGGTTTGCACAGAGTTAGTCTAGACGTGGTTAAAGCTATACGTTTGCTCTCCAAAACTGCTTCAAGCTCATATCCCCACTTACCTTCGGGTACGGGTGCTCGCGGACCACGTTGGGGTCAAAGGTGTGGCGCAGGTTCATGGTCCAGGGTCCGACGGCACGGATGTGCAGGGAGAGGTTCTCCTCATGGGGCGCGGAGGACAGGGTGAAGGGATGGTACTCACTACTGTTCAGGGTCTTGCAGGCGATGCGCACCCACTGGCCGGACTTGTACTCGAAGGTGGTGGGGCGTTTGAATTCCAGCATGGTCACGTCTGTAGATTGTCAGAGGGTTCAAAGAATGTCGGAGTGAGGTAAGTTGAAATAAGAGAAATAATAGTGTCATGCATCTATATGCAAGTAGTCTCAAAATGCTCCATATTTTTCACCACTGTCCAACAAGCCGTGAGATCAGTTTTTCAGCCGCTGAAGATCAGCTTGAGCATAATCTGTTCCCTATATACCCTCACAGGATCCCATTCATCCTCTTTGGAAGACAGAGGCAATGGAAGCAAAGTGTCTTGCCCAAGAACACAAACACAATCTCATGCATGGTTCGAAACCAAATACTATTGCACATGAATCAGATATTGTCAGAGGCATTGGAACTGAGCACTCTAAGTTGTCAACGAACAGCACTGAGAGAAGGGGAAAGGTGGACGTCTAATAAATTTTTTCGATGGAATTTCTTAGTAAACAGATTTTCAAATTTTCAGCCACATGTAGCCGCTAACTGGCTGATATCGAGTCCCCACCTAAGCATCAACATGAAACTGCAAATGTAAACAAAGCGTGACATCATGATGTCTCAGTCTTATAGCAACTTTTTGTCCTGGATTGAACAAAACAAGAAATACTGGTTTTCTTTTGGTCTCATCGCCCGAAATGGATAATAACAGTAACATTCCCTAGACTGATGACTTACTGGAAGGCAGCAGCTCAGCCTTGACCACGGTGATCTCGGCCTTCTTGCGGCTGATGCTGACCATCTTGTCCAGGGTGAAGAGGATGACGGGGCCCAGGAAGAAGTAGTAGAAGAAGGGCGGCTGGACCAGGTTGCCGCTGCCGTGCATGATCATCAGGAAGAAGTAGAAGGCGTACATGTTGTGGGTCAGCCAGAAAAGGTTGAAGACCTTGCGGCGGGCGTACTGGAAGGCGAAGGTGTACATGATGGCGCAAACCATGACCAGCAGGACACCGGTGAATCCTTTGGTGTTTGAATGGAAACAGAGGAAGGCGGTCAATCAGAGTCCATTAAATTCTAACATTGGTATTTGTAGGATTTGATAGATTTAGGATGGAAAGTTCAGTCATCTTTACCGGAAGGCAAGGGTGTACATGATGGCACAGACAATGACCAGCTAGGGGTGTGCATTCACACCGGGTACCCAAGTACCCGATCGCTGATGTCAGGAACCGGTTCCGTACTATGGGATTAGGTACCCGTAACCCTTGCAACAAATTACTTCTCAGATAATGAAAAAGAAAGGTTTTGAATGCCATTTGTGGGGAAGTTTCAAAATGAAAACCAGGCTAGAGGAAAAAGAAAAAAAGATTTCATGTTTATGTGCTCGCGAAAGTTGCAGTTTATAAACCCTTTAGACAACTTCTGGGATTTGAATATTGCTGTTAATTTGTTATGGGTACCTGGGTATCCGTGCTTTACTTCAATAGGGTATACCCGGTTCCTGCACTACCCGCAAGTGGCACACCACTATGACTAACAGGATACCGATGAGCTTTTTGGTTTTGAATGGAAACAATAGTGGTCAATCCAAATTCCAACATTGGATTTGTGGAGATTGATGGATTTTAGAAGTGTGCAACTCAGCAACTATTACTTAACATGGATTAAGTTTAATACTGCGATTGATGTTACAATTTTATTTAGGTACAAAGAATGTGTTGTTTTACCCAATTGCATGGTGTCAGATTTTGGAAGATGTTGCAGCATGTAGACCTTGGGTTTTATATTACATTTGTGTGTGTGCTAAAGAAGGTTATTATATAAAGATTTAAATATCAACGCACTTTATCTTCATTTACAAGAAATTTTACATTAAAATTGACTCACCAGTGATGGTGCGGTAGGCCCAGAAGTGGAACTTGGGAAGTTCATTGGATCTGAAAACCAAAGATTTTAAAATGGATGGTTATCACAAATAAAAAAGTTTATAAATACCCATTCAGTCACAAAGATTAATTCCTGCTTGAGAATTGTTCCTGCTTGAAAAAGAAAAAAAATCAAGAGTGTTTCCACTGATAATGGAGCCAAAGCGCTGTATTTACCTGTGGAAGAAGTCACGGAACAGGCAGGACAGGTCGTTGGCGGTCTGGGTCGAGATGTGGTAGAAGTTGATAGCATGGCCAATGGTGTGCAGAACTTTGGAATTGAAGAAAAGGGAAAAAATACCACAGCTGTATTATTTCTTGCGATGACAAAAGTTGACAGTAAGGGGACCCAAAAATATTGAATTTTTTTGAGCATTTTTTTGGGGGTTGTTTTCTAACATCCATGAACACAAAACTTTAAACACGTCAGTGTGACAACATTTGCTATAAAATGCTAACCCCCAAATCCATCCATTACTGAAATTTACAGCAAAAGCAAAAGTCGTATATTACCTATCACAGGTACCTAAACTACAACAGTCTTCAGTTGCGATTGACATTTGATGTGACAAAACCACAACTCAGAAAACTGGAGTCGGGGTTAAAACTCACTGGAGTAGAGCAGAGCCATGATGGCGACAAACTTGTGGAAGAACAGGGCCGAGTCGAAGGGTACGTAGCGATGGAGGAACGTGCCGCGCAGGAACGTGATGGTGTTACGGCACATGGTCACCAGCAGGGTGGAGTAGGTGAACATCATGGCGCTAGCGGCACCGCGGGTGACGGTCACACCATAGCCGGCAATGCGACGAAGGCCAGCGTGCTCACGCTCGACGGAGTAATCTGTAAAACACAAACATTGTCGCTGCGTAAATGATTTTACATAGGAGCAATTCCATGGCAACTCACGTTACATTTGGAGGGGGTCTTCCATCAACTCTGTGCTGTTACTCTATAAAGTCAAAGTATCCAGGGTGGATTTTTTATTTTTTTTTTAACTTACAGTAGGCGCGTTCGATGAAGATCCCAGCCAACACCAGATTGTACAGAGCAAGGTAGAAGATCTGTAGGCGGTTGTTCTCGATGTAGCGCAGGAAGCGGTTCAGTTTTTGCTGGGTCTTGTTCTCCGTGTAGGTCTGCTTCTTGGTCTCAACCTTGACGACCTGGGACTGGTAGCGGCTCCTGGCTGTCTTGGGTCGCACGCTGTCTTTGTCACTGTGGTGAGGTGAAAAAAAAAAAAAAAACACCCAGAAAGGTTACAGGTTGATTTGTGGTCGAATTGCTTTAGAGAGCTTCGCTCTGTCAAACATAATATGGTCCACAACAGATTGTGCAGTATGTGGCAGCTAGGGTGACACGTGCATGTGCGTTGGAACTCTTAATGAATACTCTGGATTATCTCACCCGGGTTGACCTAATGGGTTAGCCTAGTGCCGTTATCAGGGCTCATCCAAGTCAGCCACCACCAGACTTATACTGGGGTAATAGGACAAACGCATGCGCTGTTCATTCCAAGAAATGAACAAATATGGCGGCTGGATAGCAGATAAGCTCAAGTGGACCCAAAAATCAACTTTATTTGAAGTCTAAATATAAATATTTATCGAGCTTTTTGCTGCTTTAGAGGCCATAGTTTCAGCCTGACTTTGTTCCTTTTTACGACTGGCGGAAAACAGAGTAAATTTCAGAGGAAGACTCAGTTCAAAAAGGATGATTTGTCAATGGTTACTCGTGGCTATGGACATCACGTGAGGATCATGAAAGTCTGAGTTAGGGCATTTGATCAGACTGGCTCCCATAACTAACCCATCTGCCTTTATCTGAGTCGATCAAGGCGAGCAACTCGAACACAACCAGCGAATGTTCTGTTGTTGAAATTGCGAAGCCTGCCAATCCCACCAATTTTAAACAAACCATAAATACAGTTAGTCCTTTACTTACGCGTATGCCTTGACGATGGTTTTGCGGGCACGGGATGGCGCGTTCTCTCGTCGGATGACGGTGGCACCGCGGTCGACAGCGGCAGGCTGGGCTGCCTCAGGCAAATCAGCTCCTGTAATGAGAGAGGACATAAAGTCATTAGTGACTGTGGGGGAGAAATAAATCCCTGGAGGAAATAAGGCCAGAGCCAGGACTTATATGAACGGAACAGGTTAGACCCGAAGACGTCGTAATGACAGTTCTTGCAGATATGTTGGTCCTCTTCATGCATAATTATGTGATCACTTAGCTGAGATGAGGACTTGTAAATACAACCTTCCTAGGGTGGGGCTGGGAGGTGGGGTGGGGTGGGAGGTGGGGGTGGGAGATGGCGTTGTGGCCTTGTGGGGCAGGGTCGGGGCAGGGGTTGGGGTGGTGGGGGTGGGGTAGGGCTCGGTGTTGGGGTGGTGGGTGGGGTTGAGAGGAGGGGGGATTGGAAAGCTTTGTCTCTGACTATGGCATCAAGATATTTAAGGTCCTTGACTTTTGGGACTCCAGCTCAAAATGGGTCCCAGTTCTGCCTTGAGAAGCATCAAAATGTTCCAGTGTACGCACCCAGTTGACAACATTTCTCATTGGATCGTGGCTTTGAAATGATTCTGAAGCCAGAAATGAACAGCAAAATAGACACAAAGCTGAGGTTTTACCCAGACAAAGGCATTGCCATACCTTGCAGTTGCAGAGCAGCCTGGCTCAGATCCTCCTTGTGGTCACCCATCAGGATGATGAAATCCTCCAGAGACAACTCCTCTTTGTTCTCAAAGCCCACCGCCTTGAACATGGAGGAGATGACGTCTTCCAGTTGCTGCTGCTCCAAGGAAGCACTCACAGTCTCCATCATAGATCTGATGAGATCGGAAATCAATCAAGACCATCAATAACCAAATCAATCAATTGAGAATAAATAAACATATCATTCAATGCCATCCATTGCGATACATAGTGGTCACTAAAAAAAAACACCCACTTTTTTGATACAAAATAGTTGAATCCAAAGATCAGTTCAGAATAGAACCGTTTTCAACCTGATGTTTGTTCTGCAGCCAACCTTAAATCGTTAAAATCAGTTCTGCATACTATCAACATTAACTATCTGACAGCTCAGCCAACTACTTCCAGAACACATACTTCCAGAACAATACAGGCGTTTGACATGCAAGCTTAGGGCAGATACAGATGAACACTTATGATCAGAAACTAACCCGCAATGGGCTCCAAGTACTCCCTCAACGGTAAGAAAGGGAGAGTTTGGGGAGACCACTGGAAGGAAGATGCATTGCCAACAACGCTTGATGCTCACGCACAGACGCAACGGTTTTGTGCACATTCAAAATAAAATTAGCTGTGAGTAATCTGTGCTATACGCAGTCAAACCAGTACTCGCCTGTGGTGTATCCCGTCCACGGAGCTCTTGAAAGTGGTCAAAAAGCACTCACCCTTGTTTGCACATTGAGCCCACACAGAAATATGAATTTAGAATGAAAATCCAGGGGTATTAAAGTCAGTTGACAGTTATATGAGTATGCTTACTTCAACATAATCTTGAACTCTTCACGGGAAAGATGCCCGGAGCGGTCGATGTCGTACATGTTGAACATCAGCGCCAGCTTGTCTTCCGGCTTGCCTGAAATTGAAACCAAGAGACTTTATTATAACATCACAGATTTATGTCTGAAAAGCAACAATTTCGGTCTAAAGGAATATGCAAAAAGAAAAAAAAAGATAGAACAGAAAAAATCCTGAAACTGTAAGATGTTGTAATCTTGGCTAGGGATATTCACTCTTGCAGATGATGGATTCTTAAGTAAACTGTGGGTAACATAAGTGATGGTTGTGACATTTAACCAACTTTCAGCAAAATATAAATATAGCCCTCCCAAAATTCATTCTGGGATCCCAATGAAAAAGTCAGCAACAGGACTTGATGAGAAGTACAATACATACTGAGTCTACAATGAACAGTGCTTGGACTTTTCAGGGAAAAGTTCTTGCAACATTAAACAAAAAAGTTGAGCCTGTCTCATTCAGACTCAGTGACTGTCAGTCAGTCAGTTGGTCAGTCACTCAATGACTCGGTCTGTCAGAGGAGTTGTTTAATAGTTGAGGGAAATCTGTGGGCCTACCCTTGGCAAAGATGACGATGACATCCAGGAATTCGCGGAAGGAGAGCGAGCCGCTCTGGTCCTTGTCCACAAGCTCAAACATCTGCTCCACGAAGAGCGAGTCCGGCGCCATGGACAGCATCTCGGCAAACTCCGTCTTGGTCAGCTCGTTGTTCAAGACGTCGTGGGCGTCCGTATGCTCCAGTTCGGATAGATCAGCAGCCTCAACCGACTCATCGAAGGCCTGTTTGGGAAAGGTTGGGCCCTCTTTTGTTAGAAACTTCGCTTCTATTCATGCAAAAATTGATGCAAATAAGTTTAAGGTCTCCAAATTTGAGTGTAAACCTGTGCGGCAACACTTCACAGTATCTTTGACCCTAAAGCCACAATTGGTTGTGAACTTCATTCAAAAGCAATTTCAGCAAGAAATCCTGTTTCCCCTAGTAATCATGGGCTGGCTTTACCTGGGCAAACGCCACACGGAAGAACCGCTCCAGAGTCTTCTGTCTATGCTCCTTGGTGATAGCCATCTTAAGCAGTTCCTTCTCGCGGATCTCGCGCCGCTCCTGGCCAACCCCGATTTCCCCGCTTCCCAGGAAACTCTCCACCTCGCTGATGAACTCTCCCCGGCTCTCGCTGCCGTCAAATTTCAGCACAAGGTCGTACTCGCGCTCCATGTGCAGGAGCAGGAATCGTTGCTTGCCGTCCGGCCCCACGCACAACGTGATCTTCTGGTGGTGAGTCAGGTCGATGGTACGGTAGAGCTTGTTGCCCCGCTCGTTCATGACCTTGATGGCCTTGCCTGGTCCGAGAGCCACCTGGACTGGTCGGGTACCAGACTTGTAGCCACACCATTCAGCAGCTGAACATCAAAGACAATAATCGGATAGATCAGCTGGAATACCATAGCACTTTGGTTTAATGCTGTCTTATTAAGACAATTATCTTCCTGCTCAAGGGGTTAATTTGATTCAGTGATTTGTTTGCAAGAAAGTCTTTTATAGAGCCCATGTAATTTTTGTAATGCCATCCTTAAAAATGCACCGTTGTGTCCCATATTTAACCCTATTTTCAATGTTTGTTTTGCCATTTTCAAGAGTATTTTGGTGCCTTTTTGGTTTTTAATAATTATGCAAAATTCCATATTCATGAGCAAAAGTGTGATGTCATTTTCAGGCAGAAACCTCAATGTTACAGCTATTTCAGCACCAAAAGTTGCCAGAATGTTGGACATTTTGCTGTCTTAAATTTTCTTTTCTTTGGTGATTCGTCGTTGTGTCAGTACATAGCAGTAAATCAATGAGCAAACTGTTCTCACAAATATTTTTAATAAGCAAATGTTTGGGTTCACAATTTAAACAGAAAACCCCTAAACTGAACAGTGTCTTCCTGAAATGACATCACAGCAACACTGAGCTCCCTTAGTTGTCTGAAGCATGAATTTAAAAAAAAATGTTTGAAGAAGTGTACCTTTCAATAAAATTAACCAAAAAGGGATGTCAAATTGTGTTCATACATTTAAGAGAAGTAGAAAGTTGCACAAAATGTTACTTTATCGACCCTTAACTAAATTTAACTTAATTTACTAATTAACTAAATGTACCAATGTTATTTGAAACTTTTATTTGCAACAATTTTCCACTTTGAAGCAAAATTAAACCCATTGAAGTTTTACAGAAAATGACAAAGAAGATCTTTTTCGTTGTTGTCGGCTTACCTGTGAATTTCAGGAGAGTTTCAGGTCCTTTGCCTTTGCGGGTTTTGGTACGTGTTGCCTTACGGACTTCCTCGATGGCACGGGCACGGCGTTTGGCGCAAATGAACAACATGCCGATAACGCCTGAAAAGGAACATTGAAAATGGTGTTTATCTTAAGGTTTCATAAGGGACCGTGACCATCCAGCCCTGGTACGAAAAGGGCCCCCCGGTACCTCATCCGGTCCAGAGCCAGTCCGGTCTTCAGCCCAGTCTCGTCCGGTACATGGTCCTGTCTGACCAGAAGTTTTGAAGTCAGTCAGGCGCATCAATTTATTGCCCTTCAGAGAACGTCCAGAGCAAAATAATAGCAGACTTACAGGATTAAGAATAAAATCCTTCCAAACTCTTTGGTAATTTATGGACCCATTGTTTCGCGCTGAAGGATGAAAACCACAAGCAGGTTTCTTCAGGGATATATTATGTGTGTCAATACTTGCAAACAGTAGACCCCAGGATAGAGGAGTTCCTGATTAGCAACCGGACCAGCTCCTGGGCCGGTAGCTGGGACGGTAGGAAAGGACTTCTTGGGAGGGGATGAGCTTAACGGGGGGCCCTTTTCATACCGGGGCTGAATGGTCACGGGCCCTAACAGATGTCTTAAGGTAATGGACAACATTTGTAAATTTTCAAAAATAAAACATATCATGAAATATCATACTTAATAATAATAATAGTGGGTATTTATAAAGCGCACGTATCCACCATTATTGGTAGCTCAAGGCGCTACATCATTGTCACCCTGGTCATTGGGCCAATGAAACATTCCAAATACCATCTCAACTCCCTTTGGAGTATACAGCTCGATGCTGCCCTTTCGGCACAAAGCAGCTACAATCAACCACAATAAAAGTACCCCTGCCCTCACAGGTACCCATTTACTCCTGGGCGGAGAGAAGCAATAAGTGACAAAGTGCCCAAGGGCACACGCACCATAACCACAAGCTGAACTGGAACCCACAACCTGCAGAATTACCCGCAGACCGCGAATCCAATGCTCCAGACCACGAGGCCACGGCACTTCACTTGTTAGTAATTAATAGGATCATGCATCCTGTGAAATTGTTGCACCTAAGCATGCTGCTATTTTTGAGAAAAGAGGAATTACAATAACTTCCTCGCATGGATAAAGCTAAAGCATCGTGCTTTCCATGCAAACCTATGTTTTGAGTCCAGAAAAACGACGGTGCATTTTCACAGGTTTTTTTTTATAAAGAAGTATAGAATGCAATAAGTCTGTATAGGAATGCTTTTATTTACTCTTCTGTATTTCTACTTGCAAGTTTGTGATTTCAAGGCAACTTTTCCTTCGCAGTTTTGACAAAAGTTGAGCACATTATTTGTGATATTGCAAGCACAATAGGAGGGTGGTATTTGGTTTGGGTAAATATAAAAGACTTTACTCAAATCAAACAGCGCCCTCCTATCATGTCTGCCATATCTCAAATAGGCTAACTGCCAACTCCTTGCAAAATTGACGTGAGTTTGCTTTGCGTTCCCATGCCTGTGGTTATACCCTTCAAGCTGCACCCTCAGGTTGACCTTGCGATGACACAAAACAGTTGGCGACTGACTTTTCAGTATCAAGCTGTGCCTGAGCTACGACCATGGGGAACAAACTAATCGCCGATTTTTTGAGACCTGAGTGTAACTGCAACGATATTAAGACGATCAGCATCAGTCGGCGCTAAAAAAAATCAACAGACGCAAGAGTAGAAAAATTTACACTACTGCGACGTGTTCCAGACAGGCGGGAATCAGTCCCAGTCATGTAGCCAATCAGAGTGCGGCGAAAGCGGCTGAATGCTATGAACAGCTGTGGCCGAGGAAGGTTGTTTGATTGTAATCAACACGCTTTAACCGCTATTGTTAAAGACGTCAAATGACTGTCCTACTTTTGTCTATGCTGTGGAATCGTCGTCGCGTCGTGGGTGACATGAGCACGATTGCCATTTATTTTGTGTCGAGATGCCGCTTGTTCCAAGAGAATCACACAATTTCTCAGTTTTGTGAACGGAGCATTACTTTCTGCTTGATGCCTACAGTTCCATCGTGGCGCAAGCAAATTGCAGATTGGCCTGAGGCCGGCTTAAGTTGAGCAAAACAAGAGCTAATCACCACTTACCGAGACAGAACAAGCCAATAGCAAGGTAGGAGAGTGCATAAGAGATCTCACTTCCTTCGAAATAATCGAAGGTATACAGCTGGGTACATTCTTCCATGTCATTCTCGTTGAGGGAGCGATTCTCATTCGGATGCATATCCCAACATGGGTCACCTAAAATAGGGTTGGAAATTGATAAAATGGCTTATGAAAATTTGATGCCCATCATGTATCGTAGATTACAAAAAATGGGCACAGGTACCCCCTCAACGGCTACAAAGGGAGAAATGGGGGAGACCACTATGGGAGGGACATTTCCGCACATTGCAGGTGACGATTGGTCAAGGGCGGATCCAGAACACAATTTTGGACAGGCCACAAACATTTTTAGTCCCCCAAAATGTGGGTAAAAAAAATACGGCGTGGGGTTCTGGGCCCGCTTACAGGCCCCGAAATACTTCTGGGTTCTAGATGCTCTGTGGTGCGATCTGAGGCAATTTCTGACCATTTTGACCAATTTCTTTTGAGGAAAAGATGGTGGTGTAGGCAGTGCCTGCCTTTAATGCGACGTCACTTAAAAACAAACGAATTGGGTTCGCTTTTTTTGGGGGGGGGGTGTTTGGCCCCCCCCCTGGATCCGCCCTTGGTTTGCGCGCATTCAGAATACAATAATTTGTGCATACTTCGAGTCATATTACCAATATTTGCAGGCACATCATTCCAAATCATTTAACACAGTGGTCCACTGGTTGATCGGGTGAGAGCAACCCATGTCCATTTTTGTCCCCTTACAATTTACATTGATAATTAAATGAGATGCAGTGAAAAAGTCTGTTTTTCAATCAAATCTCTATACTATCTGCTTTCCCTCTTTAAATGTGTGAAGTATTTAAAGAATATCAGAAAGAGACAAAAAGTAAGGGGAAATATCTCCCCCAGCATCAACTTAGTCCAGTTCTCCTCCACTCCCACCCCCTCTAAATTCTGAACAGCCTGTCAGCCTTCATCTTCCTGGCTTGTCTTTGTGACCCCCTTTTCCACACCCCCCAAAATCCCCCCCCCCCAAAAAAATAAGCTTGTGAATATGTTCTTGCTGAACATGCATACTTTCGTAGTAATGGTACGGGTCCTTTTGGATTTCACCCTCCTTGATCTTAGTAGCCAGGATCAGGACGTCGTAAATCGTGATGTTGTTTTTGATGTACTCAATCTGTGCCTTGGTGAACAGTCTGCAGAAAGGAAAAAAGACCAGAACCCATAAACTAATAATTTGTGACAGGAAGATGTAAATTCATTATATGGTTTTGCCCTTCACTGATCCTCTTTTTTGTGTAAACACTAAATGCTCAGTGTTGTCCGAGAAACTTGCAAGAAATATTGCACAAGTTTACGTGGGAGGGGACTTGAACCCAGGATCTCCCTCTTAATTACTAGTGCAGACGTCTTACCACTCAACCACCGAGCTGGCCGGGGTCGGCCGGCTGGTTCAAAGCTTTAAAGATATTTGTAAACATCCAAAAACAAAACTACCAAAGTAGTAGGAAATACCTTACATGACTGTAAGTGAATAACAGTCTCAAGCAACCTCTTGTGAAATCGTGGCACCTGGTGTGCTGTCATTTTCAAGAAAAGTGGAATTTTTGAATCCATTGCCAATAATGGTCAGCCGACCGCTGTTGAAAATAACCTGCCCCCTTTTTTTTTTTTAAATACTGCCCCCAATGTACAAATGAATTTAATCCACATTTTGTTTGCAATCAGTTACACCAATTCTACAACCATGGTTACACATCCAAAAATGGATGCAAGCCAGGTAGTCTGGTTCCCTGACCTGACAATTCCCCGACGTCTATAAATTGCTCTGTTTCGCCTGACTTAGGTCGAGGAACCAGACTACAAAATCAGCGTTTAACTGTTTTTCTTGTTTGTTCCAACATCTGTGAACACAAAACTCGGAACAGGTCAGACTAACAATATTTGCTATAAAATACAAACCCCCAAATCCATCCTTTTCTGAAAATTACAGAAAAAGCAAATGTTGTATATTACCTTTAAAGCAGCAGGTACCACCACCAAACTATTTATAAGATGGAATTTATGTCGGGGAGATGTGAATTCAGTATTGTTTTTTTTCAATTCATTGTTGTCGGATATTGAAATCCGCAACATTTTTTCTACACCCAACAGCTGCAGCCAAGTACAACAATACTGCACACAAAAAGAAGGTGAAATAGGAGCAACATCCCATAAGGCCAAAAAAAAAAGTCTCCGGTTTCTGGTATGGAGCTTGCCCAAAAAGTGGTGCGGTGACGCGGCTTTTTTTTTTTTTACCTGATTTTTTTTGCCTCAAATGTCGGCTGATGACTGCAAATGGTGCCCGACTAAACTTAGTGCAAATATATGGGGGTCCAGAGAGGCCACATAAAGCTTATTCTCGATCATAACCCCATCCAAAAACACGTTAAAATTTTGCAGCAGCAGGATTCCAGTCAAACCAGTGAGTTTGGCGGTTTTTGAGACATCATCTTTCATTGAAAAAAAAACTTTTTCATTTTGCCGATGCGCATGGCTACGGCGAGGCGCGCGCATACCAGAAACCGGAGACTTTTTTTTTGGCTTAATAGACAAAATAGAAGGGTATTAATTAACACTGACCCGTTTTGTTCACTCTCAAACCAGAAACGGTCCCCGTCACGAGTTCGCACAAACTGGTCCAGGATGATTTTCCGGAAGAGCGGGCCTGGCCCATTGGCTGTGGTTTCCAGCAGACCGCCTGGCCAAATGTCAATCTTACTCAAATCGCCCTTGTACACATCTTTCAAATTTTGAAAAATCTGCCAAAAAAAAAAATAAATAAATAAAAGGATAGTTGTGAGTATAATACTCGTATCCATCGCTTTTGCACTTTGTGTACAAGTACAGTCTTTTTCCTAGTTCCAGATTTTTCCTTATTCTGGATTTCTTAAAATTCTTTTTCCTAATTCCGACGAACTTCGTTTTGAAAAGAAAATGCAAGTTTCTTGATACAAAAAGATGTTTTCTATAAATTCTCCAGGAAAGAAATTTTGGCCAGATTTCCGACTCGCAATTTGACATGTTTGGACGTTTTGTAGAAAATCAAGGGAGCTGCGAATCAACGATAAATTTTCTCCTCGATACGTCACTCAGAACACGTCATTTCAATTTTTTTTCTACAGTCGTATAAACTCTTGCCTCAAATGTTTGTTGAATCAAAAAATAAGTTTTAGAGTCTCAAATATTTGAAAATCCACCAAGGAATGAGCATATGTTTTTGCCTAGTTATGGATCTCGCACGCATGTAGGACCCAACTACACGTTCATAATTTTTTTCTGTGACAAGTTCTGGATCAAAGGTTTTACCGGTCCATGCGTGTTTGTGCTGTTGTGCTACCGACGAAAGTTTCAAAAACATGTACGTGAATTATCTTTTTAAAATTTTGCTGGAATTCTCTAGAACGAAATGTTTTTTGAAAAATTTAATAATGCTTTATATCAGAAAATTTGCTGCAGATATAAAAAGCATGTACAACAGGGCAGGAGAGACTTAATAAATTGTTTACTTCGTCAGGGATGCCGGACTCATCGTTGGCGTGTTGAAGCTTATTAATGTCGGTGAAGTTCTTGACTGCCGGTAAACCTAGGGACACACGCGCCGTGTTGTAGTCTGGTAATCCGTGGTCCCGACCTCGCTGGATGTTCTGTGCCATCAGGTCACGACGCGAAAAGTCCAAGGGACCGAAAACACGACCTGTAAAGAGACAACAAACATTTTGTCAGTATTACCAAAGAAAGAAAAAAAAGTCCTTTCGTTTTTCATTTCTTTTCTTTTCATTTATATTCTGACAAGAGTGCCTAGAGAGAGTATTACTTGGACAATTTATTTTAAAATTGTTGAATTTTGTGGTCACACGCTGATGAATTTCACCAAGTAGAAGCAAACTGACCTTTTCAATCTGTTTTTATGGAAACAATGCCCAGTTGTTCAGCTTTGCAAACTGGCACCTTGAACATTTGTCATCGTGATGTCACCAATTTTCTTTGCATTGCTGTTCCTCATATCGAAGCAACACAAAACATTTCCACATTTCCAATCTTTTGGTGACGTTAATTTTCAGGGATTTGGCATATTCAGTCACACATCAGATATTGATAAATGATTTTTGAACAGTTCATTATCACTGGGACGCTAATCCTGGCATGTAATACTATGTACTTACGCTGCAGATCAATGGTGACAATGTGATCCTCACGTTCTGTTATCTGGGAAGCCATTCCCATCAAAAAGTTCTCAATGTCGTACTCACGGATCGGCAACTGTGTGAATAAACAGGGGTATCGTAAAAAGTATGAATAACAACAGAGTATCAGAACAGTCCATGATGTTGGAGGATATGTATTATGCATTAGCTTGTTAGTCACTGTACGACCCTAAACTGCCCTGCCTATTACTACTTGTACTGCCAGGAGCTGTGTGAGCAAATGGATTAAAGAGGTTGTGGAATGCTCGAAGACATTTCCGTCATTTTTCGGGTATATGTAGCCTAAGGTGTGATGAAATATAAACGACAATTGTGTCTGTCATGAAATGAGTACAAAAGGTAGTTTGAGAGCTGTTTTTCAGGTCCTGTTTTGACCCGAATGTGCAATTTGTGTCAAAGTCGTCATTGGGGGCAGCAAACAAAACATAGTAAATCGTGACGTAATAAACAGGACTCCCGATGCAGTGTAGTATAAATGAGTGATAACGTGCTAAAGAGCATACTTAATCATGATATTCTAAGTTCTGTGTGATATTTTCATAAAATATGAACCTTCCTCTCTGCCTTAAAAACAAAAACTCACAATAACACTTTGCATTTTGCACAAGGGCGTCAAAAATGGGGGGGGGGGGGGGACATACCTTGATCAGAACTAATGCGAGTGCGAAATGCCAACGGTGTGTGGTACGGGCCTGCTTAAGGGCCACTGAAAATTTTGGATTCTAGATGCTCTGTTGTGCGATATCTGAGGCAATTTTTGACCACTTTAACCAAATTTTGTTGAGCAAAAGATCATCATTTAACCATCATTTGCAAGTTGGATTCATTGAATAAGCCTTTTCGGAGTTCCAACTGCATGCGCATTCATAACCTGTGACAACGCGCATTGTTTGTCTCAAATGGCCTTTGACATCATCGCGCTACTGACTTTACAAAAAGGCTGTTTGTGCATTGTGGGTACTGTCAAAGGGCATTTGAGACAAACAATGTGCGTTGTCACAGGTTACGAATGTGCGCAGTTGGAACTCCGAAAAGGCTCATCAGCTACCATGTGCTATAGAATCGAATACAGGGTAAAATGTTTGTTCAGGGAGGAAAAAAAGTGGGGGGGGGGACCACAAATTATATCTCCCCCCCCCACTTTAGAAAGGGGGAGGGTCCCCCCCTCATGCCCCACTGATTGACGCTCTTAATTGTTGCAAGATTCCAAAATGAATACCTAAAATCTATAATGTTAGCACCAAAACCATATTTGGGGGATAAAAAAAATACATTTAACCACTTTTTATCTCACTGGCGCTCCACTCAAATAACAGTTCTTGTTATCCCCTTTTATTTGATACCACATTTGAGGTTGTGGTGCTTACGTTTTCATAAATGTTCCACTTTACAGCCATATGTCCACTTTCTGTGGCATTGTCCTTAGGACAATTTCAAATCCATTTTTTTCTCAAAGGTACACAGTACAAACCTGTGGGTTCCAGAAGGAGTTGCACGTTCGTACTCCATGTACACTTCTGAACAGGTTGTCAGGAATATTGCTAGATTCCATCGAAGTATTCAGAAAATTGCACTTTGAGTCTCTGTCGATGTGAACAAAGAAAGACCAGTGCAAAGTAAAAACTAAGTATATAAAAAAGCCCTTTAATGTTTTGAGTGAATTAATAATGTCCTTCGCTACATTGCCAGTAAATTTACACTTCATGTAGAGTTAGTGATACAAGTTCTTTTTTCTTTCGATATACTTGGCTACCTGTTTGTAGCTTTTAGACATTCATTGAGCCTTTTATGTGGTGGCCACAAGACAAAAATACCCGGACAGCCAGCTTGTAAACCTTTCATTTAAAGGGACACTAGGTCCCGGAACAGCCCAATTGGGCTACAAAACGCGCTTTGAACGAGTTTATGTTAGTCGGAAAGAACATTTAAAACTAGGATATAACTATCATTTTAACAACTATCCTTTAAAAACTGGGCGTTTTTGTGTTATTCCTGTATTATGCATGCGAGAACGAATTTCGGGGTCCACTTTTGCGACCCCATAAATTTGAGCTGTTTTGATGCTAGTTGTGATTTCATTCGTAAAGTGTTCGCCTTTTGCAGACGTTGAAGAAACCATTATTTTTGCATTGGTGATTGGTCACCACTGTTCCTGAGACACGTGTATATCGTACACTGTATGAGAACGACACAAAAAACGTATTCGTACTCCGTCGTAAACAACTGGGGATTTTTCCTATTTTCTCGGGAACAGTATGATATAAGGTTGGTTTCCTTTCAACCACATGTTTGAAATAGGATAAGTAAACAATCCAAAACATGAAATTTTGGGGTATTTCAGGACCTAGTGTCCCTTTAACAAATGAAATCTGGAAATGTGATTATCAACAAACAGTTCAGGTTAAGAGCTTTTGAAATTTCCAATTCAGTTAAGTTGCTTTGTATAAAAGTTAAACTTGGAAAAAAAAAGGCACGTAACTTCCGCCTTTCAGCAAATAAAGACTTTAAGAAAATTGAAAATGGCACAGTTCCAAAATCTTATAGAACATATGTAGTGTAACAGCTGACTCTAGTCTACATTTTTCATTTTATTGTATTCTTAAATTGTGTTTATCTCCACAACGAGAGAGTGTGGAATTCTAAAAAGGTAACAAAATGACGTTATCATGCACATTTTGGAAACCAAGTTCTTCAAATGGTCCTGGCATTAAAGCGAAAACAAGAAGCCACTATACGCTCCGTTCACAAGTACCCCCTCCCCGGCAAAGAGATACAGTTGGGGGTGATCAACCGACGCCATCTTGCCTGACTGCAATTCACTTGCAACGAAGCGCGGCCACTGCGTGTACAAAGCACAAATCCCCTGGTGTATGTGCATCACACACAAGGAACGGTGGGCGTCAACTAGCGAAATGTCCCGCCCATGGTACGTCTTTGCTATGTAAAAGGGCACACTGAGCTCATAGTGTCAAAGTCTAGATGTACATGACGTTCTTACGTGATGCTCTGTGAAAAGTCTAACAGCGCCCCCTACTGTTCATGCACAGAGTCCATCACTCAACATACCTGCGATAGACACCAGGAGGTACCAGGGTGTGACCGAAGCGCATCGCGGCAGACTGGAACTCATGGGTTATACCTGGGTGGACGTAGCTCTTGTAGCCTGTGCAATAACAAACACAAACACACACACAAAATTCAAAACAAACCAAAAAGGCAAAACGTTTACAGACATTCTCAACGGAGTGCCATGGCCTCGTGGTCTGTATCACTGAATTTGTGGTCTTCGGGTAATTCTGCAGGACGTGGGTTGCAGTCCGGCCTGGGATTATAATGCGTGTGCCCTTGGACAAGGCACTTTGTCATTCATTGCTTCTCCCCACCCAGGAGCAGTGGCGTCACCAGACTTTTCAGTCTGGGGGGGCACCAGCATTTGATGGGGGGCACTTAGGTGGATACGGATCGCCGTCCTGGGGGAGGGGTCTAAGGGGAGGGGGTGCCCCCCTCCCCTTTGGAAAATTTTCGCATACGGAGGATGGGCTAGATGCAAAATGGTGCCTTTTGATGCTAAATTCGATCTGAAGATATCTCCAGAAATTGCTATTTAACCAACTCAGATGATGGGAGTTGAATATAACAAAATATATATATATTTTTTGACCAACCCAAATCTCAGATGGGGGGGCACTCGGGGGGGCACTAGGTTTTCCAGGGGGGGCACGTGCCCCCCCTGGCCCCCCCTTGGCGACGCCACTGCCCAGGAGTAAATTAACTGTGTACATGTGAGGCCAGAGCTGGTTATAATGTGATTGATTTTAGCGGCTTTGCACTGAAATGGATGCCTCAAGCTTTATACTCGGCAGGGAGCTGAGATTGTCTTTGGAAAGTTTCAATGGCCCAATGAGCAGGGTAACATAATGATGTAGGTCCTTTGAGCACAAATACTGGTGGATAGGTAGCATTATAAATACAGATTATTACGAAGTCAAGCTTGTCTACGTAAACACCGGCATGCAGGAATTAGGACTCCACATTTATAGCCAAGTTGTGGCAGTTTGTGCTGTAAAACGACAAGACAAAACTATACACAGGCTTTTATTTTTCCCCAAAATTAGAAAAGGGAAAAATTGATAATTTTTCTCTAAGTGACCTAAAACGTTGTATGGTCTATATACACATGGGCATCGTGAGGGGGGGGGGGGGGGGCTCTAGAAAAAAATAGTGGCAATGTCCATGGTAAACATGATTAATCTGTCAAGGTATATTTACATGGTGGAATAAGCTACAAATTGTGTTTGTGTGTGTGTCAAGATCTAAGGGTGCCTTTATTTCTTGATATCCAAGCTGGAATGAAGGGGGTAGGAGAAATGAACACGTTTATAAATGTCAGCAGAACATACCTGTGTAGACGTTAGCTGATATTTCTTCAGGTGTCAAATTCAAGAATGCAGGTAGCCAGTCATAGAACACCATTTTCTGAGGGGAAAAAAGTCAAGAAGTCATCATTATCTAGCCAGTGTGAGACTTTTCACTGAAAAGAAAATATCCATTTCAATGGACTCCATTCATCAACAGTAGATGGTGCTATTTGACCGATTTCGAGGGCCCTATATATAGAGGGAGGGACCACTGCACACGCAGAGTGGTTTGCGAGTGTACTGCACGAAAGTATGCACAGTTAACTTTTATCTGAAAGTGAATGCACAAATGTGTGGCTTCTTCACCTGAGTGCCAGGCATGCGACCGCAATACGTTAGCATGTCTAACCCAGTTGTCTTTGTTACATTGAGGGGGCACTAAGCTTGTGTGCACGGAGTCTTTCTTTTCAACGACTGTTTTGTCAAGCAGTAAAAACAAACATGAAACAGCCACCAAATTGGTAGTTTTGATGCGTCTTGCTTAAAATGCAACGACCTCTATGGCCCTCGAAATCGGTCAATTTCAACGACTGTTTTGTCAAGCAGTAAAAACAAACATAAAACAGCCACCAAATTGGTAGTTTTAATGCGTCTTGCTTAAAATGCATTAACTGAAATCGGTCTTAGGAAGCGTCTTAGCTTGATCTTAGAGAGGGGACTCATCTTAAGTCTTGAGATGAGTCGCAAGATAAGACGAGTTTCGTGAAATTGGCCCCAGGCCCCCAGCCAGTTTTATACGTACTTCGGCCAAGCACATATTCATTCCCTTATTAACATGACCAGGACAGATGGGTGTTTTTGAGAGAAGCAGAGTTTTAGTTTATCACAAGTCAATGACAAGTCAAATCACATTAAGTCCAATCATAAGTCAATCTTAAGTCAAATCACAAGTCAAATCATAAGCCAATCACAAGTCCAATCATAAGTAGTCACCTGTCACAGGTGATCCACTAAATGCATGCCTTTGTTACAATTCAACGAAATAGCATGTTGCTTGATTTAAGACTTGATTACTTGTAATTGACCTGTGACAACACTCTAAAGGCCTACAACTCTAAAATACAAGTCTAGGCATTTCAAACTGTATGCTTCAAAAGGACATTTGGGTTTCACACAGACAGCTTTAAAGACATAGTCCATCATTTGTAATTTGTGCATTTTGTTCGTTTGAAGCAACAAAAGTGTTCAAAATCTAATGAAAGATACTGAACAACTAACCCGATGAAGTTTCAGCTCAGCTTCAGCTGTATATTCCGAGAAAAACAGCATTCTAGGATCTCAATTTCAAATCAAAAGTTGCTAAATCATGTTTTGAATTGTTTTGAATTGCAGCTTTACGCGATGTCGCGCACTGATCCGACGAATTCTAGCAACCGTGCGCGCCTGTGCGTCGTGCCAATGCTTGCGCGTGCTGTGCCGAATAACAAAACAAACTACTAATTTAAATTTTCCTACAGTGCTTCTTAAGACGCACCGTTGGAAATGCCTTCTTTCGTTGATTTCTTCAAAGTGACAGCTTGCCAGAAAGAATAATTTCACAGGAAGTTTAGTCCCCTTACTATCTTTCAACCAAGTATGTTTTTCAATAATAATTACGCCAGTTACTTTTTTGGATAGCTGCAAATGATGGACTCCGGCTTTAATTATGTGAAAACCAGCACAAATTACCTGGTAAGTGGCGATGACCCACTTGCGAGCTTCATTAAAGATGCGTTCATCGTTCCACTCGTCCCGGTGGTCCATTGTCTGGTTGTAGATTTTGTCGGCCCAGTAGTTGTGCCAGCGGAACCACAGAATGCCAAAAGTCAACAGGAAGGGGTTCTCATTGCCACGTGGGTTTCCAAGTTCTGGAGGAAAAATGTTGATTTAAATTTTTTAATTGGGGAGGGGGGGGGGTGAACTTATCCATCAGCTATTAAAGGCATCCACTTTCAACAAAGAACCAGTATACTGACTGTTGTTTAACTTTACTCTAATTTTTGTGACAATCAATGCCGTACCCACGAGTTAAAATCGCAGCCTTGATCTGAAGATGTTGGTTGAGAAGCTGAGATGTCTGCACTTGTAAGCAACATATCATGGGTTTTAGGTCTACCCAAGCAATTTTTGGTCTCATTCGCTCTCTGACATCACAGAGTACAGAGTGCTTGAAAAGTTGTGTCAATGAAGGGCAAACACCCAACATCCAATGCATTCTTTATGCACATACGTACCGGTACATCAAAACCCTCAAGAACCTTCAAATTGTTTTATTTTTGTGCTCACTTACTAAAAAAAACCCCAAAAACCACCCCCCAAAAATAAATAATTCATTGAGAATATTTTCAGGATGTTTGCTGTATGCAGTGCTATTCTATCTAGATGCTCACTGAAACAACTGCAAATGCAAGTGTGAAAAATCTCTTGTAGCAGAAACGAAAAGACCATTTGAATCTTAAGCAGAGCCTATTCAAAAGATCTTTTATTTGTTCATCATTATATTTGATTATTTTAAGGAAATGTTGCGTGCACTTTCTTTAAATAGGTAGTTAGAGATTACAAACTCATTTGGGATAACTTACTAAAGGACCAAAGTGACAAAGTGACATTTGCACAAAGAACTTTACTCAGTAATTTGAACGGGAATCTAAACAATGTTATCAAATACTCACTGAAGAATCGTTTTGCATCTCTGAGCTTGTGATTTATAGCCTCGGCTGGGGGTGGCACGTTGGCCATTGGCAGACCTAACGTGTTCTGCTCCGGAAAGCCCCCCTCGCCGGCTACATTTCCAGAGTTGTCGGCAAGGCGACCGCCCTCGAACGATCTCAGCGCATCAGCCCAAGCCTTGGTTGTGCCATACACAAGTCCACCGTCGATCCAGGGGGTGATTTCGTTCAACTGAGTTGATAAAAAGCCAAGGAATGGATGAGATTCTGTTATTTAATGATCACATTTGAACCATGGATATTGCTAAACTATCTTTTCAGGCAGGGGACGGAGAAGGAGGGGGGGGGGGGGGATGGGGGGGGGGGAAGTGGGAGAATTACTCCATATCAGAACTGATCCTTCTGATAATGCTTTGACATACTGGAGCCTTAAAAGTGAATTCTGAACTTACTTTGATGCGTATTTTTATTTGGCAGACCTTAGATGCATGGAAAGCATCTTCTGGTGAAAAGCCATTCTGATCAATTCGGGCGATTCACAATGCAGTGCGCCACCTAGAGTTTGCCATGGAGAATCCATTTTTCAAGTTTACGGTCGACAAAATACGGCCCATTTGAATGAGTATCAGTAGACAACTTGAGCTTATTTGTCATAGACTGGGGCACAGCATTCTGCCGCCTTACAAAAAACACCATATTGATAAAAAGAAAAGAAAAGAGCGACTAGATACTCGAATCACACGCTTACTAAACTACTAACCGGAAAAACGAACAGTTTCAAATGTCCCGCGCTGCGAATTTGTCGACCATCTCCCACAATGCACTGGGAAAAATGAACTCTCCGTGGCAAACTCTTGGTGGCGCACTGCATTGTGAATCGCCCAAATTGAATAGAAATTTGTGGTCTCTGAGACCAGCTTTACTAGGCTGGCCTTGTCTTGTAGTAAAAATAAAGTCTGTCATGAGCTAATGCGGCCCATCGTGTAGATCTCTGGTTTCAGTAACTTGAAACAACTGAGCCTATTTCTACTCCCCCTGGATGGGATGCTAGTCCATCGCAGGTTGGTCCCCAACTAATGCCGGTACCCAATATACTACTGGGTGGAGAGAGGCAAGTGTGGATGAAGTGGCTTGCCAAGGACACGACATATGACCAGCAGCTGAATTTGAAACCCCTGACCCTCTGATTATGAGTCACGAACCCTAACCACGCTTGAGTGTGCCAAAGTACCTGTTCACGAGGAACGTTGGGTGAAAATCCAGTGTTGAAGCTGTATCGGGTTCTCAAGAACGGAATGAAGTCCACAGGACCGTGTGGGTTGTTTTCAGTCATTGTCTTGTACTCGTGACCTTCGGGGATTTCAATATTCTCATATTCTGGGGGACAACCAGCTCCTTGAGCATCCAAGATCTCTTCAACAACTTGTTGTCCTGTTTGTCCAAAGAAAAATGAGTGTTTCGTAAAACAGAAACTTAAAGTTGCAAATTACATCTATGTGTATTTCTGTTTGTTCCGTGAGGCCCAAAAAATACCACAACAGCAAGTCCATTCCAATCCTTTTGTTGCAAAGGAAACAAGTGTTTTGAAGACAATTTGTGTTTAGAAATTGATTTAAAAATTGTAATTATATTGGGGAAAAATCAGAAACAAAATGTCATGAAGTCTTAAAGCAAAATAATGTGAGGCTGCTCATGCATTTCTTTGAGCCATAAAAGTTCTTTTTTCCCCCAAACATCTGTTTCTTTTTCTGAGTCCCTGAGGTCCAGCCTCAACCTCGTTCCCAAAGTTATGATCTTACAGCGCCTTGTTGGTAATTTGATCCCACCATGCTGTGTGCGATCTTAACCCCTGGTCTTTTGTAATTGAAATATCTAACTATTTTGGAGATTTAAATAAGGACTGAATTCGATTTCGCATTGCTAGATTTTAAAATGCGAGTATCTCTGTCGTCCCTTTTACAACACAAGATGGGCAAAAGTCAAGGCTTCCGGACTTTCCATATCGTAGAGGCATCGCAGTCGTGAAAAAAAATGTTTGTAGGTGACGTGACGTGCAGGAGTTAATGCTGAGTGCATAGAGGCGCGCGCAACCCTCAATATACGCCAAAGTACGCTTTAAGTTTATGCATAGGCACCTATTCATTCTGAATAGTCAATCAGTGTTTTTTAGGTAATCTATACGGCCAGGGGCTAGTGAAGGAATGCGCACGCAGCCCATGGAGTTGTGGTTGGGCCAGCCTACAGCACTCCTTGTACCAATCTCACTTGAGAATTAGATCGCTTCAGTCTTACCTTGGCCAAAACATTGACTTGGATGACTTCATAGACCCCTCCGACCAAATGGGTCCAGAAGCAACTTCAGGTCTGTAAGCAGGTAGGCATGCCTATCTTGTTTTTTTTTATGAGATGGCCTTTAAGATTCCAGTCACCCATCCTGAATATACTCAAATGTGCCCAGCGCACCACTCACCGAAGAATGTCATGAACGCCGTACGGTTGAGATATGATGGTCTGCCCGTTTGGCCCTTCATAGTTGCATCGCTGATTTTCATAGGGTTAGGTCTGTCCTGTCCTGCCATCCGGTACACGCCATCGGCATACGCCACGGGAAGTCTTCGTGTCAAAGGAAGTTCTGAAAAAAAAAAGAATAAAAAAAGAGTTTGTTTTCCCCAAATCCCTTAAAGCAAATCCCTTACGCTGACCCTGCAAAGAGGGCAGTTGGGGGAGGGGGGGGGGGGAATTGGGTGACATCTCTTTTCTATCGGACAGAGAAACATTGATTTTAGATTTTGCTAAAACAAATGCGCCGTTTTGTTTCCTGTAACCAAAACATACAATTTTGCAAACTAGGTTCAATACTTCAGTGTTGACTTCAACTCCTCAGCTCAGGGACCCCACTTTCAGAGTGCCTGAATCTTACACTATGTTATGTTTTTGGTTTCTTTTACTGACCTGCACCGCCCCAGTCAGGATGGGCCATGTTGTTGTACCATCCGTCATATCCTTCATACTCTCTGTGCTCATACTCAAAAACACCAAGGTTTTCTGCAAGTTAAGGCAAATCAAAAGTTACAAAAATGTTTACCTACATTACAATTGTAATTTTACAGACCTTTGGCAATACACGTATGACATTGTGTTGGCAGAATGGACAAAATCTTATCCATTCCCTTTAATTATGTGTGGTTTCTCTAAAATATCTTTCACAGTTTGTTATCACTTTTCCCACTTTTATTTCCATTAGGACTTTGGGACAACCTGCCCTTGGTTTTAGAAGCAACTAGGCGAAGTAAATAAAAAAGAACAAAGTTTGAGTGTATTCAGTGACAGTCCAAAAAAAAAAAAATTCTTCCCCTGCCATGCCTTTATACACAGGCCAGTCACCAGCAGAATTAGCTCACACTTCTTGCAAACAATGGGACTAGTCAAATTCCATCGACAGACAAAAGCAGGTAACTGGTAGGTACAGCTGTCTTATCCATCTCCAGAGGGCTTTTCACACTAGACAAATCTTGGGTTTGACGCGAGGTCGACGCAGGATTGACATGCAGTGTTTCACACTTGAAAACGTTCTAACCCTGCATCCAACATTAACCCTGAGATTGATGTCACTCCAGGTTGAACCCAGTGTGAAATGATGCGAGGTTAAACGCGGGGTTGAAATATAAAAAAAAACTCAACCCCAACCTGTGGCGGAACCCGGGGCGGCACTGGGTTCGCCCAGGGTTGCGTTCATCCAAGGTTGAGAGGCTCTAGTGTGGATCTGGATCAATACTGAAAGCAATCTCCCGTTATGGGATGTACTAGGTTGCTGGTGTGTGTGGCTGGGGGCACTAATAATGGTGACTGCTCTATGTTCCGACACCCCTATGTTCCGACAACCTAGATTGTGTTACTCCCGGTTAGGGTTAGGGTTAGGGATAGGAATATGTGCAGTCAGAACATAGGGGTCGGAACATAGGGGTGTCGGAACATAGAGGTGTAACCCTAATAATAAGCCCTGCTTTCTATACTGGACAACTTTAGTTTTAGTAGACTTATCCTTAAATGCATCTAGTGAAGGGGCCTCTCTCACAAATGCTGGGAGGAGGTTCCATTCTGCTGTAGTTCTTGGTTGGAAGGAGTACTTGCAACTGTCCTTGTTTATGGGTTGTCGTATAAAGGATATTGATATTAAAAGACCTCTACATTCAAAGCATGGCTATTTCAAGTTGCATAAACAGCCACAGCCATTCAATCACTACATTATGTGAACAGGAGGTCTTAACAACTAAAAAACAGTCACTTGATTGATTTGTTCTTCTGGAATGGCTTTGTTGAAGTGCCAACCACAGAGCCCCTCCCCCCTCTGGGTTTTACAGCATGTGCAAGGGCAATCCACTATATCTAAAAGTTCAACTGAAACTTACTTTCAAGCTCTATCCTTTCTTCGGCGGTTAGGGTATCGGTAGCTGGAAGCAAAGTAAGAACAAAACACATAAACTCGTTTAGTTTTGCATAAGGATAAACCTTTGTGATGCATATCAGCCATCTGACGAACTGGTGAAAATGTCTGAAAGTCACAAATTGTTTCGCGACACCTTTGGCCTATTAAATAATGAATGTCATTTTGTGGACCTTTTAACAATGACAGGCACCAATTTTGCACAGAAGCAATCTTTGTTTTGGCCCATTCTTGAAAATAAAAAAAATAAAAATAAGGCAAAAAAAAAAGAATATTCGGTCTCTGGTCAGACCAAAGTTCCGGAATTGACGCGGCCATGCGGCTTTTTTTCTTTTCTTCAAGCTTGGATTGTACAGACAAGGTGGGGTACTATTTTGCTTTTTGTTGTCCTCATGTACATTGGTGTCCTCCATAATTTGCCTTGGTGCTTTTGATCATTTGCCTTGGTGCAATTTCCATTCCTTGGTGCTCTTGGAAAAAAAATTGAGGAGGTGCGGAAATAGAGGGCACTGTTGGAGCTACCGCGGAACATTTTGGAAAAAAAAAAGATCGACACGCATGATTAAAATCGACGCGCGCGCTGACCAGAGACCGACTTATTATTTTTTTGGGCCTAACAAATGAAACTTTCCACTTGCTCTATAATAAGGCAATAAAACTATGTGCTTGGCTGGTTTTAAAAAAGTACAGTATTAAACAAGTACGTTTAAAACCGGCCACAGGTCAGGGGCCAATTTCATAGAGCTGCTTAAGCACAAAATTTGCTTAAGCACAAAAAAATTTGCTTAGTAAAATCAGGATACCGGCCAAAACTCCATGCGATTGTTATGCCAAGTAAACAACAGCTAAATACCAGTCACGAGCAATGTACATCGCATGGAGTTTGGGCTGGTAACCTTTGTATTAAGCAAGGTTTTTTTGTGCTTAAGCAAATGTTGTGCTTAAGCAGCTCTATGAAATTGGCCCCTGGACGTGGATAATGTCCTGAACAGAAGGCTTGGGAAGGTATTAGTGACCAGGTCCCTAGCTGGTTTTAAAATGTACATGTTTAAAACCATGTGACAGGCTCTCGACCAATAGTAATGGGTAAAACTGTCTTAGGTATTTATGAATGCTTCACAAAATAATGAAAATGAAAATATGCTTGTGTTATAGGTGTAAGTACGCTGAGCTTAACACCGCCTTAGCATTAAAATATCCACAGCAGTGAAATGAAAGTAAAGAGATTTTGAACCATTAAATAACAAATTAAAAAAAACAACAGTTAAATCTTAAGACAAAAACATCAGCACTCAATGTTGTACGTTGTCTCTTTAAGAACATTTTTTATTATGAAAGCCGTTAATTGTTGTCATAATCAATTCTTTTGAAACCTTAATTTAAAAAAAAAAACGTACATGCTGATCGCAAAACTTTTGGTGGATCCCTTTTACAAGCATGATATGATGGTTACGGGCTCATTAAGGGGCCATCCATTTTTGTCATCATTTTCAAGAAAAACAGTACTCTTTGTACGCTTGTGAAAATGATAAAAGAAATGGATGAACCCTGATTGCAGATGTGACAAAAGATGGAAAAAAGGAATGACGCCCTCTAAAAAAAAAGAAAAAAAATCTACAGAGCAACTTTACCACTTTACCATTGGTAATCCAGTATACATGCCATTTTTTTGGGTAACACAGCCCGTTTCATTTATGAAATTCAGTTAAAGTACATGTGTAGTATTGTATGTTCAAAGTTTGAGCATTGTAGTTGCAATAAGCTACACACTGTAAAAAAAAAAAAGGAAAAAAAAAAGTAGGAAACAATTTGACATGGAGTAAACGTTTTCCTTTCCACAGCAATAAGTGCTCGGTAAATTTACAGGCTTCAGAGAGATAGCCGTAAGCTGCACCTCAAATTTATCCAGGCAGCGACACCGATACTTCCTCTTCCTGTCCGACCTCGAAGCTAGTCCAAATCATACGTAAATATGTTTATGCCAAACTGTTTCATTACAGAGGTAAGGAACTCTACCACACAAAACTTTGAAAGGCAAATTATAGTAGCGGTAAGCTATTTGCAGTACACGTGGGTGCATGCTTGAATGGAATAAGCCGATGAAGCAACGAAAATAGAAATATGAATTTGATGTGAAACTATACTGATGATAAAAATGTTTATAACTTAAACAAACAAATAATTCTTTTTACCACAAACTTTGGTGGTACATGGGGGAAAAAAAATTGGTTAAAATTTGGATCCTGCAATAGAAGAACTTGTAGTATAAATGCGATAAAAATATATATGAAATATTAGAAAACCTTTCCACCACATGAGCAATTTTATCACTGAGTTCAAAATGTAAGGTATTATTTCAAACCTAATTTGCCAGGAGCATTTTAATTCCATCAGTTAATTTATTTGTTTCCACCTTTGAATTGAATGGCATTGGCTTTTGTGTTGTTTCAAGTAATTCTTTTAAGCTTGGTATTTTTTATCCAATGGAGTCTTTCCGTGTCAAATCACCCTATGGGTTCAACCCCACCCCCTTCAAATTGATTCATATTTAATACATGGTGTGATTTAGGCCGCCAAAAAAAAATCTTCAGATGAGTTGGAAAAAAATAAAAATATTTTAACCACAATTTAAGTATTTTTATTTTGTGCAAAAAATGATGGGGAATAAAGTTCGTCTCAAGGTCATGTGATCCACAAGGTCATATTCAAGGTCAAAGTGGGGGTCAAAAGGTCATCATACTTCAAATTGCTTTAACATGAAAAATTATGGTAAATTTGGATTTCTTATGAAAGAAACCAAGATTAACACATTTGGCCCATACCCCATTTGAAATTGGCGGCCACGCCCATTTTGACACAAATTGTCAAATAAAATGGCGGGCGGTAGCGCAATAACCTGTAATCCGATGCGGGTAACACTTAAAATTCCACCTTTTTCATCCTAAATTACCTCATACACTGTGAACCAATTTAAAGAGGGTGGAGTTGAAACTTTCAATTTTTGGGGGTGATTTGACACGGAATGACCGAATGATTAAGAAGCAAATAAACAAATGAAAAGCAACATAAGGAACACAAAAACTGATGCTGCCATGGAATAAACTATCTGCAATGATGAAACAAAATGTATACAATGATAGAAAAGCAAGCATGGTTCTAGAAGATAAAAGCATTATAATAATTTTAAAAATGTGTAAAATCTAAACAATATTTAACAGTAAGGCTTCGACAATGGGATTTCAACCTGAAAGGCAAAATTCACCATGAGGGTTTTCAAAACCTGTATAGGACTGTGCTTTGTGTGAAAAACAATGGTTTTTAAAAGAAACAAATATGATGGTTATGCTGATGTTGAAGGATGACTTTAGCCTGGGATGAAGTTAAACAGCAGCAATTTTTTTTTTTTTGCGTATAATATTCAAACAACCTGGAGTCTGTTGACCACCATTACTACTCGTTGTACCATCACCCCCTGGAGTTGGTCCAGCTGGCATTGTTGCCGCAGCTGTAGGTGCTGCAGTTGCATCTGGTGCAGTTGTAGCTGCCATAGTCGGAGCAGTAGTCGGAGCAGCAGTTGGAGCAGCAGTTGCTGCTGTTGTTGGCATATCTGTTGGAGCGACTGTTGTTGGCATATCAGTTGTTTGTGCTGTAGATTGAAGTTATTTAATGCGGAATTTACGTTACACCAGTCATCATTAGCTTATTAGGCAAGAAACCTTTTGAGGTTTTTTTTACAGAACAATAAAGAACTGAAATAATTTCCTCTATAAGTCTTTATTGACTGTACAGGTTGCCATGTCAATAAGCACTGTAGTCTACATTGCAAAAAAAAACCCAAGGATTCAGTCCATTCCAATCTAAAGCTCAGTTTGTAGGACTCATTTTCTGTAAAAGGAGCCATTTCTCGACTGGCCAAGTTTAACTGGTGCCCACAGGACATGGTGATGGGAGGCATTGGACTAAATGCTGAAACTGAGCAAAGATCAAAGTCCAAAACCTTTCTAGCCTACAAAAAATAACCATTTTCCCCAGTTTTCTTAAATTTTATTCAAATATTCTAATATCTTTACCAAATTCATGATTGATGGCAAATAAAGGCTGAGTAACCCAAATGAGCAAATGAAAATTTAAAGCAAAAATAACGAATTCATAAAAAGCTTGAAAGACTATACTTTCCATCAAGGCTTCATTTGAACCATTTATAGTTTCCTATGTAATAAAAAAAAGCATACAGTGTGTCCCCAAAAAAGTGTCTGTCTAAATATTTTTGAAATAACAACAAAACCACAAAGTAAATTTTGAAATTGTTTATTGTGCAGATACTCCTAATCAATTTGCATCAACCCATATGAGTTTTATTCAATTTCCCTCATCCCTCACTGCACGATGGTCTGATCAATTAAACACAACAACTTTCTTGGACACTAACCAAATTCTTTGCCTTTATCAATTTCAGTGCTTTGATATGTAATAAGCTGTGTAAAATCCTTCAAGTTGTGAAAGAGAGCTTCCGTTGGGGATTGGAATCATTTGCCTGGCTACCAGTTATCATGGCAAGACCTCAGATAGCAAGACAAAATTGTTGGTTTTGTTATTTTAAAAATATTTAGACAGGCACTTTTTTGGGACATACTGCATTGTGTGTGTAAGCATGATGGTGTGTCTTATGTTCTTCACAGTTATTCGTTTGCATTAACCCTAACGAACCCCATCCAGTCAAACTCCAACACCAGGGTTTGTTGGAATTTGTTGGAGTGAGTACCGCACTAGTAAACTGATTATGCTTTACATGGGGTTTTAGGCATACCCCCATAATCCGAGTCCAACAGTTTGGGTGAAGTGTTGGAATTTGCAGGAGTGAGGAAGGTTCCTAGTAAATCACTCAAGGGGTTTCGGGTTAATCTTGAATAAGTCTTGATTAAAAACTTTACTTTAAAAATTCTAATGTGAGCATCAGACTTACTCAAAGTAAGCAATAGTGTTAACTATGGCAGTGGGTATCAGAAGTAAATGATAAAATATACCATCTTGAATCAAGACTAGTTTTAATGTAAATAAAATGGAGCAAACAATGTAAATGCAATGAAGAATGGACGTTTGGAGTTATGCAGTAATTACACAGTACCAAACTATCTTTACAACGTTTTGACAATCCAAGAGATTTTTGTATAATGTCGGGAGATAGAAAGTGCAATATTGGGTTTGCTTCATTTTCACAAACTTTTTATGAGCACTGTATACCCAGTGCTGTTGGAAAGCTTGCAAAATAAAACTCACAAACTTGCTGGACGGGGACCAGACTATTCTTGTCTTATTGAATCACAAGAATTTAAAAAAATAAACAAATTGAAGACTTCATTTCCAACTTGCTGTATCTAGTATGTTGTTGAGGAAGTATCATTGTTATAACAGCAAACAGAATGTACACAATAAACATGTTTTTGAAACAACAGTTTTCACTTTAAATTAACTATAAAATAGCCTTCAAAACCAACTTTGGGCAAATGAACAAGGGTTGCAGTATTCCAAAAGGTGTTTGACACAGCAGTTTAGGAACTAAACTCTTCAATTTTAAAACTGGAAACCGGTCTTAGTCTAGACAGTTTTGTAGAATGCACAGGGGTGAAAAGATTTGAGGGGTGGGGAATTTTTGTGATTCAAAGACACTTTCAATGTATGAAGAAATGTACTTTATGAGAACAAACAAAACAAATTTCAAATGGAGTGAATGTGATGAAGCATTGGTGAGACGGCCTATGAGGTGAATCAGCAGAAATGATTCTGTTTGATTCTACAACCTGATGTAGTTTGAACGCGACCTCCAGTTGTACCTATCGCAACTGTTGGAGGAGTTGTTTCAACTGCTGTGGCAGTTGATGCTGGCACTTGTGTTGATTGCAGTGGTGGAGTCGGAGTTTGTGCTGTAGGTTCAAGTATCAATTCCAATTCACATTTTGTTTTCGGTTAAAGCGTATACTTCGGGACCCCTTTATTACATATTTATTGTTCAAACTGACTTAAGCAATCTTGTTTTGATTATAATGACCAGAGTTTTGTAACTGTTAAATTAAAAAAAAAATTAAAAATTCTTACTCCATTTTCCAGTAGTGGTAACACAAATGCGATCTGGTGCATTCGGTGTAATTGTCAAAACTTGATTTTCATGTTGTGTTTTTGTCATTTTATTAACTTCAAATTTCCGTTAAATAATCACAAAGTTGCCCCTTTTGGATGACGTTACTGGACTTTAACATGGCTAGCTATTGAGGTATTCCAGAAAACAGGTGTTTTTCTCTATAGGAACGGGGTCTTAAAGCACACATTTATCTGTACATCATTGTTCATGGCAACATTTCCACCTTTTAATTTAATTACAAAAAAAATTGGTGGTTCTTTAATTCACACAGCAGTGCATAGCCTAACACTTATCTTACACACAAGCAAAACACTCACTTTCAAATAATCAACTTCATATTTGCAGCTGGGCATAAAAAAAAAATCACTTTTAAAAATCAAGATAATATACACATCACCATCTTTCTTAAAAAATGGACAATAAGATGCTGATTATTCAATTATAAACGATGACAAGCAATTTTCTTCAACTCAACTTCCACAGAAATTGTGGACCAAAATGCTACAAAACACTTCTTATTACATATGTTTGGGCTAAGTACCAAATGCTATAAACACTACAAATACTGGACACTAATAATAGGCTCAAGGGGTCAGCGCTAGAGTATACACATTACTACTTGTGGTATTTTGTAGCTTTAGGGGCGACAGGGGTTAAAAATCTTTATCTATTGTCTCTCACCTCTCCCCCCCCCTTTATCCCTGCCAATCACACATCACACCCTCCCCTAATTAACACCTCTTATCTACCCCTTCCCCTTGTTTTACCCCTTCACATCACAACCCTACTATCCCCGTCAGCTTTGTTCTTTGCTCCCTCCCTCAGCCCCCCTATCCCCCCCCCCCCAGCGTGTGGTTTTCTGTTCATTCATGCTTATTAATGTGTCCCTTGCATTAGCTTGTATGGTTGTAACATGGAGGAAGAAAATTGTAACTAGTGTCATTTTGCCTTTGTGATAGCTCCATATGCAGTGGCGTAGCCACATTTTAAGCTTTTGTTTTAACCTTGTCGCCCCCCAGTCGCCCCCCCCCCCACTGAGATTTTGAGTTTCTAAAAAAATATCATTGATCTACATGACGCCCCCCAATGAAACGTTTCAGCCCCGCGCCCCCCCCACTGAAAAATTCCTGGCTACGCCACTGTCCATATGTATACCAGCAGGATCGAACAGTCGATTATATAGGCCCAATAACCTTTTTGCCCCCCCCCCCCCCAAAAATGTGATTTGCAATGTTGTAACAAATTTCGAATTGGAACTTTCAGGAAGTGCCGAAGTGGAAAAGACAATAAGGCTTTGAATAATTCTGAATTAAAACAATATCTTAAAGCATTGTTTGGATTTAAAAATGAACAACAAATAAAAACACATTTAAAAGCAAACTATTTTTTAAAGGGTCAAACTGAGGTAAAGTGATGGCGAACCGCAGCGATATATAACGCAGAAATGATTTCGAGTTTTGCTTTTAAAGTAAAAAATCTTCACTGCACATTGATTGATAACAAAAAAAAAGAAGTCATTCTGACTTTACTGCTGTCGGTACTTGAGGTTTCAATTTGATACCTTCACAAACTGTTGCTGCAATACCGGTACTTCTCTTCAATCTTTTTAAGTCTGTACACTTTTGTTTCTTTGTTACTATTTAATCTAGTCCAGCGGATATGTGACAAAATATCGATGAATTGTGCACTTTTGCATAAAAGCGTGAAACTTGGCACAGATGTTTATATTCATGCGAGAAAATGTTCGCGATGGCTCCTCATCTGGAATTTTTTTTTCTCATGAATGTCAATGTTCTCTATGAGTGTGGGAACAATATTTCCAGGGTGGGCATAATGAAAACCCCGCCCCCCTTTTTTCTTATATGGTTGCCACGCCCCTAAAAGGGTGTGTTCGAGATGGCTCCACATCTGGATTTTTTTTTCTCATGAATATAAACGTCTGTGGGACGTTTTATTCGTTCATGAAGTATGGGCACAATGTTTTCCAAAGTGGGCATAATAATTAACCCCCCTTTACATTTAATGGCTGCCACGCCCCCAAAAAAGTACGATTGTGGTGGCTCCGAATCTGGAAAACACTAATAATCTATATAATTATGTCTTTGTGAAGTTTCCTGCTTTTGTAACAAGTGGGAAAAACCGTTTTCACTGCGGGCACGGCAAGTCCCGCCCCTTTTTAAAAATGGATGCCACGCCCCTAAAAGGGTAAATTTGCGATGGCTCCACATCTAAAACATTTTCTCGCATGAATATAAACATCTGTGCCAAGTTTCACGCTTTTATGCAAAAGTGCACATTTTTTTCACATATCCGCTGGACTATTCAGACCGTGGACGACAAAAGAATAAAAAGTAAAGCGTATAGGCCTAGTGCATGTAATAGTTTACCCAGCACCGAGCCCATAATTTTGTTGTAAATTTCCGGGTTGGTGAAATAAAATCGCTCTTTCAAATTTAACGAACAATAATGTAAAGTTATGTCGACTTTAGTTCAAAAAAAAAAAGCACAGA